ATGTAACACACAATGAATGCGATACCCATATATTTACCATATAAACAGAAACAGACTTATTATTAGAGCTGTTGACTGCCATTGAGATTTTTAAATGTCTATTGCAAATTATGTTTATGTATGAATCTCATTATTTGGAGCTGTTCAAAAGTAACAAATCAATTAAAAAGAATACTTTTCTCAGGTATAACAGGTCTAGGTTAGAACAGCTGTGGTCAGAAAATTTTCTGAAGCAGAAGAAATGTTGAAAGGACTGTTCTATAAAAGTCCTTATGAAACAATTCTTCTGTCAGTTCATGAGACAGTCTCATTAAGATTAGAACTAATCCCAACGTTTCCCCAAAATACTGTCAGAGACAAAACTCCTCCCCTGAGAAATATGTTTAAATATTTTTTTTTCTCAAATTAGAATCTTTCAAATGATATTAACCTAATTGGTAGAATAAAAATTTAAAATAAAATTTTACCTTGGATTTGTTGCCGTTTAAACTATTCTTAAGAAATGAATCGCATTTTCTCAACGAAAAAATATTTAAAACATCCAATTACTAGGTAAATATACATTATCGCCAAAATCCACACTTTCGGTTAAAGCTAATTGTGTAAAATTCCACGAAATGTAATTTTTTACTATGTAAAGGGATTTAGAAAAGTTTCCTTATTTATGTTGAATTTTTCATCAGTATCAATTTAAATGTTTAAAAAGGCTGTAACAGAAACATGAGTGGGCTTACAGCAGGAAAGAAAAAATAGATAACGGAAAGTAGATTAACATCAGTCGTTATATATTCTCTCCTTTTTGAGTAAATATCTATAATTACTTTTATTCGGTAAAATCTATCAAATTTGAAATACTGTAAGAAAGTGTGTAAACATTGAACAAAAGCAGACTTTCAGTCTTACTCCTAAAATTCTCAATATTTAAATGTTTTGGTTATGTTTTAGGCAAAGAACAAAGCTGTAAACAATGAAATTATAAGACCAGAACAAAACCTAAAACGGTTGTCATATATACTGCCATTGTTGCACTAGCCAAACCATAAGTAGGTTTTAAGAGATTTTTTATCGAGCAATGCCAATGTTGTTTTATTTAGGATTTTTTCTGTGTATCAATTGAGTTTTGAAAAACGAAATCTACATATATCTGTTTTTATCATAGGTTCCATATCGGATGTGGCAAAGGGGACTTTTATTTTGCACTTCGCTACATGTGCATCCGTCAGTCAATCACACAAAAGTTTCCTGAATAAATTTTAATATAGCTTATCTCTATTATTTAAGTATTTGGTGTAAACTGTAAATTCAGAAATGTTTGCAATGTCTTATTATTTACTTGTAATCAGAAGTCTTTTTTTGGTATTGTAATATAATTTGCTGCCCTTTAGAATAAGTAATTTTTGTTTCATTCCTTGTCAAAGGAGACAGTTCGCTACATGTGCGTCAGTCGGTCAATCACACCAAAGTTTCCTGCATAATTTTCGGTATAGCTTACATGTATCTCTTTTAATTGAATATTTGGTATATACTGTAAATTCAGAAATGTTTGCAATGTTTTATTATTTATTTGTTATCAGAAGTTTTTTGGTGGTTTTATATAATTTGCTGCCCTTTGGAAAAAGATGTTTTTGTAACATAAAGTATTGTCCCCCATGAAATATTGTCCATAGGTCAAATTCCATATAAAATATTTTCTGCGGACACTACTTCATAATGAAATACTGTCCAAGACAAGATACTAAAGAAAATGCCTGTACCAAGTCAGGACTACGACAGTTGTTATCCATTCGTTTGATGTGTTTGAGCTTTTGATTTTGCCATTTGATTATGGACTTTTCGTTTTTAATTTCCTCGGAGTTCAGTACTTTTGTGATTTACTTTTTATTGAACCGCTTATTTGCTTCATATACTTTGTCTTGATTGGTAATGGGCTTTTCATAAATGACTGTCATTTTCCGATAGTTATAACTGTTCCTATTTTTTCGCCTACCTTTTCCATTTTCAGGGGAAGAAGTTTGCATGTTTGGCAAGATGCGACATTTCAGGAGTCCAATATAGTTCACACTTAAAAGTATTCTTTTTCCTCGGTTGAAGTTTTTCAGCTGTTTAACTATTGTGTTACAGAAAGATGGCATAAATAAGCTTATGTTACCGACCGATAACGTTTCAGACTCCTTACATTTCTTTTCCGTCATTGCCAACAAGTTTTTCACACTCTGGAATGTCCATTTGTGTGATTTGTTAGAGTGATCATTTCAGGATGAGGCTTACAGAATTGACTATCCTTGTTCTTTTTGAGCATACAAGTATGTGCTAGTTTTGATTTCAAGCGTTTGATTTCATATTTTAGTATGATTTAGAACATTGGCTGATTGTGTGGCTGTGTCCTCACTGGACTTAAATCTTTTGATTGAAATGTTTTTATTCACAGTCATTTGGAATCTTTTTACTTGTACAGTTGGAGATAGCATTCGGTTATCAACATTCTTTTTGTTTGTGTTCCCACAAGTAATGATGCTTTAAGGCCAGTTTTATATTTGTGCATGACAAGTGCTTGTTATATCAATGTTTTCAGTATTTTCACTGCAAATTCTGATATGCTATTTAATGTTCATTTCTGAGTCTTTTTACAGCAGATTCCATTGAGTGTATAGCCAAAGGTAATATCTTTGGTTAGCTTGCTTGTTAGCTGAACCGTGAAGTCATTGTTAGGTTAGGTAAACTACCCTACTTTAAGAATAGACTAGTCCGACAGAAAACCAATCGATCTGTCTGTTGGACTATGCTACTTCGAAAGGAGGTTAGTATACTTGACCTAATAATGACTTCACGGTTCAGCTAACAAGCAAGCTAACCAAAGATATTACCTTTGGCTACACACTCAATGGAATCTGCTGTAAAGCCTTTACAATATATTTGCTTCTTTTCTATTTGACCAATTCCTTCTGACGTAATATTTTACAATCATATTGATCTCAACGATAAACTGTAAAAATATAGGACAAATTAATGTCAACACATCTAAGGGCTGGAAAGAATTTAGAAATCAGGCCAAGAAGAGGGTTTTCATAAAGATATGCAAAATAAAACTCACCTCTTCTACACTTAAAACCCAAAATAGGCTCAATAAATACAATCAAAATGAAAACTAAGTCGGGACAATTTTAGATGTTGATTATTTGCTACTTAACGTCCAATAGCAAGTGAAAAGAAGACATTTCAACCTTACCGGTACAACACATTATTCTGACTCTGTGCCTACACGTTTTTGGTCTTACTTTTAAATAATGCATGCTAATCACAGTAGAAACTAATATCAATTCTTTGGTTTCAACTGGTGCGGGATAAAACCAAAGACATTACAGACTCAAGAGGAGCATACTACCATGAGACAACAAATTTCGGAGACCAGTTGAAATGGAACCAAAATTAACAGACAGTTATGAAAACCTATTGATTTAAATGATATCTCTCCATTATTTACACTGCATGAGTACTAATACTGGATCCCAACTTTTTTGTAAGGTGTTTGTTGCTCAACATTTGTTTTACAGTGTTTTATGAGAATGTTTGTCGTTTACTCTTTTTTTGGCGATATGTGTCTTTTAAAAAAAATTCTCCAATAGCATCTTCTTACTGATTTTTATCAACATATTCTTTGGCTATGTCCATCAGTGTCTTTTATTTCTACGTTGGTATATTCTTACTGAATTTATGTACCAGAGACTACTTTTGTAAAGTTACAAAAAAATCTGAAACTATCTGTAAAAGTGATGACCCTTTGTTTTAACATAGACATACAATACAACATTTAACATTGTCAACTAGGTGAAATCTTCTGATGTCACATGATCCTCTAATTTTCATCGGAAATTCCATATTAGGATCTCAATTCTCAAAAATCACAATCTTCTTTAAAAATAACACCTGCAAATTATCCTTTCAAGAAATCATACAGATTACGATGTTTAACAACTTCATAGTTGTACTATAAAAAAAGGAATTATCACCCATATCTGGGACATCATTAATTTTCAACATATTGACTTCAATTTCGGACCTCCGTTGTCCATAGAATCTTATAAGATAATTCTTCAATCCTTCAAACCATATCCAAAATAAATGGAGAATGTGTCCCCATGGACACAGATGATGTCCCCGCTTGCATACAACATTATAAAGGGACATAACTCAAGAACAATAAAAGTGACGATACCCAAATTTGTACTTGATCTGAGTTTTATGGTAATAAGTATTGTGTATAGGTTTCATAATGTTTGGTTGGGGCAAACTAAATTTACAGAACGGAAACTAAAATTTTGCAATTTTTTGATTTATAAAGGGGCAAAACTTGATAATGATTAGCATGACGCCACAAAAATTCAACTTGATCTGTGTTTTGTGCTAAAAAGCATTGTGTATATGTTTCATACTTTTGGTTGAGGCAAACTTAACTTAGAGAACGGAAACTAAAATTTTGTAATTTTTCCATTGATAAAGGGGCATAACTCTAGAACGGTTAGAGTGACCCTACCAAAATTCAAACTTGATCTGTATTTTGTGGTAATAAGCATTGTGTAGAATTTTCATAATATTTAGTTGAGACAAACTTAAGTTAAAGAACGGAAACTAAAAATTTTGCAATTTTTCCATTTATTAAGGGGCATAACTCTAGAACGGTTAAAGTGACGCTACCAAAATTCAAACTGGATCTGTATTTTGTGGTAATAAACATTGTGTATAAGTTTCATAACATTTGGTTGAGGAAAACTCAAGTTAGAGAACGGAAACCAATTTTCGGACGCTACGGCGGGGGCATAAAAATCAAAAATGAGAAGCAATATCTCTGTTTTTGAAAAAGCAGAGGCATGTGGTATCTCAATAGATTATATAGCCATGAAAGAATTGTCATTCTCTTGTATAATATGTCTCTGGCATTAGAAACTTACTTTATGGCATATAGAGACTTATTCTATGGCATATTAAAGGATCAAAACTCCACAAAAGCTCAATAGTGTTTATTCAGTATTTTTATTATTTATGCACCTTGAAATTTTCCTTTACTGATTTGATTATACATTTCTTTTCATAAATTGTTAGAACATTTCAAGAGGACTAGATGCATACTAGATCATTCTATTAGAATATGTATTTTTAATTTTCTAATGACACCAATGTTTTTACTTCTACACTGTGTTCAAAAATAGTGTTGAAAGTCAATTATTTAATTACAGCACATGCTTTGAACTTTTGTCAATCATTCCCATAGTAAGATTGGTCAAGATTCTATTATTTGCAATTCAGTGAAGTTCTATCAATCTTATTTTTGCACTGTTTTTTCTCTCGCAATTTGCAAACTGAATTTTTTTCTTTTTGAATTCACAATTTGTTGGTGTCCTATATAAATTTAAAGCAATGACTTGGACACTTTACAGCTGTACCTGTATTATATTTATCAGTGTCTGTCAGTGGAAATTTTACTTCAGTATATAAATTGGTTGAATGCATTACTCCCACCATGTTCTTATATTTTATGCAGATTTTTTTTCAGTATGTCAATTCTAACCACAAAGACAGCAAAAAATGAAACCGCTAAGATGTGTCCCTGTATAGGGTAATAGTTTAAAAGTTCAGTTTCGGTAAATCCATATTGCAATGGACATCTGGCAATCAATTGTGGACAATCAAACTTGTTCAATCTTACAATGAATGCTTTAAGCTAAAAGTACATCTTCAGCTGATAATTTCAATGGTATTTTTAGGATTGTAGTAAAACTCTGAATTTAGATCATAATCTGTAACAAATAATATTCAAAAGCAAAAAACAATGATTTTATTATTTGACTTGAATATTCTGAATCTGAGTTCTTTAACTGTATAGCAAGCAAACAAAATTTTGCACTTTTAATACAAAATGTGCATTTACATATGCAATCTATATAAAGATAAGTATGGATTTCGTATAAAATGAGATTATAATATATGCTTATAATAAAATGTAATACTTTTAGCACTGGCCGGTATATTTTGATCAAAGCTGAGGTATTTGTTACTACAAATTAATTGCACATCCAATTTTTTTTTATCAGATTTATAACCAATATTGACATTTTGCAGTACCTCTAAACAGTCTGCTAGGGCTTGAGCTTTCATTAGCTTGTAATCCTATGTAAGTATCTGTTGAAAAAGTATATCATGATGTTGTCTAAACTTTGATGTAAAAATTTAAAAGTCCTAGGCCTATACTGGTAATCTTCATTCCTTTGAAGAATGTTCATGATTAGAATTTAACTTTGTGGTAACTTTATTAATTAACCAGTATTTAATCATACAATTTCATGAATCTACTTCACTGCTAAATTTTTTTTCAATCTGAGTATTTTTACACTTTACTGATAATTTAACAGAAAAAATAACAATAATGTCTGACACAGAATAAAGTTGGCAGTCTTTAAGTGGGAACAAAACAAATTTTAAATGTCTTTTAATTGGAAATGCTTGCTCTCATTTTTGTAGAAACGACAACATACATTGTTAAAAACATTCAAAATAGCTAAAATATACTATATGATATAAAAATGGGTTTTATTAAAATAAAATAAGACAAAAAATACAAAAATACAGCACCTAAACTTATAAAATGAAATATAAATGTTTGGATTAAGTCTATATATATCACAATAATACACAATGAAATAAAAATAAAAAGCATAGTAGATTTATTCAACCTGTTGTCATGACAACCTACAAAACATATCAGTATTCATGACAACCTTTAAGGTTACACAAATGTTTTAAAATAAGGAGTATAAATGAAACAATGTATGACATTTGCAATAGAATTAGTCAGCTTAAAAATTGAAACATAAAGTTTTAAAATAAAGTTTGTTTTTTAATTTTTTTATTGAACTGCCTACCAACGCCTTGGTTTATATCAACACTAGTAAATGAATTTAAGTCTTAAATGGTCATTTTGATCTCAATATCCTCTGAAATGTCTGAAACTCAAAAGTTTATGACTTGTTAAAGATCTTAAGTTACTTTTCAGATTTATTCTTATTTTAAATTCAGTACATTTTTTGTACTGACATTTTGTTTACAGTCAATCATGTACTGTTAAGTGCCTACAAAGTTTACTCATGTTACCGTTTAAAATAAAAAGATAGGCAGTTTTAATATAAATGGTATCTATGGTAACAAAATACAGGAAATATACATAAAAATATTGTTTTTAAAAACAGAAAGATAGAATGGCATGAATAATAAAAAGGAAAGTATCTACAAAAAGGCATATCAACACCTATTTTTGACAATATTAATTACTGAAATGCAGTACAATTACAATTAAAATGTCAAAATTCAAACACTTTGACATTCAAATATTTAAAGACACATTTCACAAAATGATTTTGCATATTTAACAAAACAAATGAAACGAACATTCAATACATTAACAGATCTGCATCACTACCATATATGGAATTAAATAAAACTTAGTGGCTTGTACAAGTTGGTTAACTTCATTCCAATTCATAGCTAAGCTGGCTATTAAGTTATTCACTGTTATAATCATATAAATTCATTCATTGTATACAAAATGTGTAATTTTACAATTTGGTTAACTTCATTCCTAAAAATAGTTACTTTTCAGCCTTCCGAAAATTATCAGCTCCTATAACCATTCAGTGAACTTATTCTCTCTTTTAACTACCATTGCTGGATAAAAAATTGTTCTTAAGAAAAATTCTTTTTGAGAAAGTTCTTACTTTTTCATTATAACTATCGCTTATCTAAAAAATCTCATAGCTTTAAAGCTATGGAAAATTGAAGCAATTTTATTCGTAAGGAATTTTCTCCATACATCTTAAAATTCTTTAAAATCATTTGATTGGTTCAACCCTATACCATCCACAAACCAATCAAAACAAGCCATCTAAGTATTCCTAAATATGGTAGACAATTTGTTCACATTAACAAGATCACACATGCACATTAACAAATATTAACAGATTTTCACACTTTTATTAAAAATTATTGTCATTTAACAATTTAGCTAGAACAAGGGCGCACATTGAAACCTCTAACTGCATCTTCTGGAGCGCGTAATGGCCCCTTGTCCATGAAATAAATATCATAAATACAACCACTAAAGGTTTCTTTATATCTATTGGATGTCATAGTCTCTACAGAGGATACTCCTCCTAAAAAAAAAAAGATAAAAAAATCAATTATAACCAAAATCATGCAAGTCTCAACCCATTTTCTTCTAATTTAATTGACGAGGGTCCTATTTAAGAAAATATCAGTTGGTGCAAGATTTAGAAATCCTGTAAATATATTGGAAAATAAAACCCAATACCAGCTGTTTTGCCTCAGGGATAAGGTAAATATATATTTTTTGGCAGGTTTTTATTTTTACAATTTCAATGCATTAACCTTTTAAGGGTGTTAGTTCACACATAAAAAGATAAGACTTGGTAGAGACAGTTCATTCACGTGACATTTTCCTGAATTTAATGTGACTTTCTATACAAGAACACACAATCCCACAGGCTTAAATTTTCACTTTACAGTATATGTACTGATTTGAACACCATTAAAAATTAAATTGCTTTGCCGATGCAGCTGGATACGACCGCAGAGGTCCAACCCTGATCAGTTGGGGCAAAAATGGACACAAATTATTCGCGCTTGATACAGGTCTGAATTTGGATTGTAATTAAATATTTGACACATAATAAGTTTCTGACACAGAATAACTGTAGTCAAAGAACTTATAATTGGTTATATTTTTTGAATTTATATTCAAATTTTTTGCTTTTGTGCAATACACTATGCTGTTGCGAATTATACCCCTCCCCCCAAAAAAAAAAATAAAAAAATTTTAGCCCCCTTTTTTTTTGATTTTGTGCAATACACTATGCTGTTGCCAAATGACCCCCCCCCCCCCCCCCCCCCCCCCCGCCTCCCCTCCCCCCGAGAAAAAAAAAAATATTTTAATTTCTGAAATCTGAAATGAGAAAAAAAAATGCTCCCCCCCACAATTTCTTTTTTACCCCCCCCCCCCCAATTTTTTTTCGCCTCCCCCCTCCCCCTTTTTCAAAAAAAAAATTCTTTCCCTCAAGATATGGTCATTATCTCAATTCAAATTTCAAATGGAGTTTGCAACCATAATAACCCATTTAAATACATCATAAAAGTCTTAAAATAGAAAATGACATACATAATCATGTCTAAAATTAATATTCCTTAATCAGCATTTTTAATAGTAACTTCTAAAAATAAATTGACAGCTAATCACCTCAAGACAATACAACATTTCTTTATACAAAATTTAAAAGCAGTGTAATGGTGGTAATCCAAACACAAAACATTGTAATTAAAAGTAATTGTCCATTAACAAGGAAACCCTTGTTTTTCCCTCTTTTTTGTCCCTAATTCCTAAACGGTTTGAGCCATTACCCCCCAAAGCCAATCCTAACCATCCCTTTGTGGTATGGAAACTTGTGGTATAATTTCAGAGAGATCCATACACCGTTCCACAAGTTATGGTCTGGAAACTAGAATAAACTGCTTCGCTGAGCGCAGCTAGATACGCCCGCAGAGGTCCGACCCTGAACAGTTGGGGCAGAAATGGACACAATATTCAAGCTTGATTCAGGTCTGAATTTGGATTGTAATTAAATATTTGACATATTATAGGTTTCTGAATAAATGTATTCAAAGAAGTTAAATTGGTTATATGAATTGAATTTATATTCAATTAAAAATTTCTTGCTGTTGTGCAACACTTAGTAAATCTGTTGTCAAGACTATAAACAAATAAAGTTCAATTAATTCTCAATGCCATATTAGAAATTTATGAAAATAAAAAGGGAGCGTACATCAATAGATATAAACAATTCACCAAAGTTTCATAAGAATTGGTGACAGCATTTTTGAGTTATTGTCTGAAAACTGGAAAATCACCCTTTTTTTAATGAATAAAACCCCATAACTCAGAAATGTTAAATGTAAAATTTATAAAATTCTAAAGAGAGTTTACATCAATACATACAAACAATTCACCAAAGTTTCATAAGAATTGCTGAAAGCATTTTTGAGTTTTTGTCCGAAAACTGAAAAATCCCCCCTTTTTTTATGGATAAAACCCTGTAACTCGGAAACGTAAAATCTAAAATTTATAAAAATCAGAAGCGAGCTCATGTCAATAGATATAAACAATTCACCACAATTTCTTGCAAGTTGGTGAAAGCATTCTTGACTTATTGTCCGAAAACTGGAAAATCCCCCTTTTTTTAATGAATAAAACCCCATAACTCGGAAACGTAAAATCTAAATTTTATAAAAAACGAAAGGGAGCTCACGTCAATAGATATAAACAATTCATCAAAGTTTTATGCAAATTGGTTAAAGCATTCTTGAGTTAATGTCCGACATGTTGACGACGGACAGACGGACGGACAGACGGACAGACGGACGGACGGACAGACGGACAACGGTATACCATAATACGTCCCGTAAACGGGCGTATAAAAATGCTTATTTGGGGCCCTTTTTAGCCCCTAATTCCTAAACTGTTAGGACTATAACCCCCAAAATCAATCCAAACCTTCCTTTTGTGGTTATAAACCTTGTGTTTAAATTTCATAGATTTCTATTTACTTATACTAAAGTTATTGTCCGGAAACCAAATGTCTTCGGACGACGCTGACAATGACGACGACGTGATACCAATATACGACCGAAAAATTTTTTTGCGGTTGTATAAAAACAGTTATAAGTATCATTCATAATTAACGGACCGAATGAAAGAATATAAAGTCCACAATTATATAATTTTCATGTCAGTTATCATGGTTATAGATTTTTAAACAAAGAAGTATTTGAAACTTTAAAAATTTGAAATCAGGATTTAAAAAAAAAAAAAATAGTTCAATGATTTTTTGGTGTTTCATAAAGCAAAGTATGAACTTTTCTAAATTAATAAAACTGAGGTCAGGATTTTTATCCACATATCAAAATAATTTTCAAAAAGATTTTCTACAGTTTTCTTCAGTACTGAACAAGACAGAAAAGTACAAGATAGTGAACTATTTTCCTTGTTGTTCTACCTTTAGAAGAACCCTATATGTATCTATGATGCTAAATTATTCCTTTATGGTACCCATCGCACAGTAAACATACCTATATAAAGATTACTGTCTGCATTAAGCATCTGAAGTATTCCTTGTGAGGTACCCTCAACTACAGTTTCTTGTTTGTTGTCAATCTTCAGTGTACCCTGACGTCCCAACCTGTCAAAAATATACATATTTAGTATTAAACAAATGAAGAATGTGTTCATGGGACACAGATGCCCCCACTTGTAAATAAACAGCAAATTCAGCAATTTTTCCACTTAAAATGAAACATAACTCGAGAACAGTGAAAGTGATGCCACCCAAATACAAACTTCATCTGTGTTTGTTAGTAATAAGAATTGTGTATATGCTTTATAACATTTGGTTGAGGCAAACTTAAGTAAGAGAACAGAAACAGAGGGGAAAGGGGGGGGGAGGGGGGGAGGGAGGGGGATGATTGAAAGCAAAGGCTGGAAAGCAATTTTATATCAAATTTTTATTCATTATTTCTAAAAAACCTTTTCCACGCACCTGATGGCAAATAACAAATGTAAGATTCCTATATAAGAAATAACTCTCAAAACTTGACATGTCAGTATAGACATGAAAGAGATAAATATTTAAAAATTCCCAGTAAGTATGTTGTAAAATTGCACCTGAACATTTATTAACTTTGAAAAAGCTTAAAATCTGAATAACACCTCCATAAATGAGCTTATTCAGGGGCTCAGGTTCATTCTCTTTCTGATGATAGAGCTTTTAATGCCATTCAAATGCTTGTGAAGACAATGGGAGAAAAAATGTATATTGTGTTGTGAACTTCAGAAAAAAAAGAAGAATGGAGTATGTGTCCATGGGACACAGATGATGCCCCAACTAGCATATAAATTTATAAAGGGACATAACTCAAAAACAGTAAAACTGACTCCACCCAAATTCGAACTTGATCTGAATTTTGAGTTGATAAGCATTGTGTATAAGCTTCATAACATTTGCTTGAGGCATACCAAAGTTAGAAAAACTGTAGAATTTCAAGAGGTACGGACAGACAGACATACAGACGGACAAGGGTAACATGTTATGCCCCCTCTGCTGCGGCAGGGGTATACAAATACAAGGGGGCAAATGTTTTTTTCTGAGTGGTATCAAAAGTACAGATTGGCTCATAATACATCTGAGAGGTACCCATTTTTTGTTTCTGAGGGGTATTTTCTTGTCTAAATATATAAAAATGAGGGGTTGAAGGCACAATTTGGCATCTGAGGGGTTTTAAGCCAAGCATCTGAGGGATTAAAATTTGCCTGAAAATTGTCTTAAGGGGGTTTTCGACAAGGTAACTATACACACCCACCCCTCCCTGTTCAGAGATTAAATGATATAGCCCAATGCTATAATATCTGTCTCTCATGAAGCAAATATTTGATAGGAACCAATACTGTAGTATATCTTTCAGTGTAAAATCATAATTCTAATTTTCATGCTATTTTCACATTTCTTGATCGGTGTGAGAAAAATATTCCTGATCTCTAGAGAAAACTTTGTTCTCGGCAAATGATTGGTCAAAATTTAATTATCACGTCAAAGTTTCTTGGTTTCTTCTGAATTTCCTATTGTGACGTCATAAAAAAAGAAGACCATGCCTGATGATGTCACATAAAAAGAACACAATTTTCTGCAAATCTTTGAAAAGGAAGGATAACTTTGTTTAGATATCGAATGAAAATCATTAGAGAAACAGATTCCACCACTATAACTCTTGTATTAAGATATTTCTCCACTCTCAACAGTAAAATTTTAATTATTTGAAAAGCTCGGCTAGCCTCACGCTTTAAATATTAAAATTTAACTGTCTTGAGTGGAGAGATATCATAACACACTTGATGCAGTTGTGGAATCTATATTTCTCTCATTTGATACTAATATGATTAAGGGACTTTATGAGACAGACTTTGATTGAAATTTGTTCTAAATCCTTATCACATTTAAAATATTCCTTACCTTGTAACTTCAATGGTATGGCCATAGCCATCATTTACTTTCTGTAATGACCTTATTACAGCTGGTCCACTTCCAAGGTCGTAACTGAAATGCAAATAACAGATTCAAACAAAGTTACAATAAGAATAGACCAAAGAACTTCTAAAAAAATTTCATATGCCTCAATGAAAATGAAAATTTTAAAAGATTTGTTTTGTGAAATGATTCTACTTAAGAAGAGAATATCTACAAATTTATTCTTCTGGGTTATTTCTACCAAGACCTTATTTTTATGCCAAATGACCCAATAACCAAAGCAAAAACAAACTTTAATTGCTTATATCCATGCCATTTGAACCCTGGTGGATAGTTGTCTCATTAGCAATCATACCACATCTCCTTATTTCAATATAAAGCCAAATATAAGAAGTATATTTTAAATAAAAAATTAAATGAAAGGTTGAGGAGAATTACTTATATTAAATCATGGATTTTTTTCCTTGTTGAAGCCACATTACACTGCAGGCATTTTCAGGGTTTCCAAAATTACGGACAATTGAATGACACTTCGTACCCCGAAAATTTAACCACAAATGTGAAATTGTCTTTCCCTCAAAACGAGCGATCATAATCATCCAAGTTAATTATACGATGAGCAGAATAGAAAAAAAAATATGATGGTCTACCTGAAATAAATTGGGCATTTGACAAAAATGAAATGAATCCTGACTTGAAAAACTACAAAGCTTTGGTACATTACCTGTATTCTATAAATCCATCTTTTAGACCAACTGATAAATAGTCCTTTGACCGACTAATTCCCCCTGCAGTAGCCTGGCCCTGGTAGAATATAAGACCATTAGGTTCTGTGGTCCTGATAGTCACTTTGACAATTTGCTTGTCTTCTGTCTGGACCAAGAAAGACTTGTCAAACTCCAAGAAACCATCACCTGTAACACTGATCTTTTCTCCTAGTGGGGTTGCTGTTCAGATAATAAAAATTAGAAATTTTAAAATATTTAAGGGAGTACCCAACACTTTGACTAAAATAGATTTGTTTATATCCACATCATTTGAACTTTGGTGGATAGTTGTCTCATTGGCAATCATACCACATCATCTTATTTTTATATGGATTGTTTAATTTTCATGAAATTTTGACAAAATATTTACTTTGACCTGTTGATTAAAATATAAAAATTTCAAGAAATAATTTCGTTGAATACATAGCAGTTTGACCAACACTAATTTTGATCATTAAGAAGCTTGATTTCTCTTTTCTTATAGTATGTGATTAAAATGTTCAGTTGATTTTCAGAGTTAACTCCCCTAGGTGTTCTGTACATTTAAACATTAAACATTTATACATGATCTTAAGATAACTAATAAACAGCTGCGCCATGAGCGCATGATACGCCCGTCGTCTTGTATGTGAATTTTTATGCAATAATCATAAATAGTTTCTGACATACGGCGCGACATGTAAAAACTCAATATCTCTAAAATAAAATTTTGAATTAAAACCAAAAAGTATACAGATCTTTAGGTTAGTATAACTAAGAAGTGTGTAAAATTATAAGCAATAATCATAATTCGTTTTTGAGATAAGGCGCGACAAGTGAAAACCCCCCTTTTTAAAAAAAAATCAATATCTCTAAAATAAAATTTTGAATCAAAACCAAAAAGTATACAGATCTTTATATTAATATAACTAAGAAGTGTGTAAAATTTTAAGCAATAATCATAAATAGTTTTTGAGATACGGCGTGACATGTGAAAAACCCCTCCCCCTTTTTTTACAAAATACTCAATAACTCAAAAATAAAATTTTGAATCATCATCAAAAAGTATACAGATCTTAAGATTAATATAAGTTAGAAGTGTGTAAAGTTTTAAGCAATAATCATTAATTGTTTTTGAGATACGGCGTGACATGTGAAAAAAAACACACACCTGTTTTAGTTACTAAGTCCCGTAACTCAAAAAGTTTTAATCTTATTTTCACCAAAAAGTATACAGATCGTTTGACCATCATAAGAAACAACTATATAAGTTTCATGAAATTTGGATAAGTCGTTCTCAAGTTACGGTGTGACATGTTTACGCCGGACAGACAGACGGACAGACAACATTTGTATACCATAATACGTCCCGTCAAAATTTTGACGGGCGAATAAAAACTGTTATTTGGTAAATTGGTTTTGTAAAATTTGGAGTATTAATAAAAAAATTACTTAAAATAGAAATTTTTAACAGAATCTCAAATTCTAAATAATGGCAAAAAATTTTATTGACAAAAATTCAAAAACAAGAAGAGCGAACATCCTTAACAAATGTTTTTTTTTTTTTTAAAGTACAACTTGTGTTATTGTTTGCCTTATTTCCAGTGGTAAATATTATACTTTAATTATTTTTATGCATAGTCAGGTTTTATCCCATAATAATAAAAACAAGAATACCCCCTTTTTCATGCTTAGTTTACTCCCACTACTAATTAAAATTATTGCTATTTGATGTATTTTTCCTTCGATCTTTTTTTGTAATGATTTTTCATATCATTCTTCTCCCTTGAGATAGAAAACTATCGCTAGTATCTAAGGCTGATAGCAACAGCATATTGTTTCTCAGTCAATAGAAAGAGAACTTCATTATATGAATTCCCGATTCAGAATTTTTTTTTAAGTGAATTCGATATATTGAAACTTCAAAGTATGAGCAAACAGAAAGTATTTATCTTACAGATCAGAATAAAGAGCTGCGCCATGAGTGTTTTCAACAAATAAAGTTCCATAATTTATAGATATAAACCAGTCACTAAAATTTCATGAAAACTGCTCAAAGCATTTTTGAGTTATTGTCCGAAAACTAGAAAATCCTCCATGTTTTATGAATAAATCCCCATAACTCAGAAATTGAAAATCTAAAATTCACAAAAATCGAAAAAGGGAGCTTGCATAAATAGATATAAACAATTCACCAAAATTTCATGAAAATTGGTATAAGCGTTTTTTGAGTAATTGTCCAACATGTTGACGACGGACATGTGGTTTACCATAATATGTCCTGTAAACAGATGTATAAAAATGATCTGATTAAAATACATTTTTGCTTACAAGGATCTGAAAATGTTCCATTTTACTTTCTGTTCTGGTAAATATAACATCAACCAAACAAATGTTAGCCTTCAAATTTTTGAAGGTGTGTATTAATCCAACAAAACCAAAGGATCCCGAAAGTAAAGCAAAGCTTGGACACAGTATTTGTAAATTAATCAGATTGGTTATCAAAGAATAACAGTGCTGTATTGGAATATTTGTCACAGGAGCAGAGCCAGCAAAATGGATATTTGCGACTGTCAAATCTCACATTGATGGTGGCAACTCTTTAAATACAATACTGTTATTCCTAGTATGCTTATGCAATACTCTTAAAATTTTCAAAATTAAACATTTCAAATATCCGGTAAACTTTGACTATGATTGCTCAATGTTGTTGCCAATGACTACGACAGTCAACCGTTGAATTGATGGCAGACGTCATTCAATCAAAATTGCCATTACATGCCAAACATACTTCCTTCACAATGAACACCAATATAACAAATGGATGGAAGGACAGATGGACAAAGTGAATGTAATAAAGGTATAAAGTACTTACTTCCTTCACAATGAACACCAATATAACAAATGGATGGAAGGACAGATGGACAAAGTGAATGTAATAAAGGTATAAAGTACTTACTTCCTTCACAATGAACACCAATATAACAAATGGATGGAAGGACAGATGGACAAAGTGAATGTAATAAAGGTATAAAGTACTTACTTCCTTCACAATGAACACCAATATAACAAAAGGATGGAAGGAACAGATGGACAAAGTGAATGTAATAAAGGTATAAAGTACTTACTTCCTTCACAATGAACACCAATATAACAAAAGGATGGAAGGACAGATGGACAAAGTGAATGTAATAAAGGTATAAAGTACTTACTTCCTTCACAATGAACACCAATATAACAAAAGGATGGAAGGACAGATGGACAAAGTGAATGTAATAAAGGTTTAAAGTACTTACTTCCTTCACAATGAACACCGATATAACCAAGTGGACAATCACATCTGTAGCCGTCAGCAGTTATACTACATGGAGCATTATTTTGACATGGCTGCTTGGTGATGCATACATTTATCTGGGTCTCACAATTCTTTCCTGGAAAAAAACATTAAGTTTGTATTCTGTTATTTTCTTAAAAGAGAGGCAAAAGATACCAAAGGGACATTTAAATTCATTTGTTGAAGAAAAATAAAAAACGAATAATGACATGGCAAAAAACGAAAACAGTTCAAAAGACAAACAACAGTATATAAAAAAAACCATAGAAACACAAAGACTGAGCAACATGAACCCCACAAAAAACCAGGAGTGATATAAGTCACATTGCAGTTGAAGGTACTTACGAAAAAGGACATTAAACATATCAATTCTCCTTTTTTTGGATGTGAGTAACGATATTTCTCCACTTATGAATTTTGATGTTTAGTCTTTCAACATCCTAGCTAAAAGAATGAAAATTTATTTCTACAATACAGCTTTTTCAAATTATCAAAGTTTTCAGGTTACCAATAACAAAATGTATAAACTTTCCACTGACAGACATGTAAAAGCTATATACATGTTCCTTAAATGACTGTGTAGACTGGGGTATAATAATGAATTAATAAGGCCATCCTTAAAAAATTCTTTGTTTGATGTTGCCTACCCATGCCTTGTATGGTTGGGTAGGTAGGTAGGGATTTTATTTTATTTTTCAGACAACAACATAAGTTACATGTTTTAAACAAGAAAACAACATTAGAACAGGAAGAAATCTCTAAAAAAAAATGCAAACGATTTGTCATAAATTTTTTTTGGGTAGGCTGCTTTTTAGTTGGGTAGGTAGGCAACATCACACCATTTAAATTTTATTTTTGGCCCAACCAATCATAAGTTAATTGAAATTGCTGGTTTATAATTGGTTGACTGATATGACATGTCTGTGTCTCAACTCATTAAATAAACTCATCATAGATACCAGGCTTAAAAAAATTTACACCAGACATGCGTTTCATCTTCAAAAGACCCATCAGTAATGCTCGAATCGAAAAGTTATAAAGGCCAAATAAAGTACGAAGTTGAAGAGCATTAATGACATGTTTTTGCAACATTGTGACATGTTGATTCAATGTTCAATTGACAGGGGATGCATGCACAGCAGGAAACAATTTAATTACCCTGTGAATGCACCCAGTTTCGTTCCTTTTAGAGGTCAAGCAATGCCCTCTGTTTACATTTTTTGTTTGTTCATCTAGATTAAGTTCTTTTAAAATAGATTTATGAGATTTGAACGTTGATTAACTACTGTTGCCTTGAAGAAGGAGGTTCACAAAGGGTCATTGTTGGCCCTAAAATTCTATGAAATTTAAATTCAGTAATATAATAGTAAACACTTGATGATAAGATATGTAAAAATATCTGACAAATACAAACTCATAAAGCTCTGACACATTATAAGACTTATGATGTCATTATGACTTCATGGAGAATTTTTTCTATTAAATTCAAAGTTAAGAAGTGCTTTAAAAAAAAGGGGAAAGGGGTTGGGGGGGTAAATGTTTTTTCTCAAAAAAACAAAAAAAATTGATTCCCAACCTTGAAGAAATAAATATTTTGAAACAGTATTTACTGTAAGGCTTCAAATCTTTGTATTCAATTAAAAAACGAAATTGCCAAAATAGCCTCATTTTGAGATCAAAACCATAATGTATTATGAGGCAGCAGTTCTTCTCAAAAAGATTTTTGGCTACAAAATGTCTAATACATTTATAATGAGAAGTTATATTTTGGATAAAGCTGTAGCCAATAAAACATTTAATTTTGCCAAAGCTATGTGAAAAAATAAAAACTTCACACAAGAACAAAATCTTGAAATTCCTGACCTGTGAATTTTGTAGGACAAACGCATCTATACTCCAAAGATGAAAGTCTTTCACAAGTTCCACCGTTCAAACATGGTCGACGATTACAGATGTTTCTCTCACCACAATCATGTACATTATATGTCTCCACAGCTGAACCAATCAAATCTACTTGTTTGGAATTAATTTTAACCTGTCAAAATGAGAAAAAAAAATAAAGTAAAAATCTGTAATAAGATGTAATAAGATTTCTTGAAACACATGAACACTGTTCAAATTAATCTCAGAAATTTGTACTTTTTAGACTGTTAATATTTTGATAATTCACACATTTTTAACTTCTTATTGGTCAACATTAAATTTCAATGTCATCGCTGTCCCATCTTATGGAACCAGATTACATTTCTAAACTCTGTTAAAAAAACCCTTGTATATCCAAAAACATCTAATACAATTTCTACTAAACAACTCACCTCTGATCAGATGATAACTCACCTCATCAACTCATTATCCCTGATCACATGACAATTGGCCTCGTGAACTCCTTACCTCTGATCATATGACAACTCACAATATGAACTCCTTAACCCTGATCCCATGACAACTCACCTCATGAATTCCTTACCTCTGATCACATGACCACTCACCACATAATCTCTTTAACCATGTTCACATGACAACTCACAACATGAACTCCTTACCTCTGATCACATGGCCACTCACCACATAATCTCCTAAACCATGTTCATATGACAACTCACAACATGAACTCCTTACCTCTGATCACATGGCCACTCACCACATAATCTCCTAAACCATGTTCACATTACAACTCACAACATGAAATCCTGAAACCTGATCACATGACAACTCACAACATTAAATTCTGAAACCTGATCACATGACAACTGACAACATGAAATCCTGAAACCTGATCACATGACAACCCACCTAATAAACTACTTAACCCAGATCACATGACAACTCACAATATGAACTCCTGAACCATGATCACATGACAACTCACTTTATAACCTCCTTATCCTTGACAACACGGCAACTCACCTCAGCCACACAGCCAACGAGACCATCAGTTATTCCCAGATTTTGTGGTAGTTTATGATCAGAGTCAGTGCCTCCAATGTATAACATGGTTCTTAGATCCAGACCGATTGTTGTTCCAGGTGATGTTGCTAAAAATGAAGTAAAATATTATTGATACAATATCTAAAGCCACTGATTACCTCCCTTCTTTAATTAAAATAATAAAGGGAAGTAATCGACCCTGGATTTCAAAATGAATCAGTTGTACCTGTACAAATTAAAGAATAAGTGAAAATGTGAGATTTGCTTTATCTCTGAAAAAAATGTTTACCATTTATTTGGTTCTCCCCCTTTTTAACTTAATAAAATTCTATAAAACTGTCTCAATTACACATTTTTAAAATCAGGCAACTGCACAAAAGGTCAAACTAGTACATTAATGTCCAAGTCTCTGTAACATGTCTGAAATCAAAATTTCTAAATTAAACTTCATTAACTTTGCAAATATATATAATTATTTTTTAATATTAATAGGAAGTAAGAAAATATGTGATGTAACCATGCAAAGTTACCATTATATTTTAACAGTTAAAGTGACCGTGAGTGAAAGATAGAATAAACAGATAACATTCATTATCTGAATTTAAAAATCTACCGACTATATTAGCCAACCAAGATTAGCTCAAAACTTGAAATAAATGATCAAAAGACTTAAGAGCAAGCAATGCACACCTGGTATCTCAGCCTGATGTCAAGAATGGCCACTTTCCTATCAAATGAAGCCTATTCTCAATTAAAATAGAATTTTAAAGTAGTAAATGACTCTGAACAGGACCTTTTACCCAAATTGTACATTTATCATTTCTTTTTTTTTACTGGTCACTGCAGCCATATTTGATGGTGTTTGATCATTACCGAATTTTTCTATTCTATCTCTAGTTTTAGGAAGTGGACTGTTAATTATTGTGCTTGAAAATTGAACATAAATTTGCAAATCTTAAAACATCCTAAAAATGGGGGAAACAAAAGAGAGGGATAGATCTGGGGTCTCATCCAAAATTCCAGTGAAAATAAACGTCAAACCCAAATTCCCGTGTAAATGATGTGTCCATTTCTGCATCACAATATAATTAAATCCTGAATTCCCGAAGATTTAACAGACTATCCCCAAATTCCCAAAGATTTAACAGACTATCCCCAAATTCCCACATATTAAACAGCTTAATCCTGAATTCCCGAAAAAAGTCCTTCTGACTCTCATGAAACCAAAGGAGCAATAAAACACATAAAAATGATTTCTGCCAATTTTCATGTGTTCCACTGTTCACAGCAGAACACATTTTAAAAATTAAAAGATGCCAGATGTAAAGTGTTGGACTGAACTCTTGGACCAGGTGAGCTAAAGGTTAAATGTTAAATTTTAAAGAAAAGAATTAAAAGGCAGACATCTATATTTTGAGTTAAAACTAGACTCTCATGACACCATGCAATGACAATCAATCTATTCATCAATTGGCCATTTCAAATTCTTAAGAGCATACATCAAGCATTGTGATTGGTTTAGAACCTTCTAAACAAATGGCATTCAACCAATCAAATTTTCAAGAGCAGACATCATGCATTGTGATTGGATAAGAATTTTCTAAACAAATGATTTTCAACCAATTGGCATGTTATTATTTTCATTTTTGTGTATGCATGTGTCAGCATGTCAGAAATAAACATTCCTACCAATATTTTGGAAAAATTAAAAGATATACTATTTTCAAATATATAGATTTAAACAGAAAAAAAGTCATTCTCATAAATTAAGCAATTCCTTATAGATGTGAAAGCTTTATATATACACTTTTGTCCAAGTTCCAAATATATTACTACGCAAAATTTAAAAATATCTTTGAAAGTCCATCATGTGATTACAGGTCAAAATAGCAAGGTTTGATCCAGTGTTAATTGCTGGTTCTCGCAGAGAGAAATGAAACAAAGTTTTTATTTCCTGTTATTAATTGACACATGTGATTTGGTGCTATAAAATATCCTATTCAAAAGGATATCTAACTTTTAGTTTGGAGCAACAGATATATGACAGGTGTCACTAGTAGAGCAGGTGCTGCTGACCCTTGGGGAACATCTCAAGTCAACCCTAGTTTTTAGTGGTGTAAGTGTTGCTCAATCTTCATATTTCTCTGCAGTGATTTATGGACTGTTTTTTGTCTCTCTTTTCTGATGATGAACTTTCAATACTATATTTAAACATTGAGTAAATGCTGCAAGTAATTTGCATTTCAAGCAGTAAAAGCAAGCTTTAATAAAGAAATTATGTTGAAAAAGTAATTAATATTACATGATCTGAATTTAACATGCACATTCAAAGTTATTTCAGAAAAAAATAAAATTCAGAACAAGACACAGAAAAAATTAAAAATGAATTAGTTAATATGCACATTCCAAATTATTTTTTGTTAAAAAAAGTTTGTACATTGACGGACACAAAAAAAGGCCAACATATTACACAACATATCTCTTATCAGTACTGTGTCATGATAATGTTTAAGACTACACAAAATGTTAATTGGCTTATTAAAATCTCAAAATATCTCAAATGTAGCGAAAACAAGACCATCCATTTACTACTTGGTGTGGGTTGGCACAACTTTACTTTTACTTTTTTATTTATTTGAACAATTTTTACAAACAAAATCTACTTTGTAATCTTTATCTCATTTAAAATAATTATTTCTCAGTTATTACAAATTTTTTCTTCTTCTAGACAAAAAAAAACAAACAAAACAATATGGGACTTTCTTGCAATATCAACTTATTCTCACAAGTTACTGAATATGTATACTTAACCACTAGTCAAATATCATTCTTCAAATATATTATTTAATTTTAAAACATTTCTATAATTTAATTTGAAAATATTTCTGAAACTTAAAATAACATTATTTCTACATTTTAAATCTACTTCCTGTACAAAAACCAAAGCGAAAACCCTACCCATGCATTTTCAATATTCAAGTTACAATGACCTACTTAAAAGGAATCTTTCTTTTACATGCAAAAATCTATAATAAAATGATAATGATTTATGAAGATGATTCTAATGATAAAACTAAGCACATCATAATAAAAATACCCACACCAAGTTAATGTACTGGTCTCCAAAGACAAAGATAAGCATACAAGCAGTACGAAAACACCATTGAAAATTCAATATCTGTATAAAGATCCAAGAGAACATTTTATATTAATAAACAAACAATTTTTCTATTGCCGATAATTGATGGACAAATTTTATTTGGGGTAACTGTTTTTAATTTAAAACAATGACCCATGCTGGTTGACAGCTTGTCTGTCAAGCAATTCAGACCTGTATTTTACTTAAAAATCTTCAGACTAAAATTGATTGTAAATATAGAATTGTTGACGACACATGATCAATTTTAGTCCTAAGATTTTTTTGTCAAACTTAGGCCTGTATCATAGAAACATAAAAGTTATTCTACATTCTCCAACTTCTTTAGTAAATTGAGGAATTTTCAATGGATTTTATATACTACTTTTAAAAAAACAAATATCAAGCAGTGCCTATACCTCTTCTGTAACGATAACGTCTCAACAGATGGTAGTTGTAGTAATTTCTATATCTACTGTTGTAGTAACTCCATGGCCAAACTGAGGGCAATAAAAGTCATAATTATCAACCATTAGTTGCTTAGCAACCAAGGTCAAAACAAAAAAATTTGTATTAAAAATTATCATCAATTGACTCAACTGAGGGAAATAAAAGTCTCAATTATCAACCATTAGTTGCTTAGCAACCAAGGTCAAAACAAAAAAAATGTATTCATTTTTACCATCAATTGACTCAACTGAGGGCAATAAAAGTCACAATTATCAACCATAAGTTGCATAGCAACCAAGGTAAAAAAAAAAAAAAGGAGATACGATTGGCCAGGCAATTTAATGGGTGGTGTCACATAAAATTGAATTAAAAAATTATAAAAATTTAACTGAATTGATATTTCTATGTTTTTCAGTGGTATTCAAAATATATATTTTCTAATCAGAGGATAACTATGTAGAAAATTATTTGTAGAAATAAAAAAAATTACTAAAGATAAGAAGTTTGCATCTGAATCAAGCAGATCAAATTTTTATAAAAAAAAACATTTTCACTTCAAACACAGATCTCAAAATTGCAAAAAGTTGGACTTCAAACATTCACAATTCCCTAAACCTCAAAATTAGATAAAATTATCTCACCTTTGACAGGCTCTTCATCATTAACAACAAGTGTTCCTTCCTGTCCTTGCTTAGAAGCAACAACCTTGACCCATTCATTGACTGTTAGCCTTCGTCTACTGCTGAGAACTGCTGGGCCTGAATAAAATTGAAATCTTTTTGAAATACTCATGAGAAGTATAATAACAAATTTGAAAACTAATAATCTCTGCTGACATACAATGAAAAATTGCTACCTACAGAATAAGTATAGCAAAAATAAAAACTTGCACTTTAAAAACTGATAGCATAATTTGTATGCAGCGTTTACAGAAATTGTAAAAATTTATCTCCCATTTTTGTCAATTTATAAAAAAATTGCAATGATAAATGCACATAAAAATTTCTGAATTTACAGTAATTATCATAGTTTAATATGAAATGGAACGTGGTCTACTCAATGATGTCATACAATTTATGTTGGTTATAGAATTTGATTTTGCATCAAAACTGTAAGAAAGAAAACACTGAACTTTACATTTTGGTCCTATGTTGACATTGTTCACAGCCTCTCCCCAATCAACACCAGTTTAGACTTACCATACTGGCTCAATCTTGTAACGTTACCTACCAAAACCAGTGTTGTATCTGACCTCCAGATATCCATTCCTCAGAGCCAACAAGATATCATCTTTTGATTTACCTGAGCCAGTGTTGTATCTGACCTCCAGATATCCATTCCTCAGAGCCAACAAGATATCATCTTTTGATTTACCTGAGCATGTATTGTATTTGAACTCCAGATATCCATTCCCTGAGCCAAGATATCCTCTTTTGACTTACCTGAGCCAGTGTTGTATCTAAACTCCAGATATCTATTCCCAGAGCCAACAAGATATCATCTTTTGACTTACCTGAGCCAGTGTTGTATCTAAACTCCAGATATCCATTCCTAAGAGCCAAAGAGACATAATCTCCAGTTCCATCATTATTTTGAGCGCTATACAAAACAATTCCGTTCTCCAGACTGTGTGGTTTAAACTCTAATTCTATCTTCATTTCAAACTTAGCTCCTTGTACTGCAGCATAGGCAGCAAATGAAGTCTTGTTGAATCTTGGAATGTTGATTCTTCCAACTGAAATAAATTCAAATCATCAAATTTGTGCACATTAAGGTGGTACATAACACTACAGTAAATATTTTGTCAAAATTTTAGGAAAATTAAATGAGCCAAATTAATTTTAGTCAAGGTGTTTGGTACCACCTTAACATAAGACATTTCCATGCATGTCTGTATCTAGAGTCAACAGTCATGGAATCTTTAAATAAAAATTATATATTTTAAATAAAAATAATAAATAATTTTATGATTTGCTGTACACATAATACCTTCAGGCTGTTTCAAAATTATTGATAGTGGTGGGGAAATAGGAGGCACTGAAATTAATTAATTGTGGGAGATTGTGCTTTCCTTAGAATTTTGTATGCTTTGATTTCATGTTTTTTTAAATAAATTATCCATATATCCATAGAAAATTTCTATTCTGTGAAAAATTTTAATTCCTCAATCACCAAAACCAATGAAATGCAAGTAAATTGCTATCACATGAATAATATTGATATTCACCTGTCAGACAACCCGGTCCAGAACTTTCCATTGGACAAATACAAGTGAATCCATTAGGAAGGTCACGGCACCGTCCAGCTGATCCACAAGCTCCTGTAAAAGACAAATATTTTAAAATCATAAGCATTCATGATTGAATGATTCTTGGTTTTTAACACCACTTTCAGCACACTTGGCTATTTTATGGTAGCCATTCTTATTGGTGGAGGAAACTGGAGTTCCAGGAGAGAACCCTTACCCTCCCACAAGAAAACTGGTAATCCAAGTTCATTGAGATTTGTGTCAAACGCACCTTGCTGCAAGTGAGGTTGGAAATCACAAGTTTATTGTTGACAGGGTAGTTATCACCAAGGGTCCGGAAACGGTCATATTTGCCAGTCATGTCCTAAGATAAAACTATTTGTCCTAAACGAGTAATTGGGATTTAGGACAAATTTTATTTTTTTACAGAAGTAATTTTGGTCATTTCATTGACTCAATGTTTGAAATCGGATTTCGTAATCGCCATTTTGCACTTGTGATCACTTGTTTTTGTTTATAATCCCTTTCCTGTAATAAAACTTCCACTACAGTAGTTTGATAATCCTGAGGGCCCTCCTAATATCTATATCAATGCCTCCGGGAAACATTGGCTAATGATCGCTAATCACTTTTTACCTGTGGTTTTAATTCACACCTGACAGTGATCACAAGCTCAGAATAATATCTTTAAAACATTAAAGTTCCCTGACAAGTGTATTCATTATTTATTTACTTTTCATCAAAGACAGTCATCAATTCTGATTTAAAAATTAAATCTAAATTTACGTAGAAAAAAGTATTTTTTCATGAGAAAACACATGTGCTTTGTTTACTATGTAATACGCATGCGTGAAATTGTCTTCAGCAAATTTAATATTTAATCGTAAAATGCAAATTGATTTCATGCTAAATTAAACGAGTGCAACTATTATCTGTTATATTCAAACACTTTTAAAGGTAATAAAATAAAAAAGCCATAAAAAGCCGGTGATTTCCTGTCAATTTGATAAACAAAACAAATCCCGGATATGAATCCGGAATTATTCGTACTTTAAATATCGCAAACTTCCGGTTTTAACTTTTGTCAAATCGAAAGAAACGTAAGCAATGTCTGAGAAATTAACCATTTTGAGTCATTAAAATCATTTCAATTTTAGACTGCTGACTTCCCTAAACTGTCCTTCATGGTAATGGTAAGACATTTACTTAGTAAATGCGATGAAACAGCAATACAAGTTCGTCATGTTCGTTGATGCTATGAATATAGTCAAATTGATATCGACAATTTGAAAAGGGGCACCAACTTTTCAAACATCTCAAAATGACCGAAATTGTCTTGAAAAATTTCCGGATCCTTGGTTATCACTGTAGATGAGTTACTTTAACTACTAAGCATTAAACATTCATGTTAAGTTTAAACATTTATAATTATAGATATATTCACATATACTCGGTAAAGTAAGAGCAACTAAAAGAAGTAAAACCAAGCATACAATCAGTGCAATATTGTGACAAAATTAACTGTTTTCTGAAGATTTTGTTGTGTATAGAAAACATAAAACAGTTAATTTTTTAACAATTCAACAAAAATTTCTCTGATTGTTAGCTTGATTTTACTTATTTTCGTTGCTATTACTTGACTGAGTACATGTACCAGAATGTCCTACCATACAGTAGGTCAAAAACTATATACTATGGAGTCAAAAGTCATTAATATGAAAAAAGGCTACTAAGCACATATTATGCTCTGAGTCAGACAGGGTCTCCCCAACACAACATAGACACAATTTATTACCTGGATAACATCTTTGTCCCTGTTGATCACATCTCTCCCCTGTATATCCTTGAGGACAGACACATCTGAATCCATCTCCTAAATTGGCAGGAGTACACCGAGCTCCATTAAGACATGGTCTGTTCTGACAGGCATCATACATCTCTATACCCTCTAGGGTAATAGCATCAGCTCCCAAGTTCAAGTTATCCCCGTTTCTCTCCACCTGACTAATGGCACCTAATAAAATAACAAGTGTTTAACAAATAAGTTCTGATGTAAAATTGATAATTGTTGTTTAAAACCTCTTTCGGCAATTTTGGCAATATCATGGGGGCCAAATTTTATAGGATGAAGATGGAGAGCCTGGACAGAGTCATGACCTTCAGCAAGAAAACTGGCAATTCTTGTAAGACTTCATAAAATTATAATGTATATTTTCCCTATATTTATGCCCTGGGGCATTAGGGAAGGTTAGTTGTATAGCAAACTGTGTAACCTTCTTTTATTAAAGAACTATTATCTTGTAAATTGTGCTTTTTTAAAAATTGATTAATTTGTTTTGAAAATTAAATGAATAATATACCTTGCATCGCATATTAGGAAATCAAAATAAGCTTTTGATTACAGTAGTTGTCGTCTGTTTATGTAGTTCATACATGTTTCTCGTTTCTCGTTTTTATATAGATTAGACCGTTGGTTTTTCCGTTTGAATGGTTTTACACTAGTAATTTTTTGGGGCCCTTTATAGCTTGCTGTTCGTTGTGAGCCAATGCTCCGTGTTGAAGGCCGTACTTTGACCTATAATGGTTTACTTTTATAAATTGTAACTTGGATGGAGAGTTGTCTCATTGGCACTCATACCACATCTTCCTATATCTATTTTCTTTAAAAGTATAATTTCATTGTTAGTTATCATCGTATGGCAAACCAACAGCAAATAAAGATGTTTCTTTCGCTTGTCTTTTTTGCATACTGTAATTTAAGTCCTTTATTTTTCGAAAGATTTAAATCTTGTAATTTCTATGACCAAACTGGTGTATTTTTGTGTTCTTATTTTCCCTAATTATATTATTCATTAGCAAATTTACCTGAGGAGATATTTTCACGATGTATCTTTGTTTCTCATATTTACAGTTTTTATTTCTCTAATTCTTTTGCATGCTAAGCATTTTTCATCACAATATCACAATTTTATCTAAGTTGCTATAAAGAACAATACATAAATATGTCTTAAGGGTTCCTGACAAACCATAATTTTCAGCTCCTACCTTAAAATTTTTAACAAGAATTCCTCAACATTTTTTATGCAAAATCTGCTATGTACAGATTAAAATGAGATTCAGCCATAACATAACTTGATGTATTGCATATGAAATAACATGAAAATTCAATTTTAATAAAAAAAGTGGTAGTTGGTGTTAAATTTCTAATAATTTAATTTTGGATGTAACGCGTCTTCTGATTGGCTGACATTGTTTTGTTTATCAGCTCATAGACATAATTTTGTCATGTGACCGTGACGTCATCAACGTTTTTCATGGTTTACTCCAGTTTAAAATGGAATTTAGAATTAAATTATAAGAAATAACTGTAATATTTTTTCTGTCTACGCGGGTTATTCAGTGTGCATCACATTTTTGATGTTATTTCTTCATAGACAGAAAAAATATTACAGTCATTCCTTAATTGAATGAATTATTTGTCAAATTCTTATGAATATGATTTTTTTTATTAGTTTTTTTCTATAATTATATGATTTTTTTATTTTCTGTATATTATTCATTCCTATAATCAATTTTATTTCACATAATTCTTTTATTTTCCACAACACTTATTATTTATACTTTTGCACCACATTATTCTCTATTCTTTAATATTTTTGCTCATTTATCAATATTCATAATTTTTTGGGTCCTTATTCTCTATATATATATTCTGTAAACCCCTAATTGGACCCTCGTATATTGACAATTCAATTTTTAAATTTCAAAATGCTTGACAAGAATTATATTTAAATATATGTACACTTATAAATATTGTAATGCATGAAAATCTATATATAAATTTGACATTACCTACAAATCCTGTGGTATATCTGGCTGGCTGGGGTATCTTACTATAGTCTGGGACACCTCCTAGGTACATGTCTTGTGTAAGGTCTAGGCCCTGGAATCGGCCAGGAGTTTCTCCAATGTATTTCTGCTTATCATTGACAGTCAAGGTACCTTAAACAAGATCGAAAATAAAAATTAACTACATGAACATCAAACAAAAAACAGGCATTTTACTACTGTTCTTCTAAAGGACACAGCGAGGTTAAAGCCTACACCTCACCGCTATTGCAAGATGGCTTCTGATACCAGTTTGAGCAGAATTCCTTAAGGTGTCTGTCCTGCTACAAGCACAGCTACGTCCGAAGAAATAACTGTTATTTTAGAAATTTTTGTGATGTTTTTATTATTGCAGTGAAAGCCATGGCATAGGTCTGGTAAAAATTAAGATTCACATTTTCATCGATACTTTTTATAATTTTTTATTTGATGATTTTCTTCCAGCAGCCAAAAGCCAATTTACATTTTGCTGAACACTATAAAAGGCAGTTCTTATACCAACCAACCAATAATTGATTGATTGATTTTTTGTGTTTAATAAATCATAAAATATTATACAATTAATATTTGATACTTACAGTGGAAATTTCCATTTAAAAGTAGCATTAAAAAAGGAAGAATGATTTTTTTAATATTCATATGAAATTACACATCATATTCTCTAAGAACAACTTAATAAATAAAAAAAAATCAATAACAAGTTAAAACCCTAAAACACATGTAAGTAATACAAATTAAAAAAAATATACAAACACAAATTTCTTTTTCTTTTTCTTATTGTATAAAAAAATATATGAGATTGAGTGTTGCTTGCTTAAAGTTCCAGTGGAAAATGTATTAACAGCAATCCATTATACATCTCCAATTTTTCTGATAATTGATTATGTTGGTTTTTTTGTATTTATAACAATCTTCCATTATAAAAACGCAAATCCATTATACATCTCCCATTTTCCCGATAATTAATCATGTTTGTTTTGTATTTATAAGTAACAATCTTCCATCATGTTTTATTAACTTTTGCCAATTATTTTTGCCCATATCATTTCCTACTGTGGATTCATTATAATTTAGCAATATTATAGTGGATTAAAAGTTTTCGTGGATTTAGTGGGTACAGGGGAACCAAGAATTTAAATGTTCCACAAATTTCAAATTTACTTTTATAGGAACAAATGCAAACTTTGACAAAACCAAAAAATCAAATATCCACGAACATTGGGACTCACGAAAATAAATTAATCCACAGTATTAACTTTCACTAAGTTATAATTTTTGCCAGTCAATTTTTCATATCATTTCCTACTATCAATTCATTATTAATAATGAATTACAAATTTTCATTATTGGTATAGTTGAAACACAAAATAAAATATTCCACGAAGTACAAATTTTCTATCTGCAGACTTTGGTGAAATCACAAAAATCAACAAATATCCACCAAAGTGCATATTTTTCCTCAATCTACGAAAATTTGTATCAACAAAAATAAATGTTTATATTTGATAAGAACTGACCAAAAAAAACTGTTTTCCTGAAAAGGCTTTTTAGGGATATTGTAAAACAGAGGAAATTTGAATAAAATGATTTATCAATTAAATTTTTTTTTTTTTCAATAAGAACTGACCAGCCTTCCTGTTTCTCTCTAGTCTGACTGTGTGCCATTTGTTCAGGTCCAAGGTCTCGTTACCCTGAATGATGGCTGGTCCAGATCCTACATCAAAGGTGAATTCTGGGTAACCTTCTCTCAACCCAAAGCAGACGTAATCTCCACTACCTCTCTGGAAGTCCTCATTACCATTATACAATACTAAACCTGTAAAATACAATATAAGACTATTCATCTTTACTTACTCAAAATTTTAAAGATTTTCTTGTGTTACAAAAAATTGGAAGATAAATGCGTTTCAGAATCTAATGCATTCTGGGAAATATTTTCAAAAGCATACACCAAAACCAGAACTACACAATTCTTGACTGAACCTCAATATGTCTTCCTTTTAGCTCCTCATTAATGAATATATTCTGTACTTACCATCAGTTGCCTCTGGTTTTAGTCTAAGCAGGATATCGAAGTCCAGATAAACATCATTCATTGGTGGATAAGTTATATAGGAAACTGGGTTCTGTGGGAAGTAGGGTACCAGATCTGGAAAAAAAATTCAAATAAAATATAAATTCAAATTTATTTTGTTAGAGTGAGTTCTAAGCCTTCTACATACTTTAGAAACACAAAGAGAAAAATATCAAAATGATTCACAATTACCAATTTCATTGTATGAAATCATACAAATTATTCTAATCATATAATTCTATTTTGAAAAAATTGAAATATTATATAATTCTAGTTTGGAAAAATTGAGATATTTATATAATTCTACATGTGAAAAAATGAGATGTTAAATAGATCTATCATGAACAATATTGGTACTACTGTAAATTCAGAAATTATTGCTTGCATTTATATTGCAATTTTTGAAGAATGAACAAAAATGCGAGCTAAATTATTCAAATTTAGGAAAAGCTACATGTATCTGATATCAGAATATGAGTTATTATTAATGCGATACTCATGGAGTCACATTATTCACATTAATTAAAACCTTGCAATAATTTCTGAATTTACAGTATATAATTTTTTCGTGAAAAACACCATTTGAAAAAAGAACCATTTAGACTTTTATAGAAATATATTATTGGACTTTACCTCCTACAACAAGTTCCATTGGTTGTTCAATCTTTCCAAGTTCATTACCAGCACTACAGACATACATGCCAGCGTCATCAGGGTTAACCTTGGGTATTGTCAGACGACCATCTTTCTCTACTGTATATTCACTAAGAATGAAAACGAACAATTTATTTTTGAAGAACAATATTTGGTACTTCATCGCTTTTACATAATTGTTCACATACCTTGCAATGCAATACAAAAACATTAATTCAAAACAGATTAAATTCTTAAAAAACAACCTGTTCTGTTGTTTTCTGCATCATATGATATATTGGGGGTCATAAAAGGATTTGTGGTACAGAACCACTAAACAGGGCCCGGTCAGAAAGAACATACAAGAAAGTAGTACATATTCTAAACAAAATAGTTCCTACGCATAGCTGTAACTTTGTTAATAAGTTAAATATTTTGGTACTTTTGGTATCAAATGAAAGCTTAAGGACTTGGGATCACTGTAGAACCCTTGTTGAAAGTTTCTTTTGAATAAAAAAAAATATATGAAAATTATAGTAGGAGAGCACATTTGGCCTGTTGTTCAGATCAGAAGTAGCTCTTTTTGCACAACCAAACTTCCGGGAACTAGTGAACTCTAATATATAATTAAAGGTAATTCAACACAAATCAGGATAAGGTATAGTTTTGACATGAAATGACTGCCACTTTATTTGAACTTAAGACAAAGTAACCACTAATGCTTGAAATTGCAGAAATTAACATAGAAAGCAATAGGGCTTTGGATCAGTAGTTTTATTCCTTATGTGCACAGATGATTGTGTGAACCAGGAATAAAATGGCAGGGAAAAATTTTGTGAAATAGTTTACACATTGTTTTGTTACCAAGCATTAACACTGTTCATAATAATAAGATTACAACACGAAAAACAGGCAAAATAAAAATAGCAAACATTTTACCACCTGCAAATGTAGCTGTGAGTCTTTTATTGTATAACACATCAAGGAACCATCAGAACCAATGGTTTTTATCATTGGAACCAATACCCTTAACTGTTGAGGTGTGGGTTTTATTTTACAATGTAAAACAAGAGCATTGCTCATCTACTGTGGATTTTTTAAAATTCAGGGATACCAGTTTTTGTGGATTTCTTATTATTCAGGGATACCAGTTTTTGTGGATTTTTAATTATTTAAGGATACCAGTTTTTGTGGATTTCTTATTAATCAGGGATACCAGTTTTTGTGGATTTCTTATTAATCAGGGATACCAGTTTTTGTGGATTTCTTATTATTCAGGGATACCAGTTTTTGAGGATTCTTATTAATCAGGGAAACCAGTTTTTGTGGATTTCTTATTATTTAGGGATACCAGTTTTTGTGGATTTCATATTATTCAGGGATACCAGTTTTTGTGGATTTCTTATTAATCAGGGATACCAGTTTTTGTGGATTTCTTATTATTCAGGGATACCAGTTTTTGTGGATTTCTTATTAATCAGGGATACCAGTTTTTGTGGATTTCTTATTATTCAGGGATACGAGTTTTTGAGGATTTCTTATTAATCAGGGATACCAGTTTTTGTGGATTTCTTATTATTTAGGGATACCAGTTTTTGTGGATTTCATATTATTCAGGGATACCAGTTTTTGTGGATTTCTTATTAATCAGGGATACCAGTTTTTGTGGATTTCTTATTAATCAGGGATACCAGTTAATGAGGATCTCTTATTTTTCAGGGATTCCAGTTTTTTGTGGATTTCTTATTTTAAGTTGGATACCAGTTTTTTGTGGATTTTGTGGGTATAGGTGAACCACGAATCTATATGTTCAACAAAGTACAAATTCTTTATAGGCTTGTTGTTTACATAATTTGTCAAAACCATGAAATCCGATATCCACGAAAATATAATTTCTCCTCAATCCATGAAAATTGGTATCCACCAAAATAAACGAATCCACAGTATGTGAAATCAGGTTGTAAGTGTAGAAATAGAACCTAGATCAGGGATGAAATTGGTCTCCAACAAAAAGAGAAAATGGTGTTCCCAGAAGTAAAAATACGGTAAAAAAAAAAAATTATGGTAAAAACATGAACTCAAAAAGTGGAAATTAGCAGAAAACTAACATCACTGCTGCATTTATTTTCATGGCAACCACACCTCACATAGTTATAAAAGTACTAAAAACAAACCTTGGCATTTGTCCATCTTTTCTGTACCATGTGATATCAGTTTATGAGAATCATATGACATCACATGGCATTGTCAAAATGAAACCTAGAGCTGGCAACCACCTGCTAACATAGTTATAGAAGTACGAAAACAAACATGGGCATTTGTCCATCTTTTCTGTATCATGTGATATCAGGTTGTGTATACCATATGGCATCACATGACGTTGTAAAAATAAAATCAGAGATGTCAACTTCTGCTTACATAGTTATAGAAGTATGAAAACAAATCTTGGCATTAGTCCATCTTTTCTGTACCATGTGATATCTGGTTGTGGGTATCATATGGCATCACATGACATTGTAAACATATAACTTAGAGCTGTCAACCACCTAAAAAACAAACCTTGGCATTTGTCCATCTTTTCTGTACCATGTGATATCAGGTTGTGGATATCCTACAGCGTCACATGACATTGATGCCTTAGATCCCAGAGCTGCTGTCATGGAGTCTGCTTGACTTCCTGATATAATAGGACGGGCTACAAAAGTTTTAATAGGTATATTATTCCATTGTGAATATCATTAAGGTTATATGAAAATACTAAATTGATTGTGACATCACCAAAGGACACTTTTTACTGAATTTGTACTTGTCATGAGTAACATGACAGATGCCACATATGGAGCAGGATCTGCTTACCCTTCCTGAGTACCTGTGTAGTGTTTTGTAGGCTGTGTGTTTATATTTCTCTCTTAATTAATGATTTTTAAGTGGCCTATTGGTGTTTTTTGCCTCTTTTTTTTTTTAATTAATCAGAAGTAAAAATATTGAAAATAAATTTAAATGGAGAATGTGTCCATGGGACACAGATGATGATGCCCACACTTGCATATAACGTTATAAAGGGACACAACTCAAGAACAGTAAAAGTGACGCCACCCAAATTGGAACTTGATCTGAGTTTTGTGGTAATAAGTATTGTGTATCAGTTTCATAACTTAAGTTAGAGAACAGAAACAAAAAATTCAGCAATTTTGTAAAATTGGCATATCTCTACAGAGTATTAAAATTATCTCCCTCGTATTAACCAATCAAAATTTGGCATTTTGACAGGAGGTATAATAATGTTAAATGTTCACCTTTGACAAACAAATTGACTCTTTGTTGTATTGTTCCTCTCAGATTCTGAGCTGTACAAACATAAGTCCCAGCATCCTCTATTCTGACATTTGGAATAACAAGGAACACATCATTCACGGTTGAAGTCTCCGGCAGGGGTTCTCCGATTCTTGACCATGTGACAGTCGGTATTGGTGTTCCTACAAATTATTATTCAATATTACAATTAAAATTTTTTTTATACACACATCATTAGTTCAAAAGGTCAGTTGGGTCTAAAGCACAAGTTCCATGATGCAGGGTTTAAAAATTTGATACAAAGAATAAACTACATCTACATAGGGTTGATATAAATTTAGGGAATGTAAAAGGGTACTGAATGCTTTAAATCTTGAAACTGTAAATTAAATAACAAAGCTGGGATGGAATACTGTTTAATGAACAGATTGATTTAAAAAATCAAATGCTTGTTTTAGTCTTTTTTTTTTCATTTCAATTTTCTCAAATAGAACAATATAGCTATGGACATGCCATGAATGCAACCAAAAACTATGCTGAAAATAAAGAATTGTAAAAGAAAGTTTTTATGCTTTTCAAAGAATATAGGCGAAATGGCAATTTTTGTGAAATTGCTGCGAAGAAAAAATTATAATATAAAATGCATAGATCATGCCTTCCAGTTTCTTCCCATGCAAGATTTAAAATTTCATGCTGGAAATTAATTTGGAACTTTCAAAGATAAAGAAAGATGTGTTTTAAATAAATTATGAGTTTCCTCTCGAGTAGCTTTCTGTAGTCCATAATCTTGTATAATGGTTAAAAGTAAACTGGAAAAAAGACTCTGTGTATCAAGTAAGACCATACCTGCCAACTCGACAGTTCTAGGAGGGAGACTCCTTCTTTTTTGTTTAAACGTTTGAAATCTCCCCCTTAGAACCATGTGAAGGAGGTCAAAATCTCCCTCTAAGACTTAAAATCCACCTATTTTCACACCCTTTCTTAATTTGTTTTGTTTTGATAGTATTTTCTATGTTTTATTTTCACTGTTTTGCAAAACCAATGCTTATTAGTATAGTAAAACATCTTAGGTTATCAAGCATGTTGTTTTGAATAATTAAATCTGCGTAAAGATATTTCAATTTTATCCTTTTGTGCTAAAATATCAAAATACTTCATATCTTGTTACAAAATTTTGAATGAAAAAGGTGGTCAACAATTATCTCCCCTTAGTGGAACTGGTAAAAAGGAGATAACCCAGTTGGTTGGCAGGAATGAGTAAGACATTCAAGGTAAACACTCTGAAGTGCCCCAGAGAAAAATAAGTGTTATATCTGACAAGCTTATCAAACAATACTCACTTAAATCTGCTTCAAAATAAATTTACTTAAGTTAGAATGTATACCAAATACGTAAAGATATTAAAGTTGGAACTCTTTAAAATGTGGAAAATCTTATTGGGAGAACAACTTATAATGGTCCTTTAGTACATAATAATGAAGCTCCTTTGCTCTGTGATAAGCATTTTCATCACTTTCACAAGCACTTTTCTTTCTGGCTTTTATTTTCTTTCAACTAATGCAAAATAAGGTTAACTTTCTCTCCGCTTACATTACATGTTTTTAAAACATAACATTTAAAGTTGGGGTATTCAAAATATAACAAAACAAGAACAAGCAAGGTAAACCTCTACTTGTTTTAAGATTTGAAAATCACTTGCATGGTACTTCGATTGATTGTTGTTGTTTCAGCAGTCCTTGCTATATCATCACAGCAACTTTTTTACTGGTCTAGGAAGCCACAGTGCACCGAGAGAACCAAAACCTTCTGCAGGAAAACTGACAATCAATGTCAATTAAGATCAGAGTCCAATGACAATCCATGTCAATTAAGATCAGAGTCCAATGACAAGCCATGTCAATTAAGATCAGAGTCCAATGACAATCCATGTCAATTAAGATCAAAGTCAAAATTACATTGGCAAATGCAGGGTTTGAACTCACAACCTCACTGTTGACAGACTAGTAATCCCTGTTGATGAACTTTTTAGACCACTCAGCCATTGTGCCCCAAAACTGTTTATGTTTAAGATCCAGACAAAGTTTCCAATCATTCAAAAATACAAAAGGTGAGTAATATATAGGTTTCGATGGACTCGTTTTGAGCAAGAGCTACTTCCTTTATGTCACCATTCTGGAGGTCTAGGTGATATACTGACCACTAGACTTAAAAACATTTTTATTTCTTTTAGCCTTGCTTAACTCATCACTACAATCTAGTAAGGATCTCTTATCAGACTAGTATGTATCACATGTTTCATTTTGGTCGGTCAAAAAAGACTAAATCAACCATTATCATCCAAAATGGCGGGAAATAACTCAAAATTCAAATTTCGTCATTCGAAATCTGTCTATTTGTAACCAAACTTACAGACATGATGGAAAAATAAACTGGAAAGGTCATTGCAGAATACCACAAACTCTGTGATTGGGGGTATAGTTATACTACATAAAAATGCTCACAGCTTCTTAATGAAAGTCAAAGTATAGGGGATACCTGCTGATAACAAAATCGAATTCCATAAAAATAAACTGCCACTAAGCACTAATTGTCTCAAGTTCTTAGTTATATTGGCAAGGGGAGAGAATCAAAAAAGGAAGAAAATATTTAAGACCTTCCAAAATCAAACCCCAAAACCAATAAGCAGCCACAAAGCACTGGTGGGCTCAGACTCCTAGTATATGGACAAGGGGAGAGAATCCAAAAGGTGATAAAATATTTAAGACCTTCCAAAATCAAACCCCAAACCAATAAGCAGCCACAAAGCACTGGTGGGTTCAGACTCCTTGTTTATGGGCAAGGGGAGAGAATCCACAACATGAGAAGTATATAAGACATTCATATATATTATGTATTTACCTGTGACAACACATTCCATTTCTACTCTTTCACCAATGTTTACAGTCTGTGTATCTATCCTGATTGGACCATTACCATCAGCTGTTCAAATATAAAAATTTCATACATGTATGAAGAATATACATCACTTCATGCACATATCCATACATTTCTTTGATTAAATTTATTTTGGTAGACCATTGTAGCAAAAGTTTTTTGAGGGGAAGAAAATGGACATTTCAAATTCATCAGGCTAAAAAGAAAATTTAAATTGTTTCATGTTTCCTAACTACCAACATAAAAAGCAACTACCGAAAAATTTTATGAAACAAATAGTTTCAATGTTTTTTTTTAAGATTTTTTCCTGCTCTAACATTGTTTTCTTGTCTAAAACATGTAACTTATGTTGTTGGTCAAAAATAAATAATCCCTACCTACCTACCTAACCATACAAGGTATGGGTAGGCAACATCAAACAAAATTTTTTTTTAAGGGTGGCCTTAAAACAAAAAGAAAGGCTTGAAACTGGAACAATATCTTTCTTTAAACTGTTTAGTGTAAAAAATCTAACCAGAAACAGGATTTTTTTTGTTATTAAAATTTGCATATTCAAGCTCTTAAAAACATATTTTTAAATATTGTATAACATTCATTAATGTTTAAGACCATATACAATATTTATATACATATTCATATAATGAAAACATAATCTTTCTATCAGTTTAATTGAGGTCTGGAGCTGGCATGTCAGTAACTGCTAGTAGTCCTTTGTTCATTTATGTATCATTGTCATTTTGCTTAGTTTCTTTTGTTACCTATTCTGACATCGGAGTCAGACTTCTTTTAAACTGAGTTTTACTGTGCGTATTGCTATGTGTTTCTTTATTCTACATTGGCTTGAGGTATAGGGGGAGGGTTGAGATCTCACAAAACATGTTTAACCCTGCCGCATTTTTGCGCCTGTCCCAAGTCAGGAGCCTCTGGCCTTTGTTAGTCTTGTATGTTTTTTAATTTTAGTTCATTTATATGTTTTGGAGTTTAGTGTGACGTCCATTTTCACTGAACTAGTACACAATTTTATTTAGGGACCAGCTGAGGACCACCTCCGAGTGTGGGATTTTCTCACTGCGTTGAAGACCCATTGGTGGCCTTCAGCTGTTGTCTGCTCTTTGGTAGGGTTGTTGTCTCTTTGACATATTCCCCATTTCCATTCTCAATTTTATATATACTTGCTATTATACATAATGTACTGTGTTACAACCCTAGATAAAGCTAATGAAGAAAGGCATTATTTGACCAGCGAAAGCTACATTTTTATATAGCCTAGTTGGTCGAGGGTGCTGGACACGGTGCAGTGGTGTTGCCACGATGTCACAGAAGCAAGGGTTCTAATTCCACTGAGGGAAGAACAAAAATTTGCGAACACAAATTTACAGATCTCACATTGCTGAGCTAAATTTGAGACGAATTCTATATATATATTATGATGTTAGCCTTGTATAATCAAGGGTTATCTGATCTAGAACATTTGTCGTAAAGTTGTCACATGTTTAGACGCATATATATATATATAGATTCTACCACTGCATCGAGTGTGATACGATATTTATCCACTCGAGACAGTTAAATTTTCAAATTTAACTGTCGAGAGTGGATAAATATCGTATTACACGAGATTTGGTGGTGGAATCTGTTTCTCTAATGATTTTCAAACAATACGCAGGCAAATTTATTCCTTCTTTTCGAATGATCTGCAAAAAGATGTGTTCTTTCTATGTGACGTCATCAGGCATGGTCGCCTTTTCTCATGCCGTCACCATAGGAAATTCAGAGGAAAGCAAGAAAATTCGACGTCATAATCGGATTTTAACCAATGAAGAACTGAGATCAATCGAACCACGCGTTGATTAAATTTTTTTTATACAATGGGTGCAGAAAGGGATAAATTGACGAAGAATTAGAGAAAATATATTATATGGTAATACAACAGAAAGCATTGTACAAGGCTTAATTCTTCGGCCGTAAGTCCGAGGTTTTCAGGTATATATACCGTAGAAAGGCTTGTATAGTCCGCGGTTTTATTCTCCAAAATTGGACCTTCCAGACGGGGTGCGGACTATAGAGTACAATAAGCAAGAAATAAGAGAAAAATTTCAATTTCGCGGTCGAGGTGGTTTGTTTACGTTCCGCCATCTTTGTTATTTCTATTGTAGAGGGCGCTCTTATCATTTTTCAAACTAATAATTTTAACTCATCCATATTAATAAGTTATTTCTATTCAATATCAAATTAATACTGATAAATATAAAAACTAAACCTTTCATTACAAATTTCTCGTTTCTTTTCAATGCATTGGTTGAAATAAACTGGTATCTGCTCGATTGAAACGATACAAACATAGTGAAAAAGACAACCGTAAACCAGCTTAGAATTTGTAAACTACAAAACGAAATCGGTTATTGTTCGTTCCGTTTTGGTGTTTCATACTGACTAATATGGTTTGTATTAGCTTAAGACCCTTCAACATTAATGTGATATATATATTAAAGACTGTTTTACAAAAGGATGGAACTGTTTTACTTTCAAAGTCGTATTATAGTGATATCTGTTATGTACGGATTTCGACTCTCACCGGTTAATTTCTTCTTTTACACGTGCTTTTTAAACTTCCTGTTTAAACATACACAAGTTTCTAATTTGTTTTTTAAGTAAATTAAACTTATTTTAACAATCATGAAGCGTTCTAGAATCATTAACAAGCAGTTTCAGCTTCTGTTTGATGATGGAAAACAGGTTTTTCCAAGGAAATACCGCAAACGACCGCACAGGATTTGAAATTACCGGAGTTTCATTAGACCTTTTCTAACAGTTACAAAAAGTTTTTTTACCTAAAATTTCGTGGGGAGAAGGGGGTGCGGACTATGTACCACTGCGAACTATACAAGCCTTTCTACGGTAGATATAAGGGGCAAGCTGAAGCCCACCTTCGGGTGCGGGATTTTCTCGCTATGTTGAAGACCCATTGGTGGCCTCAGCTGTTTTCTGCTCTTTGGTCGGGTTGTTGTCTGTTTGAAGCATTCCCCGTTTCCATTCTCAGTTTTATTATATAAATTTAAACACTTACTGTTACGTCCTTGTACAGTAAGGGTTACATATTCTCTGTCAACTCCTGCTGGACTGGCAGCTTGACAAATGTATCTACCACTGTCTTCTTGTCTCACATTGAAAATTCTGGAGAAAAAAAAATCATTATCAAGAAAACTCAAAAGTACTCTTATCAATTCTAATTTTTTTTTTATCAATCAAAGTATATTAGTAATCAGTAATGAATCATTTAAAAAATAATGCTTTTATCTTATCATTTTTAATTAAGGAATGACTGTAATACTTTTTCTGTCTATGAAGAATTAACATCAAAAATGTGGTGCACACTGAATAACCCACGTAGCAGGTTATTTAAAAGTGTGCACCACATTTTTAATGTTATTTCGAATAGACAGAAAAAATATTATAGTCATTCCTTCAAATTTAATTCTAAATTCAATTTATAAGGAGTAAATCATGAAAAAACGTTCATGACGTCACGGTCACATGACAAAATTATGTCTATGAGCTGATAGACTAAAAACTTTCAGCCATTCAGAAGACATGTTACATCCAAAATTAAATTATTTGAAAATTATACACATATCTTATCATGATCATCTTTAATAACAAATTACATTGGGGGATGAGCAACTGGAATAGGTCATTATTTCAAGCTTCATAAATTATATATGAGCTGCATTGGATAGAAATTGACCTTATGCAAGTTCACGTATTCATGAACATGTATAAGACTTTGATTGATTTTGAAACATTCAAATACGATATAAAAGATGAATTTTGGTCTGTTTTGAAGGGTTCTTATATCGACTCAATTTTCAAAAAGTTGCAGACTTTGCATAATGATTTTGTCAAACTGAAATAAGTTAACAGATATTTTGATATTCATTTGCATAAGGTTGATTTCTATCCAATGCAGCTCATACATAGTTGCCAAGTGACATGATACAGTACTTGCAACCTTAGGCGTTACTGTTTGACGTGAACTTGACTGATCGGTGAATGATCGGTGACGGATGTTTGACTGATCGATGACTGATCGGTGATCGATGACCCATAGAATCCGTCAGATACGTCAAATAGGCTATGTGAGAGTTACCGTGACAACGGTCAGCGATCGATTAGTAAATTAATTGTATGCACTGATCGGACGGATACGTATATAATTAAAATTCTTATGTAAAACGAACTCCACAGTATTTACAGTCGATAAACGCGGACCTCTACGAAGACACCTTTACTCGTTAATTATGTACCACTAAAAAGCGATAAATGTTATCATTTAAAATAAGTACTCTATTTGTTGTCGTTAGATGATGAAAATAAAAATAGTAGAACAGTAAAGATACATACAGCTTTGTTTGGATTAATTAATTTAGAGTGTTGTTTTAATTTTTGTTCCAAATTACCAATATTTCTTCTTCTTATAACATATAATGCAATGTTATTTCTAATTAGTCATTTAAAAGGCCTCAAGAAAAGTTTCTTTGATAGAATTTAAAAAAAATAAGTATTAAAATACTTAAACTTTAATTTGTGTTGATTAAAGATGCAATCATTTCATTATTTTGTACTTTTTGTACATCAAGATTGGTCGTTTTTCATAAAATAGGCTGAATTTCAGGAAAAAGATACTAAATTTTTGTTTGAGTTGCTTAAAAATGCAAATATTTCTTCTTTTATATCAGAAATAATGCACGTCAATTGCAATCAGTCATTATTAATGCATTCAGATAATTAATTTTCTATAAGATATGAATAATTTCAGGATAAATATACATACCCTTTTGTTTTTATTAAATAAGAATTCAATAATTTCTCTTTTTTAATGGAAATTATTGACCTCCTATGGCTTTTTGTACTTTTTATGGTTCAGGATTGGTTGTTTTTAATAAAATCAAAATAATATCTAAGAAAATATTCTTAAATGTTGTTTGCATTGATTAAAATTACCAATTTTTCTTTTCTTCTTTTGATAAAAAAATATGCAATGTTATTTGTAACTAGTTATTTTAAAGTCCTCAAATAAGATTTTGTTTTTTTGTGAGAATTTTGATAATGTAAGGAGAATAATACTTAAACTTTTGTTTTCTGTTGAACACGAATGCAATAATTTCTTTATTTTGACAAAAATTATGAACCGTCATTTGATTTAGGTACTTTTTGTACATCATGATTGGTTGTTTTTCATAAAATATGCTGAATTTCAAGGAAAAGATACTAAATTTTTGTTCGCTTTGGTTAAAAATGCAAATATTTCTTCTTTTATATCAGAAAAATGCAATGTCAATTGCAATGAGTCATTATAAATGCCTTTAGATAAGTAATTTTGTATAAAATGTGAATCATTGAAGGATAAATATGCATAAACTTTTGTTTTTGTTAGATAAGAATGCAATAATTTCTTTATTTTGATAGAAATTATGAACCGTCATTTGATTTTGGTTTCTTTTTGTACATCAGGATTGGTTGTTTTTCATAAAATATGCTGAATTTCAGGCAAAAGATACTAAATTTTTGTTGGCATTGCTTAAATATGCAAATATTTCTTCTTTTATTCAGAAATAATTCAACGTCAATTGCAATCAGTCATAACTAATGCATTCAGATAGTACTTTTATATAAGATATGAATAATTGAAGGATAAATATGCATAAACTTTTGTTTTTGTTAGATAAGAAAGCAATAATTTCTTAATTTTGATAGAAATTATGAACTATCATTTGATTTTGGTTCTTTTTGTACATGAGGATTGGTTGTTTTTCATAAAATATTCTGAATTTCAGGGAAAAGATACTAAATTTTGTTCGTGTTGCTTGAAAATGTAAATATGTCTTCTTTTGTATCAGAAATAATTCAACGTCAATTGCAATCAGTCATAATAAATGCATTCAGAAAAGGTTTTTTGTATAAGATATGAATAATTTACTGATAAATATACATAAACTTTTGTTTTTGTTTGATAAAAATTCAAAATTCCTCTATTCCAATTTAAATTATTGACTGCCTATGGCTTTTTGTACTTTTTATGGTTTAGGATTGGTTGTTTTTTATAAAATCAAAATAATATCTGAGAAAATATACTAATGTTCGCATTGATTAAAATTACCAATTTTTCTTCTTTTGATAAAAAATAATGCAATGTTATTTGTAACTTGTTATTTCAACGTCCTCCAATAAGATTTTTTTTGTAAGAAATTTGATAATGTAGGGAGAATAATACTTAAACTTTTGTTTTATGTTGAATACAAATGCAATAATTTCTTTATATTGATAAAAACTATGAACCGTCATTTGATTTCGGTACATTTTGTACATCAGGATTGGTTGTTTTTTATAAAATATGCTGAATTTCAGGGAAAATATACTAAATTTTTGTTCGCATTGCTTAAATATGCAAATATGTCTTCTTTTATATCAGAAATAATGCAACTTCAATTGCAATCAGTCATTAAAAATGCCTTTAGATAAGTAATTTTGTTTAAAATGTGAATCATTGAAGGATAAATATGCATAAACTTTTGTTTTTGTTAGATAAGAATGCAATAATTTCTTTATTTTGATAGAAATTATGAACCGTCATTTCATTTTGGTTCTTTTTGTACATCGGGATTGTTTTTTTTTCATAAAATATGCTGAATTTCAGGGAAAAGATACTAGATTTGTGTTCGCGTTGCTTAAAAATGCAAATATTTCTTCTTTTATATCAGAAATAATTCAACGTCAATTGCAATCAGTCATAAGTAATGCATTCAGATAAGTACTTTTATATAAGATATGAATAATTTAAGGATAAATATACATAAACTTTTGTTTTTTTTAAATAAGAATTCAATAATTTCTCTTTTTTAATGGAAATTATTGAACGCCTATGGCTTTTTGTACTTTTTATGGTTCAGGATTGGTTGTTTTTTTATAAAATCAAAATAATATCTGAGAAAATATACTAAAATGATGTTTGCATTGTTAAAAATTACCAATTTTTCTTCTTTTGATAAAAATAATGCAATGTTATTTGTTACTAGTTATTTCAAAATTCTCCAATAAGATTTTTTTTGTAAGGATTTTGATAATGTAAGGAGAAAAATACTTAAACTTATGTTTTGTGTTGAATACGAATGCAATAATTTCTTTATATTGATAGAAATTATGAACCGTCATTTGATTTCGGTACATTTTGTACATCAGGATTGGTTGTTTTTCATAAAATATGCTGAATTTCAGGGAAAAGATTCTAAATTTTTGTTCGCATTGCTTAAATATGCAAAAATTTCTTCTTTTATTCAGAAATAATTCAACGTCAATTGCAATCAGTCATAACTAATGCATTCAGATAGTACTTTTATATAAGATATGAATAATTGAAGGATAAATATGCATTAACTTTTGTTTTTGTTAGATAAGAATGCAACAATTTCTTTATTTGATAGAAATTATGAACCGTCATTTGATTTTGGTTCTTTTTGTACATCAGGATTGGGTTTTTTTCATAAAATATGCTGAATTTCAGGGAAAAGATACTAAATTTGTGTTCGCGTTGCTTAAAAGTGCAAATATTTCTTCTTTTATATCAGAAATAATTCAACTTCAATTGTAATCAGTCATAAGTAATGCATTCAGATAAGTACTTTTATATAAGATATGAATAGTTTAAGGATAAATATACATAAACTTTTGTTTTTTTTAAATAAGAATTCAATAATTTCTCTTTTTTAATGGAAATTATTGAACGCCTATGGCTTTTTGTACTTTTTATGGTTCAGGATTGGTTGTTTTTTATAAAATCAAAATAATATCTGAGAAAATATACTAAAATGTTGTTTGCATTGTTTAAAATTACCAATTTTTCTTCTTTTGATAAAAATAATGCAATGTTATTTGTAACTAGTTATTTCAAAGTTCTCCAATAAGATTTTTTTTGTAAGAATTTTGATAATGAAAGGAGAAAAATAATTAAACTTTTGTTTTGTGTTGAATACGAATGCAATAATTTCTTTATATTGATAGAAATTATAAACCGTCATTTGATTTCGGTACATTTTGTACATCAAGATTGGTTGTTTTTCATAAAATATGCTGAATTTCAGGGAAAAGATTCTAAATTTTTGTTCGCATTGCTTAAATATGCAAAAATTTCTTCTTTTATTCAGAAATAATTCAACGTCAATTGCAATCAGTCATAACTAATGCATTCAGATAGTACTTTTATATAAGATATGAATAATTGAAGGATAAATATGCATAAACTTTTGTTTTTGTTAGATAAGAATGCAACAATTTCTTTATTTGATAGAAATTATGAACCGTCATTTCATTTTGGTTCTTTTTGTACATCAGGATTGTTTTTTTTTCATAAAATATGCTGAATTTCAGGGAAAAGATACTAGATTTGTGTTCGCGTTGCTTAAAAATGCAAATATTTCTTCTTTTATATCAGAAATAATTCAACGTCAATTGCAATCAGTCATAAGTAATGCATTCAGATAAGTACTTTTATATAAGATATGAATAATTTTAGGATAAATATACATAAACTTTTGTTTTTTTTAAATAAGAATTCAATAATTTCTCTTTTTTAATGGAAATTATTGAACGCCTATGGCTTTTAGTTCTTGTTATGGTTTATGATTGGTTGTATTTCATACAATATGTTACATTTAAGGGAAAGATTCTAAATGTAATGTTCGCATTGCTTAAAAATTCAAATATTTCTTCTTTTGTATCAGAAATAATGCAACGTCAATATTGCTATCAGTCATTATAAATGCCTTTATATAAGTATTTTTTAATAAAATGTGAAAAAATGAAGGATACATGTGCATAAACTTTTGGTTTTGTTGAACAAGAATGCAATAATTTCTTTATTTGAATGGAAATTATTGACTGTCATTAAATGTTTGTACTTTTCATAGTTTAGTATTGGTTGTTTTTCATAAAAGTAAAAACAGATCATAGAAAATATCCTTAAATGTTGTTCGCATTGTTTAAAATTACCAATTTCTCTTGTTTTGTTAAAAAATAATGCAATGTTATTTGTACCTAGTTATTTCAAAGGCTTCAAGATTATTTTTTTTATAAGAATTTTAATATTGTAAGTAGAATAGGGCTTAAACTTTTGTTGGTGTTGAAAATGAATGCAATTATATCTTCATTTTGATAGAAATAATGAATCACGATTTGATTTCAGTACTTTTTGTACATCAGGATTGGTTGCATTTCATAAAATATGTTGAATTGAAGGGATCAGATACTAAATTTAATATTCGCATTGGATAAAAATACAAATGTTTCTTCTTTTATATCAGAAATAGTGCAATGCAATTGCTATCAGTCATTATAAATGCCTTTAGATAAGTAATTTTTTAATAAAATGTGAATAAAAGAAGGATAGATATGAATAAATTTTTGTTTTTGTTGAAATAGAATGCAATAATTCCTTTATTTGAATGGAAATTATTGACCGTCATTGGATTTTTGTACTTTTTATAGCTTAGGATTGATTATTTTTTATTACGTTAAAAGACTATCAGAAACAATATACTATAATGTTGTTCTCGTTGTTTAAAATTACCAATATTTTCTATTTTTAAGAGAACTTGCAGCATTTTATTTTTTTATTTGTGATTTGTTATTTTAGTGGCCTCGCAATAAGTTTGTTTAAAGTATTTTAAGATTATAAGGATAAAATACTTCAAAATATTTAAAAATAATACATCGAAATTTGCAATAAATGATCATTTCATTTTATTTTCAAGAGCATTTTCGGAAGATAAAAAAAATATCTGAAAATCGCGATCAACACCGTTTTAGAAATGTCCGGGTTTGAAAAATTATAACCTAAATTAAAGCGAAAATGGCCATTTATTTAAATTTAGTTATATATGCATATTTCTTTTCTTTTTAAATTCTTAAAACTGTGCCAAATAATTAATAAAAAAAAGATGTTGATCATTTGTACTTGAATGTTTCGTATTTTCCATGTCGCCATTTTAATTAAATGAAACGAAACTAAGATTTCGTAATTTGTATTAGTTTATCATGTGACGTAGTAGACTTCAATCCGTCAAAAAGGTCGATCGGTCCTATCCGTCCGATCCGTCCGATCAGTCAAATACTTTTACTATAAGTCTGACGGATTGGTGACGTGAGTTTGACGCGAACTTGACTGATCGGTGACTGATCGATGACCGCTGATTGATCGCTAAAACAGTAACGCCTAAGGTTGCAAGTACTGTATCCGCGTGTAATACACGCTTTTTCAACGGTTTACACACGAGGATTTTGTCACACGGCATGTACACGCTTTTCACCACTTTACACGCAATTACACGCTTTTTCGTTGTTTTGATTTTTTGGTCGCTAGTGATATCGCGATTCTTTGGTTTTTCCCTTATTAGACGATAAATTCCGAGAAATCCGAAGTAATTGTTTGGTCGCCATTGTTTTAAATTCTATCATGATGGACAAACAGCAAAACCCATAAGGTAAGTAGTTTGTGATTAGTTTTTACGTTTTTGTGACAATCTTTCTTTCAAATTAACTTAGGGGAAATGTCCACAGAAAGAGGTCGCTTTCAGGGCCTGTACCGTCGTCTATAGATAAGATTGCTAAGTGAAAAAGATGTGTACGTACCAAGATTCAAGATTTATAAATTATATTTGGGAGTTCGAGTTTAAATGATCAAGGGACGAGTAACGCATAATTTGTGCACCCTATGTTGCAATCATAACAATACATGTGAGAGGAGAACAACAATGTAGCTATTTGATTAGGCATTTAACATGTTTAATCAATAATGGACTCATTTTGGTAATCAAATTATAAAATATTTTTCTTTTTCAGTTTCAAATCTGGCCAACAGATTTCAACAGGTCAAAGGAGATGGAAATATCACTGAACTGTTGGATCAGTTCTCATAGTACAAGCTGTCTTCTGATGAACTACCCAGTCTTGACCAGGCAATAGCAACATGTATAGTTTGTTGGAAGAAAAGGCAGTGATTAAAGATGAAATTTTAGATGGCAAAAAAATTGTTATGACACTTGTTCAAAGCTTGATAAAGCTATTTTAGTTCAGCCAAATACCAATTCTGACTGTGAGAGAGCATTTTCAATTATAAATAAATTTACACTGAACTCTGATCAGAACTTGACAATTGTGCCTTGTTATCAAGTAAATGTAGCCTAGTGATGTTGCTTCAAAAGCAACAGTTGAATTCAATAAAAGTTTACAGTAGACTCTTGTTTATTATATTAACAAATTTGTATAATGATTACTGTGAAATTATAAAGATTGTTCATATGAAAAAGTCCGCATCTACGTCACACGTTTTCACACGCTTTTTAACATGTCATGTCATGTCATGACATGATTTCTCATTTTCAGAGGTTGGCAAGTATGAGCTCATATGGTGCGGTCCAGAAAATTTAGATAAAAGCTTATGACAAGGATGCTGATTGAATCATACGTATTCAACTAATCAGATGACAGTTTTTTCTCAGATGTGAATCAAAGGATCAGACATTTGTAAAATCTATTTATCTCTCAATGAAATAGCGTAATCATGATAGCAATAGGCATAAGTACTTTTTTTTTAAATTGAAAATATATGAAAAGGATGTAGTACCAGATTTCTCAGCTGCTAACCTCTACACAAAAGATTGAAGTGCACACTCCCCCTTTTCCATTTTATCTAAACTATTTTGTAGAATTTAATATCTTTGTCATACAATGTTATACTTACTACAGAACACCATTATTGACAGTATGATCCCTTGGAAGCTTGATTTCTTATTACTTATAGTACATCATTAAAACGTTCATTTGATTTTTAAAGAGTTAATTCCCTTAGGTGTTCTGTAACCCCTTAAACAATTGTAGAACTTTAATCTCATTGTCAAACATTATACTAACTGCAGAACACCTTTATTGACAGTATGATCCCGTGAAAGGACTCCATTTTCTTTCTCCCATTTTATACTTACTGAAGAACACCGTTATTGACAGTATGATCCCTTGGAAGGACTCAATTTTCTTTCTCCCATTTTATACTTACTGAAGAACACCATTATTGACAGTATGATCCCTTAGAAGGACTCAATTTTCTTTCTCCCATGTTATACTTACTGAAGAACACCATTATTGACAGTATGATCCCTTGGAAGGACTCCATTTTCTTTCTCCCATGTTATACTAGGTGGTGGATTGCCTGAAGCCTGACATCTCAATTCCATCAACTGACCCAAGTATGGCCTGGCATCACGCTGTGAAAGTGTGATAGTTGGTGGCACTTGAATATAAAGAAATGCTTTTGTCTTATATACATGTACATTTGCATTTCTGAAGTATTTGCAGCAGTTCAACTAAGTACTGTAAATTCATAAATTTTTGCATGCATTTATTATTGCGATTTTTTTAAAATAATAAAAAATGCGAGATAAATTATTGCATACAGGTGTATTCATCAGATAATCGAATGGGAGTTATTATTGCAATACTCATCCAGACAAATTATTTGCATTAATAAAACCCTCACAACAATTTCTGAATTTACAGTATTTTGAGGGAAAAATTCTATCTAAATTACTGTAAACCAACTAAATTTTGCCAGCAATTTATTTTCGCGAGCAGAGTTTTGGTCTTCCTTTATATAAATACCTCAAAAAAATTAAAAAACCACAAAAATAAATTGCTGTGTAGTTGGCTGAAAAGGGCAACCAGTAAATGTGAAATGAAATATCTGTGAAGTAAGTTTACAGTAACTATTCAACTGTACTGACAACAGTTATTGTACCATTACAATGTTGTAGCCAGATGACCAGAAAGAATATTTATTTTTAATCTGTTCCTAATTTGATAGCTAGGAATTTTTTACTTTCTTGTGTGGTCGGAATATTTATTTTCAACTTTTAGGGGCCAGAATATTTTAATATAAGAACTGCCAAGCCTCAACCTCAGAATCCCTTAAATCCTTCAATGGATATATTTCTATTGGATGTTTCTTACCTGTTACAGATACTATAGCAAAACCGTCAGAAGATCCACTACTTCCTGTTGCTAAGCAACGGTATCGCCCTGAGTCTGCTGCAGTCACTTGTCTTATTTCTAGGAGACCATCTCTAGTTTGTGTAGCTGAAGGATTAAGAACACCATCGACCTTCAACCATTCAATGTTGAATGGTCCTGTTCCCTGTGGCTGACATCTTAGTTGAACAGTGCCCCCTGCCCTAGCTTCCACTCTGGCTGGTGAAATTGTCAGACTTGGTGTAACTGAAAACATAAATGAAAGGTGAATGACATACACCTTAAGGGCATACGATACAGTTTTGATCCCGTAATGAAATTTTGATGAAAATTTGCATGTAGGCTATTTTTTACCTGATTAAATCAAATATGCAATAAAAAATATACCATCATGTGCTACTTTTTGAGTAAATTGAGGTTGAAATTTCAGATATTTCCTCAAAATTCGGATTTGTGGACGTATTTTTCCTTTCGACAGAAATACATAACTTTTTTGTTTTAAAAGAAAAACACAAGCAGTTTTTTGTTAAATTATTTGTAATTTCTGTTTTATATAAATGTTTTATAAATTTGTACATTTTATTTTTACAAATAACTCATATTTATCAAATGTTCATGAATGTAGAAAAAAAACGTCATTTTTTGCTGTATATTTATCATATTTAAAATAATTGCACTATTGACTTTTTTATGAAAATTGGTACACATAATCTTCATACGTAATCAAACCAAATGTCATTTAAAAAAAGAAGGGTCCATGAACTCGTTTTCAAGTTAAATCAGTTTGAATGATAAAAATCAGTCGAAAACTGCATCTTTTCCCGATAAGTCACAGTTTGACGTCGCGAAAATAACAATTTACCTTAGCAACGTCATTACTTCCCCTGTAACTGTATCGTATGCCCTTAAGGATGTTTGCTCCTCTTGTTTTTGAATTTTTGCCAGATATTCGGAATTCTCTGGTTTTATCCATGTAGCGTCATTAAAAAAATTTCCACGCTAACCCCTACTTTTCTTTTTATAATTTTATTACTAATAGTTTAAAAAGCCATATTTGAAAATCCTATAAAATCCTTGTTATTTTTTCATAATTTTTGAAAGAAAAAAGGTGCCAATGTTAAATGTAAGAAAAGTCTAGAGAGAATTATTTCCCGCCAATTTTTCAATGGCTTATATCTCTAAAACAAGCACAAGGACCCTACATTTTTTCTGCTTTTTCAGTTCCTTTATTTATATACTAACAATTTATAACAGTCTTTTAATAAGCTTGTTATTTTGAAACAGAGTAGAGAACATACTAAATATCACTATTTGTCCAATAATATTTGTCATCACAAACTTTCCTGTAAATTTTTACATCATAAGAGTAAAAGTATGAGCCAGCAATGCAAAAGTGATTGTTGAATGAAGTCAATATTTCAAGTGACTCTAAATCTGAGGTCAAATGTCGTAGATTCCAAAATAGCAATAAGGTCTATTAATGTCTTTTGATAAACTGAATGTGTGACGGAATTATTATTTTAATTAAAACTCCATTAAAAACAGATCATCCACAAAGTAGGCCTAAGGTCTGACTGAAACCAACATTTTTTTTGTGCAATAGGCCTCAAGACTGAATTATATATAAAATGTTTGTTTAATAGGCCTGATGTATGAATAGGAATCAAAATGTACCCTTTCGGAAAAAGTAATCTGCTGCTGTTCTAGAACAAATGTTTCCAAAAAATACAATAGTGAAAATTTTAGCCATTGGGTTATTTTGGCTTTTTTTGCCTTCACATCAAAAGCATAAACATGTCAGTTAAGAGGAACAGAAACTTATTTAAAATTTTTTAAAGTGTCTTCAGTAGGTAGTTTCAAATTTGTGTAAAACTCTATAAAACTTAGCTATGTGGAAAATAGATATGCTCAAATAGTAAATGCTTTGAGAAGTAAACATGAATTTGCCATATTTAATAAGATATACTCAAATTATGACAAATAAATCATGAATTATTTTTTTTGCATTAAAGTGTTCAACAAAATACATGTATGCATGTAAAATTTGTAAAAAAAAACCATGAAATCAAGTTTCAACGAAAAAAAACATTTTTCCTCAATTCACGAAAAAATGGTTTCCACAAAAAGCAATTAATTCCAAAGTACTTACCAGTAACAATAATGAATACTGATGTCTCATAATTTTTAACAGGAGATGATGCAGAACAGATGTATTCCCCGCTGTAAACTGATCGGAAATTAGGTATGGTCAATGTTCCTCCACGGACTGAATGGTTTGGTGGCATCAATCCATTACGTTTCCTCCAACGGACCACAGCATTTTGTATACCTATGGAAAATTATTAGAAATTATGATCAAGGAGAAATCTACCAAAACTTTATATATAAAAATATTTATTTTTGACTACTGTATTTTTTTTTGTAGATATTTCTTAAGACTGCAGTTATTGAATATGAGAACTTTCACTCAATTCACAATCATAGATAATAAATTGTTTTTCTTTGCATGAAGAGAAATCATATTCATTATGTTATGATCCCCCCCCCAAAAAAAAGAAAAGAAAAAAGAACAGAGCAAAAGGGGAGATAATTCTTAGAAATATAAAATTAGAAATAAGCTTCACAATTGTTAAGACCCTTTGTAACAGTAAAAACTTATTAAAACATGAAAGGGGAGAGAACTGTTAGAAATATGAATATATTGAAGTTGACTGTCAGCGATGTAATACTTTTTTCCTTATTACATTCAAATGCTACAGTAAAAACTTATTCAAACATGAAAGGGGAGAGAACTGTTGAATATGAAAACTGAGGAAAAGACTGTCATTTCCTAATTTCATTTACGTGTTACAGTAAAAACTTGTTAAAGCATGAAAGTTGGAAAAAAATCTTTTGAAAACATGAAAATTGAAGAAAAACCTTGTCAGAGATATACTTATTATTTCCTTTCTAATTTATGTGTTACAGAAAAAAACATGAAAGGGGAGAGAAATGTTGGAAATATGAAAACTAAGGAAAAACCTGATGTGGATGTAATATTTATTTAATTATTTCAGTTAAGTGTGTTACAGAAAAAACATGAAAGGGGAGAGAACTGTTGGAAACAAAAGCCTGGTGTGGATGTAATATTTATTTAATTATTTCAGTTAAGTGTTACAGAAAAAAAATGAAAGGGGAGAAAACTTTTGGATACATGTAAACTCAATACACAATTTTTACCTGTAGTATCACATTCAATAGTTACAGTTTCTCCTTCTCTAACAGTACGCTGTCCTGGTCCTCTGATTGTCACACCAGTCTCTCTTGATGGCTGGCCACTTTCCTGAACTACAATAAAATTCAGAATGTGGTTGTACAAACCAAAAATGATAAGATTTCTATTGTTTGAATTGTTTCATATTTTGTCATTTCAGAGCCTTTTACAGCCAACGATATGGTATGGGTTTTGCTCATTGTTGAAGGCCATAGGGTGACCTTAGTTGCTTTCATCCATGTAATTTGACTCAGTTGGATAGTGGTTTCTTTGCAAACATACCACATCTCCTTTCATTAGATTTTATTTTAAAAATATGATAAAGTTAAGTATCAATGCTTGTTTTCAAGCGACAGGCTGCTAAAATTCTCATTTTTTAACGATATGCAAACAAACTTCCAATAATCTGCAAAAAGATGTGTTGTTTCTATGTAAAGTCATCAGTCATGGTCACCTTTTTTTGAGACGTCACAATAGGAAATTCAGAGGGAGGCAATAAAACTTGACGTCATAATTGAATTTTGTCCAATGAAGAACCGAGATCAAATAAACCACATGTTGATTAAATAAAAGAAATCAACAGGACAGGAAAAGGATAAATCGACTAAAATTTAGAGAAAAGTATTTGTTTCTTACCTTCAAGTTGAACAGTTTCAGTGACAGACCCTGCAACATTATTAGCAGTACAATAGTAATTTCCGGAATCACTCCTAGAAACAGCATTGAGAGTAAGCGTTGCCGATCCTTGACTGAGGGCACCCTCTACTGGTGTTGGTACATCACCTCTGTCTGGTGCTCTTTCATATCGCCACTGGACTGTTGGTATAGGATCACCTTCACCAGTACATTCTAAAGATACTCTCTGACCGATTACAGCAAAAACTTTCTTACTAGGCGAGATTATAATTCTAGGTGGACCTAAAATGTACAATTAAATATTCCATTAAGATGGGTATTCAGTAAGGGCTATTCCAGAGGGAATTGTAGCTTTCATGACAACACTTTTTTGTATACCCCCGAAACCATAATTTTTATTTTCATTTGTAACAGAATTGCATTCGCTTCCTTTTCTTATCACTCTTCCCACCATACACTATTCCCATTTCAGGATCTGTTTACCTTCCAGAGCACCTGATATCACCTGATATCACCCTCTGTTTTTGGTGGGGATTGTAACGCTTGTGATGTTCAATCTTTAGTTTTCTTTTGTGTTTTGTTTGTCTTTTCGTTGCTTTTGGTTTTTTGCCATGGCATTGTCAATTTGTTTTCGGCTTATGAGTTTGAATATCTTTGTATCTTTCGCCTCTCTTCTATCACCCACAGAAAAAAATATTAGGAGGTGTCCAAACCCTCTCATACTTTTTTCCTGGAATAGCCCTCAACTTCAATATATTCTAACCTATGCACATTTTCAAATTTTATAAATATCCCAACAAACATATCCTCTTTTGAATAGACAAATCATTGTAAGATTTTAAAGATCTTAAGGATGTTCGCTCCTTTGTTTCAAAATAACAAGGTTTTTAAACTAGAGGCTCTAAAGAGCCTGTGTCGCTCACCTTGGTCTATGTGCATATTAAACGAAGGACACAGATGGATTCATGACAAAATTGTTTTTTGGTGATGGTGATGTGTTTGAAGTTCTTACTTTACTGAACATTCTTGCTCCTTACTATTATCTCTATCTATAATGAACTTGGCCCAGTAGTTACAGTGGAAAATATTTTGTAAAAATTTACAAAAATTTACAAAATTTATGAAAATTGTAAAAAAATGAGTATAAAGGGCAATAACTCCTTAAGGGGTCAACTGACAATTTTGGTCATGTTGACTTATTTGTAGATCTTACTTTGCTGTACATTATTGCTGCTTACAGTTTATCTCTATCTATAATAATATTCAAGATAATAACCAAAAGCTGCAAAATTTTCTTAAAATTACCAATTCAGGGACAGCAACCCAACAAGTGTTGCCTGATTTGGTCTGAAAATTTCAGGGCAGATAGATCTTGACCTAATGAACAATTTTCCCATGTCAGATTTGCTCTATATGCTTTGGTTTTTGAGATATAAACCAAAAAAACTGCATTTTACCCATGTACTATTTTTTAGCCATGTCGGCCATCTTGGTTCGCAGGCGGGGTCATCGGACACATTTTTTAAACTAGATACCCTAATGATGATTGTGGACAAGTTTGGTTAAATTTGTCTTAGTAGTTTCAGAGGAGATGATTTTTGTAAAAGATTACAAAAATTTACGAAAAATGGTTAAAAATTGACTATAAAGGGCAATAACTCCTTAAGGGGTCCCAACAACAGGTTGTCCAATTCATCTGAAAATTTCAGGGCAGATAGATCTTGACCTGATAAACAATTTTACCCCTATGTTCTATTTTTAGCCATGGCGGCCATCTTGGTTGGTTTGGCCCAGTAGTTTCAGAGGAGAAGATTTTTGTAAAAGTTTACCGACGACGGACGCCAAGTGATTAGAAAAGCTCACTTGGCCCTTTGGGCCAGGTGAGCTAAAAACTGTTATAGATTGATAGAATATGAATAAGGGAACATAAAAATTAGAAAAAAAAAATGATAGGTCCATCTTCTAGTTTTTGAGATATAATCAACTGAAAATTTGGCGAGAAATGGTTCTCTCTAGATTTTTCATACATTTAACATTGACACCTTTTTCCTTTCAAAAACTATGAAAAAATAACCAAAATTTTCAAAAAACGACTTTTAAAACTATATGCAATAAAATTATGAAAAGAAAAGAAGGGGTTAGCAGGCAAAATTTTTATTTGCACTACATGGATAAAACTAGAGGATTCTGAACATCTGACAAAAAGTCAAAAACAAGAGTAGCGAACATCCTTAAGGATATCTACAGAACATTTCCTGTAACCTTCTAAAATTTTCAATTTGAATTTATTGATTGTTGGTGTTTAATGCCACTTTCACATTGTGCAGTCATTTTTTTATTAGGGAGAAAGCCACAGTGAAAGGAGAGAACCAACGATCTTTGTAAAATAGACAGCTTAGATAGTTTAACCATCAAGGCCAATTTCAATTTTGAGATCCTAAAGATAACAAAATAGTTTTTAACGTTTATCATATACATTTGGTCCAGTGAACATCTGTGAGTTTTGCTTTTGACTTACCACAAGTTTCAAAACTGAAACTAGACAAAGTGATGCCCCCACACTCCACTTTGAAGTAACTGTATTATAACAAAGTCAATGTAGGACTTTCTTTGAGATATTATTGTGTCTGGGAGACACAAATGATGCCCCCACAGATGCAAAGTGTTATTTTAAAATACACAAAGTTGAGAATGAGAGCACATAGGTCTATGGTTCACTGTAGAAGGAGTTATCCGGAAACGCTATGCACCTCTTATGCAAGTATATACTCCAAAAATGATAAAGTTCAACAATTTCCCAAAAGAGCAAATATTAATATAAATCAAAACCCTGACCACATGCACACCTTCAATATATGTAAAAACAGCCAGAAAAGTGAAAACGTCCTAGCATTCAAACTGTAGGAGGAGTTATCCTGAAACGCTATGCACCTCTTATGCAAGTAAATACTCTAAAAAAAAATGACAAAGTTCAACAATCTCCCAAAAGAGCAAATATTAATATAAATCAAAACCCTGACCACATGCACACCTTCAATATATGTACAAACAGCCAGAAAAGTGAAAACTTCCTAGCATTCAAACTGTAGGAGGAGTTATCTGGAATAACTATATACCCATAATGGGACGGACGGAATTACGGACGGACAGACGGATGGATGGACGGACAGGGGTGAAACAATATGCCCCCCCAACTTTCAGTTGCGGGGGCATAAAAAGCAAAGCTTTAAGAATTTAAATCAAAATGGTACTGAAGAAATAAATTGTCTTGTGTTTCTGTTGGCACTTAGTATATTTCTGCATAAGTCTATTTCAAAGCCAAGTTTCAATATACTGTGTTGTGTTTCTATTGACTCTCAGTATATATGTGTAAGCATACATCAATTTTTAAGCTAATTTTCATTAAACTATCATCTTTCAATGTCAAAACTTGGTCAAACACCTTGACTAAAATTAATTTGGATGGTTTAATTTCATAAAATTTTTACAAAATATTTACTTTGACCTTTTGACAAGAAAATAAAAATTTCAAAAAACTTGAACCACACACTTTATCGGAAAAATTTCATTGCATATATAGCAGTTTGACAATCACTAATTTTGATCATTGAGAAGCTTAATATTTCCTTAACAATAGAATGTGATTAAAACAATTAGCTGATTCTTAAAGAGTTATCTCCCTGTAGTGTTATGTACCACCTTAACTTCAAATAGTGAGGTGCAGAACTTCAATAAATACTGCAAACCAACTGATTTTTCCAATCGATTTTACTTTCGCAACTTTCTTGAGTATGAAAATAACATGAATAAAAACTTTCATCTTTCGTAATAGAATTATTTTTACAACTACACTAACTAGAAAATCCTGAAAACTAATCGTCACAAAGTCGGCTAGAAAAGGCGAATAAAGTATCCATGAAAATAAGATGGTGTGTACAATACCAGCAAGACTTAATCTCCTTTTCAATAAAAGCAAATGATCACATCAAATAATTTACTAAGAGTAAGGTAGTAAGATCAGAAAATATTTTGAAGAACTGTGTACATGTAAAATTGAGATATACATTTTTGTAGATCAGTTGAAAGAAAACATCATGGGAATCTTTCAACTCTAATTGTCCCACATTAAGAAAGATTCCAGTCTCATTGCTGATGCAATTTTTAAATGAAAAAAAAACACGTTGAAAGAAAACATCATGGGAATAGTTTAGCTCTTAGACTAATTGTCGCACTTTAAGAAAGATTCCAATATTACTGTATATGTGATTTTTAAATGAAAAGAAAAACACCAGTTGCAAGAAAACATCATGGGAATAGTTCAACTCTTTATCCCACATTGAAAATGTGTCCAGTCTCATTGCTGATGTAATTTTTAAATGAAAAAAGATCACCAGTTGCAAGAAAACATCATGGGAATAGTTCAACTCTTTTTATTCCACATTGAAAAAGTTTCCAGTTTCATTGTTGATGTGATTTTAAACTGAAAACCAAATTCATTTTTAAAAAGTAGTTCCTTTTTCAAACTTGAACCTTACCCTGAATGATAAGTGTGGCTGTAGCTGATACAGATCCCATTTCATTTGTGGCTGTACAAATGTAGCCACCTGCCTCCTCCCCAGTCACGCCTTTAAACATGATGACGCCATTCTCCATCGTGTCTATGGTGGACAGCATTGGTTCTCCTCCAGCTCTGAATAGAGATTATTAAAAGACAAGGTTAGTATTATATTTGTACCAAAAAAGACCACTGTCCAGTCTAACTGTGGTGTGCGAAACCTCAAGTGCAGGTCATGCATTCAATTTGCAACTAGTTCAAGCATGCAATGATTTTTTGTTGATACTTTTTAGCATAAAATTCCAAAACTTAAAGCAATAATAATAATAATAACTCCACCACATACTATATGTGCCTATCCCAAGTCAGGAGCCTGTAGTTCATTGGTTGTAGTTGATTCATGACTGTCATATTTGTTTGTCGTAAAATGTTTTGTTATAAAATAGGCCTTTAGTTTTCTCCACTTCATTTGAACTTTGGTGGATAGTTGTCTCATTGGCAACCATACCACATCTCCTTATCTTTATATTAAAAACACTAAGAGTACAAAAGTTTCTGAATTTACAGTAATTGATAAATCAAGTTCTATAATGGTAAAGATCAAATTTTTATGGGAGATTCAATCCTTTAGTGATGCTAACTTCCCACCTTCACTATACACCATTACACCATAAACCATACACTATTCACATTTCCCATTTCCGCTTTACCAATTGAATCACACAAGTGTGACAGGATTGCTTCCCTTCATTAGTAGATACTTAGTCAGCCGTAAGCGGTTGATCTAGGGAAGTACTTCTTTAGCTCAGTCGGTTAAAACCCTGCCTTGTACATGTAACACAGAGGTCCTGAGTTCCGAGTCCCGGAGGTGATAGGTGATTTTGCAATAGAATCATGGTCTCCGGTTATATTTGGCACCCAACTAAAAAACCCACGGTGGTTAGAGAGGAATTCTAGCTAGGGTATGTGTGTGAGAGTCATAATGGTATGATGTCTCTTGAGGTGGGGGAAGTGTGACGGAATTGCTTCCCTTCATTAGTAGATACTTAGTCAGCCGTAAGTGGTTGAGCTTTAAGGAAGTACTTCTTTGGCTCAGTCTGTTAACACGCTACCTTGTAACACAGAGGTCCTGGGTTCGAGTCCCAGTGGAGACAAGTGATTTTGCAATAGAATCATGCTCTCCGGTTACACATCATTCCAAGTCTAACCTGTTTGAGGGAATTGCAAATTTCAATATGTCTTTAAATAAAATTGAGAATTGTTAAATCTTACCGAGACCATGTTACAGTTGGAGGAGGATCTCCACCCATTACACGACACTGGAACAATGCACTTTCTCCCGTCTTTATTGTCTGAGATATTGCTGGATAGATGTCCAACTTAGGCTTGGCTCTTCCTGAAACAAGATTAAACTTTTATATTAGATATCAATCAATTATGGTAAAAACAACAAATTTTCATACATAATTTCCTTTCAGAATGTTTATTTTGGATATTTATAACATATATATAACACAATATTTCAAAGCTGAAGCACAATCTTCTAATTGAAATAAGACCAAGGTTTCTAAGTCATGTTTGAATTTTTTCTACAATTTGCATCATGATAGGAGTTTCTGTTTGTTTGAAAATCCTGGCAATCTTAAGATGATATGCAAACTTTTTCAACTCGTTTTTTTTCATTTCTGAGATTTCTAAAACCCCATATCACATTATTTTTTACAAACTCACTTCAAAAGTAAAACTTCCAATTTTATAAACAGTATAACTGTACTCACTTTCAACTTCTACAATAGCCCAGCCTTGTCCTAATCCGGCAGTATTCTCAGCACGGCAGATGTATACACCACGGTCCTCTATTTGGGCATTTGTGATTCTCAATGTTTCTCCTACGACCTAGAAATACAGACATAATAAGATGAGAGGTTGATAATTCAATTTATAAAATTAAAATGTCACTTGATATAAATCAAGTTCATCTGATAAATAAAAAAAAATATGTGTATTTAAAAAGAGTGAATTTCTCTTTTTTTTAATTGTGGGGGTATAATTATTAATATTTTATAGGTTGTCATACAAACAGTATTGAAAAATAATTCAGGCCAAAATTATTTTGAGTATCTTACTCTGGCCTCTTTTTTAAATATAGACAAGGAAAAATATTCCTTGAAATAATTATTCTCAATTCGAAGTGGAAATATTCAAATGTCAAAATAAACCAAAGAAATAAAATGTGTTCACAGATGGATGACTGCATATCTATATCAACAAAAATATCCAACTTCATTTTTTCAATTTTTATTTTCTTGAAAACTAGGTTTACCTGATGTCTGGCTGTCAATTCTCCTCTAGATTTAGACCATGTGATCTTTGGTTGTGGGGTACCAGTTACACTACATCTAATGGTACCAGTAGTTCCCTGGGCAATAGTTGTTCTATCTGGTGTTACTGTAGCAGTTGGTACTGTGGCTATACAAAATAGAAAAATGCCCTTGAACTTTAAACTCAAAGTACATCAGAGCATGAAAGTATTATATTGACAGGAACTACTACAACCCGACTTCAAACGTTTCATCTGAGATGCCGCGTGCAATTTAATGACATGTTAATTAACTTGAAACATGACACCTTATTTACACACCAGTGTGTGGTGCCCTACAATATCGTCATTTTCGGTTGCTTTCATGATTACGGAAATAAACAAAGAAATCGAAAGTTGTGATAAATTCTTAGGAAACAGCAATCAGCAAACCTCGGCAGATTCCGTTACCCTACATCTGCATATGTGTGCCGATTGATAGATTGATGGATTTGTGCGAGACATCATTAATTCTATAGAAAAACACGTTGACGATGGAAATTTGCACCATATTAATTGAATAAATGTCCCATGTTTATTGATTTATTTTTCGGAAGAAATTGCACTATATGTAATATATATCGCAAGTGGTGATTATATAATTACGGTTTACTCCAGTGGCACACATTTCATGCATATTTAAGACGATTGTAAAATGATTGTTCTGATAAAAAATAAAGATCAAAGAGATTTGAAATAAATATAGGAATTATCAAGCTTCGCTCTAAATCCAACCATTGGTTGGTATACGAATGTTTCAGCTGAGCCCTGATGTGTTGAAATTTTGTAAGTACTGCATCTGTTCAATAATATTTACTAGTATCATTTGGACAGATAGTGATAAAATATTTTAAGGGACAGAGATGCTTTAGCTATTCCATAACATTTTATAAGTCTAGTTTTTTTCTCAAATTGATAAATACGGGTCAAATCATAAGTCAAGATTGGCACATTCATAAATGACAAATAGAAATATTGACACCGGCTGCATATTATCGGATGAAATTCGTTCAAATACGAATATTTTAGCAGTTTTGAATTTCACAAATGTCAAAAAATTTAAACCCACTTATATAAATAATTTTTTTTATAAATAACGAGGTGTGTCTTTTTTTTTAACTATATTTGTTATGTATAATTTCTGTGATATTAAGTCCTTGATTGATTAATTTTCACATTTAAAACTGAAAATTTCTACTTTCCAGGGTAATCCAGGTCCGTTGCTATATACATTAATCGGGTCGTCACAGTGTATATATTTATTAAGAAAATTTTCGTGACCTGGCGGTAACCGGAACACACCCTTTTCACAGTTATAACTTAACCCCTGAAGAAATAAAATAATGGCACTCACTATTTTGAATCGTTGTAGAATAATTAATTCTTGGCTGATTTTCATTTTTTATGCATCTGTCGATTTATTTAAATAAGTTGTCATGAATAAATGTCAACCTAGGCGATTGAAATAAGTCAAGGTGTTTTCTGACAGGTATTGAAGTTAACCTGTCTGGATAAAAACCATGTGGTTGATAAGAAATATCTCTGGTCAATTTATGACCGCGGCATCGCAGATAGTCACAAAAGAAATTAACGGAAGCGTACTAATAAGACAGTTTCCATATCTTTTCTACAGTGCTACCAGGGTTATAAATAAGTGCTTCCTAATCGTTGTAGTTCCTGTCAATATAATACTTCCATGATCAGAGAGACCTGTTTTAAGCCAGAGGTCATTATTATTCCATAATTGCATTCATACAAGTGATATGATTAAAAGTCAAATTGTTCTTGGTCATCAATGTGTGAATAATGCATTATTTGTATGCTATCCTCTTGTACATAATGAAGTATTAGAGGTCAATAAATTTTGTTTGTTGTTTATTTGTTGAGCAAGTATATTTTGCATATTTGCAAAAGAAAATGTTATTTAAATCCAACTAAATGATTTCAAAATTGTAATAAAGTCTTCAAATCCTGTTCAATTGTACTTACTCTCTATTTCAGGTCGTACAGTCAGAGTAGTTGTTCCTGTTCCCCTGTCTCCAGTTGGTGTTATAGCTGTACACACATAGGAACCAGCAAAAGATGGCTGAATGTTGTTCAAGGTCAAAACACCATTGTCTTGTGCAGAGCCTGCAAAATGAAAAAGATTCAAAATGAAAACAAAAGTAAAAAATATGACAGAAATAAAATAGAGACATTGATTTATTTAAACAAGATTTTGTGAACTATTGACTTTACTTCTATCTTAGTTTGGCAGTGAAATCTTCTTTGTGTTTAATGGCCTTCTATTGTCTTGTACAATGCATTTAAATCATAAGCGGGCCGTTAAACAATTGCAAAGGGTTAATTTTGCGATAAAACACCTACCATGAACATAGCAAAAATTAGACATGTGCAGAATTTTCCTACTTAGGGTATTCTTAGCTTAGGTAAACCGCACAAGATTTTGTGTACTGCATATTGACATTATTTTTTAACTTGCAATGGTAACTATAGTATCCATTTGTAAATAAATGGACTTTCACATCCGAATATATTGTTTTTCCTGTTCATAAGGCTCTCAAGTTCCATCCCAAGTTAGAGTCCCACTGGTTCCTAATTCTTTAATGAGCGACAAACAAATGATAGACATATTTAAACGAAATATCTCTCAGTGAAAAAAAAAGGTGTTGAAGATACCAAAAAGACAAAGGGAACGGAAATTTTCGGACATGATTTTGGTCATTTATTTAGGACTTATATGCCAGGATCTTAATTTTCAAACAGTCAAATTCATATCAGACTTCTTGACATAAATGAACCTCAACAGTGTTTCTGTATGAACTGCATGAAATTTTGAACCTGATTTTGTAAATGAGATTAAGAATCAGCATCAGATTCATTTCAAACAAGAAAATAATTGTCTTAAATCTAGATGTATTTAATTATTTTTTTTTGGGGGGGGGGGGGGGGGGGGGGGGGGGAGGGGGGGATTAAAATAGTGGGAAGGGGGCTTCCAAGATTTATATATAAAAAAAAATATTAAGATTTTTCCTCATATTAGTGATTCAGGTTCCTTGGAGCCTCTAGTTTTTTTTTCATTTTTATTTTGTTTTGAGGGGGTGTCAATTCTTATTTATATACTATGGTTTTGAATGAGTATATGTCAATTAAGTGCCATTCTAACTTCCTTGAATGCCTGTTTTGAGTTATTCAGTTTATATAATGGGAGGATTTCAAGAGTCAAGTCAACACCTCTCATGGATGACGGATGAAAGCCCCCATAAATCAGAAAAGTTGACAGGTCTCAAATTTAATATAACCAACCAACTGAAAACAAATGTATGAAAGCAAATAAAAAGCTGGCTTTATATGACTCACCTGATGGAAGACCTCCATTCCTTGACCAGATCAACGTAGGTCTGACTGAATTATCGTCAATATAACAAATAAGTTGTTCAGTACTTCCTATTGTTGCTATAATGGCTACTTGTCTTACAATAACTGTTATGTCGGTCGGTGGTCGTGGATCTGAAATGTGAAATCATGTGTATAGTGTCTTTAATTTGAAAACAATATCAGGAGTTTTATTGGTATACAAGTGAATAATTAATAGGATCCAGAAACAAGCTGTTAGCTTATATTAATCCGTTTCCTAATTCAAATAAGAACATTTCATATTGTAATACTCAAGGAGAAGAGTGTAAAAAAATTAACAATGTTACACTAGATGGAAAACAAACAAAACATATACATGTAATAAGGTTGTGAACACAAAAGAGAAAAAAAATTTTTTTTTTACATCAGATATACAATAATAAAGTGTATGTTTCTGAATGGACACAATTATTTAAGATATAAGTATTACTTGTTAAACAAGATGATTGTAATCATATGACAAATCTTTTGCTACTGAGTATGAATGTTTGAACTGCCAAGAATATTTCAATGTTTTGTTCGTAGCTGAAATCCGTTGAACCGTGTAGCAAAATTTCTTCTGACAAGAAATGTATGATATTGATGTTATAAAAATGCTGTTCAGGAGTTTTATTGGTAAATAGCACTTCTAGCTTTAATGTATACAGCCATTGTCCTTGGATCATGTCTGTAATATTTTTTTGTAAATTGTTCTGTGAAAATAAGGCTGCTAGCTTTCCCATTTGAATAGATTCAAATTTTTCATGCTGGGGTTGTTTATAGCTGACTGTAAGGTATGGGTTGTTCACAATGTTGAAGGGCATATGATGGCATATAATTGCTTTTATCCATGTCCTGGTTAAAGTATATCACAAATGAATCTTCTTCAAACAAATTTTTTTTTAATATTGATTCAGTTTGAATTTTTTGATGTTGGTTTTGTATTGCATCCTTGTACAATTTTTTTTCAGTTTTATGTAATGACTACCTTATAACTGTAGTAATATAAATTCATGTTGACACTAGATGTGTCGGAACGACACAAGTGACCCCGTCTCAAAAAGTCGAAAAATCTGCAATTTCAACAATTTATCAAAGTCTAAAGTCCGTAATTTCGGCAAAAATTAGCAGAGTGGAACAAAACTTAAACCAATCTGTAACACATCATGGTTAACTCACATACCAAAAATCAGCCCAATATCTGAAGGCATTTAGAAAAAGAGTCTGTATAACTGTGATTTTCAACAATTTATCAAAATCCATTAGCCCGTAATTTTGGCAAAAATTAGCAGAGTGGAACAAAACCTAAACTTGATCTGTAACTCATCATGGTTAACTCACATACCAAAAATCAGCCCAATATCTGAAGGCGTTTAGAAAAAAATTGTGTATAATTGACAGAATGACGAAATGACGGACAAGGGTAAAACTATATGGAACCGACAACTTTGTTGCGGGGCCATAAAAACTGGGTCTCACTGTAGTTTCAATTCACAGTTTCAGAATTCGAGTGGATTATAGGTAATTTATTTGTTTAAACAACAAATAAAAGAAAGAATACACTTTTGGCTAGATATATGCAAATTTACATAAAGTGTGTTGGTAGTGGAGAGATTTTGAAAGTCCCTTCCTTCTCTCCCCCATCCAATTTAATGGAATAGCCCTAAACAAATTTATGTCCACGAGTACTTACTTGATTTTACATAAAGAATAGTTCTAACTTCTGTTGTTCCTGCTACATTTGATGCCTTGCAGTAGTACTGGGCCTCGTCACTTCTTCGAACAGCTGGTATCCTCAACACACCACCAGATATTACAGCACTAGGGTTCATTGTACCAGTTCCTCTTCGCCATTCTACCGTTGGTGCGGGTCGACCAGTTGTAACACATCTGAATTCTGCTGTCTCGAATTCGTTCACAGTTTGGAAAGTCGGTTCGATTCTTATAGAAGGCTGTACTTGTTGTGCTGTAATATGTATTTTCAGTACATTTTAATAATTAGTTTGAGGTATTCAATTTACACCTTGCATCTGGGGAAATCCCAATAATACAAACAGCTTAGCATCTTTTAATATTACACAAATTATTTTCTATGTGAAAATATGACCTAGAAAACTGTACAGATTATTCTAATGTAAACCTGATTTTTTTCTCACAAAATCATTACCAGTAAATATAACTCCTTAAAAAAATCTTTTTTATTTATCAAATTTATTTAATGAAAGAATTATTTCAATTGATTATCAATAGTAATAAAAAGAAAATTAAGTACACATGAAAAAAAAAAAAAAACGCAGAGCTGAGCTATGTGTATACTGGTTCCTTAAGGTAACAGTATTTAAGCTAAGGAGACCAGAATATACAGTTTTCCATGGATGAAAAAAGTATTTTATTCTCCCCATGTTGATTGATAATAGATTAATGTTAAGGCGGCAGATACCTAATTTAAGGTGGGTCATCGGTATATATTTCCTCAGATAGAATTTTTTTATACTTTGCCAAAATGAAGATTTAACCATGCTTTTTTCAAAAATATAATAAAAAGTATGGGTCACAGTGCTATTTTTTAAGCTACAAGTCGTGCAAAATTGCCCAAATTTGTATAGATTGTTCATGAAAAAACACATTTTATGTGAATAAAAAGAAATCTATGAGATAGAATTTTTAAATAAATTATGAGATGATAGGTTTTATAATATGCTTTAAGAAAATGAAAAGAAAAAATGGTGTCACTGAACTTGTTTTCTTGCTACAAGAAAAAAATAAAAATTTCACTACCATTCCAGTATAAAATTTTTACTATAAAAGTTACCTCCCCTTAAATGGCCGCGTTGAAAAATTGATTTCAAAAACATAAATATTTGGTTTTGTTTAAACATTTTGGGATAACACAATGAAAAACCTATTTTTCTTTATACAAATAAGCAGTCTTACACATAAATTGCAAATTTGTCTCAAAATTTAAAGATTTAGGCAAAGAACTAGACCGATTGTGTACTGCTGTTGTACAATCCAAGATGGCAGTATACAGTGAATCTACCTTAATGTCAAGATAATAATTTGGCAAAATAAAACTACCACTAGACCATAATCAAAGCCTTAAAGGCTGTAAAAGCAATTGCTGCCATGTTAATGTTTTGGGGACTTTTATTTTTCATCCACATATATATAAGAATTAAACCTGACAGGAGTGTTGTCTAGTGAGAAGTAAGAAGGTTTTAACTTTATATCAATAAAAGACTTTAGCAGAAAGTTATTTGTTTTATATTTCACAAGGAGACAACACGTTTACCAGACTAAAGTTGGGGTCAAATTTACATGTGCTGAAACATATAACTCAAAAAGAAATTATCCCCTGGTAGTGTTTGTAACTGGGCAATAATTTCCTTTATTGATTTAATTTTAACAATTATCATAATTAATTTAAATTTAACCATTCAATTAAAACATTTCAACTTTCCAGACACAAATGTTGAAAAATGGGAAAGAAATAAAATATCTTTAATACAAGACATAAACATGTAAAAAATAAATATACATTTCAGCTTACTAAAAATATTTTCATAATGTTACTTTGTCTTCATTTCTTACAACTAAGTCCCAAACATTATTGCTCAGTTGATATGTGTCATCCTCATGCGGTACGATATAACTATAATTCTCAAGAATCCCGAAAAGGGGGGTCATCACAGACAAACACGACATTAAATCGTCATTATACGAACAAAAACAAACAGTTCTTCGTTGCTTTGATATTTATCAATTTTCAGGAAACATTGCGAAAAATTATCTTCAATATTTCGAAAAACATGTGAAATAAAATTGCAAACACGGTGGACCGTCTAGTGTCAACACACGTAGTAGACTCGTCCACTGGAAAGACGAGGATAATGGTTTCATCATTTGTCATGCATACCCAGTTTTGTTTATGATATCCAACAGGACGTACTTTTTTTCAATCTATGAATCTATGAAACTAGAAAATTCCAAATTGTAAATATCTCTTCATCTGGACTTGGCATCTACCACGTTTTGACGGGTCAATTTCATTAGTAAGGTGATCGATAAATCTTACGGAGTTTTGACAAAAAAGGAAAACGAACTTATTGTTATGTGTTTTTAATAAGGGTTTAGTTCCGCTAAATTATTTGCGCAAACAAATCAACAAAATAGGTCAGTTAAGTTTGTCTATTTTTAGATTACAGGTAATCATTTGACACTACGTATAACCTGTGTAGTGATTTTGATTTTACGATAAATTTATAAATGAACGATAATTTTATGAATGAACAAGAGCACCTGACCTCTTTCTTAGAGAAACACCAATTAAACATATAAAACCGTATTTAATAAGAGATAATTCAGTAAAATTTTCAATACTAAATCAACAACTGAAATGATTCCATATTTTGTTGAAACATCGTACAAAAAGAGAACGGAATCGCAGGTATAAAAATGCACTTTTTTTCACTCAGACTTCTATGTTTTTTGTTAGTCAAACGGTTGTCCCCCTAAAAACAAAAATACATCTACAAGAACATGTGCTGAAACCTCTTAAATCCACTAACGTTTTTCAAGAGTTTCAAGCTATGTATTGCATTAGAAAACATACATAGTTGTTTAAGAATGACAGACCAGGAGCCTGTTTAACAAAATACTATGGCTTGATCTGGGCGGAGTCTCTGATTTGCGTCACAAAGATGGCCATACGCGATGGCATTAAAGCAATTGCTTTAAAAATAGATTTTTTTAGTATTTACCGCTGACACGAAGAGTAGCCCTATCTGTATCCATATGGAACATGTCAGATCCAGTACACTCGTAAGTACCACCATCTTCTGGTCGGACATTGGGAATGACCAACACACCATTCTGGTCAATAGCTTTGTTTGGCATCAAACCATTGACCTTTGACCAGGACAGGATGTAGTTGCTCTGTTCAAACAAATATAAAAATCTTGCTAAATACAATAAAGTTGTCTCAGCACGATTTCTGTGAAAAAAATGTATATACCAGTGGACAATTTTACAAACAATGACAGCTAGAATTAGACATAAAACATGAAACTTATGAGGATGATACATAAATGACATATGATACACAGTAACTTTTCATATAATATTTGTTTCATTAGTGAATGAATTTTATTTCTCATTAACTACAAATTACATAGTTACAGAGAATATATATATATAAACAAATATTACATTAAATATTAAAGCAAATGTGAACAATACAGACATAAAGCCGTTAGTTTTCTCATTGGAATTGTTTTACATTTGTCATTTCGGGGCCTTTAATATAGCTGACTATGCGGTATGGGTTTTACTCATTGTTGAAGGCAATATGGTGACCTATAGTAGTTAATTTCTGTGTCATTTGGTCTCTTGTGGAGAGTTGTCTCATTGGCAATCATACCACATCTTCTTATTTTTATATATAAAGTATTGAAGTACAGACTAACCATGAGGAGGAGTCACCCTCACATTTATAATTTTTATAAATCTACATAGTTTTTCAAGAACAATATGGTTTCTCGAGCTCATTAATTATTGAAATTTATATATATTTGGACAATGTACAATAATGTGGTAACAACCTCTTTCTGTCTTGATCAAGAGCATTACATGACATGACATAATGATATTCATCACCGATATCTCTTGATTCACAAAGATGGCACATCTTATCATTTAGTAACCTATGATAATGTTTATCTATTTTGTATTGTAATCCAACTTATTTACATGAACAATTAATTTTCCTAATTTTCGCCGAAAAAAAGATAACGGCAATTGAAATTATTTTTGATCTTCTCTTTTATATGAATACACCAGCATTGTTATTAAATTTAAAATATATATATTGCCACAAATTAGGATAGAAAAAGGTAAAAGCAAAAAAAGTATCCATGAAAATAAGTTGGTAGAAAGTATTTTTTCATATGAACGTAAATTGTCTGCACTTATTCTTAATCAAATTTCTGTAGACATTGTCATTGGTGGGCTGCCAAATGTGTGTTGGTGGAAATAGAAAAGTCCATATCAACTATTGTATTTTAAAACAGAAATAAATGTAATTGCTCTTCAGCTGCTCAATAGCAAAATGTCCAAACCAAATTGAATTTCTAAATATGTGTCCTCATTGACATAACATGTATTTTTTCTCTCTGCTAGATTGTCTAAGCGAATAAAGTATTATGAAATTTTCAGATTTTCTTAACATTTTTTTCTGAAATAACATTTGCAATAATTGGATTGAATGTAATTTTTAAATACAATAAATCTTATGTTTTTTTTTTAAACAATTCACTAATCAGTACTCAAAAAATGCTACAAACCACATTACCAACCAACCAAGAATAAATTTTAAAATAATTGTATATAGCCATGATAAAAATATCTCTAGATTCTAATGAGGGTCAATCCAAACACTAACAATTATTGTCAAGGTTCCAAAAATATTTGTTTTTCATCCAACTAAGAGCAATAATTTGTTGAGTTGGACGTTAAACACCCCAACGAAATAAGTTTTTTCAATTGCTTCTTAGCTCACAATTTGCCTACTTAGATTCAAAAAGAATTTCATAATTTCATGGTTACTAAAGCAAAATGGAAACAATATTATGTAATTTGGATAATATCTATTGTTGACGAATGCGCTCTTAAACCAATCAGAATGCATGAATTTTTATTAATTGCAATTTTTTTTTACCAGAGTACTTTGAAATGAATTTATTAATCTAGGAATAATTCTATCATGGCATAACAATTTCCCAAGTATAGTTAAACTCATGCTTAGATTCAATAACCAGTATTCTGGCTGTGTCCCTTTTACCTAGCTAGGCAAGATGTTTTATCAGCAGAAATAACAATAAACACCACCACCAATTACCATACCATAAATCAGAATTATAAAACATGCTTAATCAGCATTCATTCGAAAACTTGTTTTTTTGTAAGGGCTATTCCATTAAAATGTATGTGGGAGGGTTGGAAAGGAAGTTTAATTATTGAATGTGGGTCATGGGTCTTTTTTCAGTATGCGTCTATTACCATTATGCAAAATTATCTAAAAAATGGTTCTTGGTTGTAGGGATATTTTGAAATTCCCTTCCTACCCTCCCACATACATTTTAATGGAATAGCCCTAAACATCTTTATATCTAAATGAGTGTTTGGGTTTATCTTTAATATCTGATGATTGATTGATTGCTGGTGTTTAACACCACTTTTAGCATTATTGGATATGTCATGGAGGTCAGTTTTTATTGGCGGGGGAAATTGGATAGAACTGCAACCTTTGGCAGAAAACTGCCTATCCTAGTCAATCAACATTGGAGTTGATCGTATCTGCCATGTGTGGGGTCTAACTCACAAACTCTGTATTGACAGGCTAGTGATATAGTAAATGAACTTCTTAGACCACTCGGTCTCAAAGGCCCCTTTTACTTTAATTTATGCAATGAGCCCATCAACAAAAGGCTAAAATATGGAATACCCCTAACATTGCTTAAATCAAAGAAAATTATTTGTACAGGGGTAAGAATCAGGAAGAAAAATCAGGCTTTTTGTGTATTTTTATCCTGTTTCTAGCCTTATTCCCTTTAAACTGAGTAGCAGTGCTTGACTTAACCTATTGAGTATATAACCAACAACAACCCCCCCTTTTATCCTTAAGGTAAATCCTGAAGCTCAGTTTGTAGAGCAGGGTCCCATGTTCCAACATGTCTGGCATAAGGTATTTTGGAAGGAAAATCATGTTGTAAAGTTTCAAACTGACAAACCCAGTGGTTAAAAGAGATTAAGAGAGTTTTGCTAGAGTTTGAAAATCATGCTCTACTGTTACAACTGAAATGCTCAAAATTAAAAAGTTTGGTGTGACTTTGGACATGAAGTGGCTGATGAAGGCTAGCTAATCCACAAACCTGAATCTCTAAGCTTTATACATAAAATTCTATGGAAAAGGTCTGAGCATGTTTCCAACAAGGCTTTATCAGGTTGGTGACTGTATATCTGAACTATATAGTCAATATGATTTGACTACCGGTATGCCAATACCACTGTTGCAGTAAATCATGAAATATTCTACCTATTCCAAGTAAACTCTTTAAACTTAAGAAATTGTAGCTATCTGCTTCAAAATGTTGAACAAATTTTTAAATTCAAAGATGTGCATGCAAAGAGCTAAATTAATTCATTCTGTGCAACAGGATTTGTAAAGTAAAAGATTTTTATCAAAAGATGATTTGAATATTGTAAATTCAGAAATTTGTGCAATGCTTTTATTATTGAAAATGGTATAATTTTGCAAAAATTTAAACTTTTTTTGCATTATTTGAATGCAGCAATTCCTGAAATAGTTAAACATTGTAATTTAATCCCACAATTGCAATAATTAATACATGTACATGCAAAAATTTCTGAATTTACAGTAAGATTTCTATAGAAAATTCTAAATTGAACCAGAAAGAGGGGGGAAATTCTACAACAATAAGTATGGACTAAATTTTTTACCCCAATCTGCAAATTTCAAAAGAAAAAACAAACAAATTACAAAGCTGCAATGTTCAATAATGGTTTGTTAGTATATTTCTCCAATGTTTACCTGTAGACGTCGACCCTATACAATTCAAATGCAGTGATTACATGTACCTCTACCTATGTATATAAGTTACCTCTCTACGGCGTATCTAAATTGGAATTTGTCATAGCAAAACATGAACAAAAGCAGAACACAAATAATTAAGACTTAGAATATGACGCTGCTTACAGACATCATCTTTCTATAAAGTAGAAAGTTTTCTGGAGGGGTTTATTTAAGTGGTTTTCATGAGGTTAAATCATGAAAATAATTCACTGGCATAAATTATGTTTTTACAGAAAATACAAAAAAAAAATAAAAACGTAAAAGTAAAACCTTTGAGAACAATAGGTTTGACCTTTGAACTCTCGAAATTAAAATAAAATATATCATATATATTGAATTGAAGAAGGGATAACAACTGGATGAAGAAATACATTTTTCAAAATTCATTGTCACCAATTATTGATTTATTATATATGATTTATATCAATTATTTAATATCCCAAGTTTGTGTTAACATGTTATTAATTCAATAAGTGAAAAAGATGCAATTATAATGAACTGTTGACACAAGTAGTAGTTCTTAAATACCTAAATGATTATTGGAAGTCTAATAAAATCCTAAAAACTAAATATTTAGATGTAAAATAAATCTTTGACGTTTCCCAATAGATTAAATATCAGCAAGAATGCACGTGATGTCGTACTAGGCATATCCTACTCCGTTTTTTTTTTACATTTTTAGTTTATAAAAAATAGATAAAAAAAAAAAGTAAATAAAATACTTTTTTTTTCCTTTTTTCCTTTTTTTCCAGGATTTTGGAGATATGAAAATGGGTGCGTATTGTACACAACTGTGTACTATACACGACTGAATACAGTAATAATTCAGAGTATGCGAAAACAGAAAGAAGATGTCCAACAGATCCAAAAAGCACTCACACTTTACAATTCATCACTGTAAGGTTGCTGACCAAATACAAAGTCATTTTAAAGAATAGATTTTGAAAGAAGTGTAACAGAAATAATTGTTGAATGAAGAGACGGACAGACAAGTTGAATATAACATAGGGGTACAATTTGTAAATTCATCACAATATAATTCCAGAATCAGTGAAGATCATTAAACTGATGTAGATGTAAAAGGTAAGTTATTCAATTATTAAACGAAAATATCAGCAATTTTAGGCTAAAAAGAAACTTTATAGAGTCCATTTTGTTCGTTTAAAGGGAAAGTTGAAATGGCAAAAATTCAAATGAAAATTTTAAATCCTGACCAATTGGATAAAACCTACTGATGCCTTTAAAGTTATAAATTTTAATCATTATGGTGATTTCACAATAGACTTACCTGCATTTCTCCTTGAGCAACACAAACAAATCTAACTGATTGTCCCTCATCAACTGTTCGTTCCTTTGGTGGCTCAATGTACACCCTAATAGGCTGTTGTCTACCTGTTGTTGAATTAAATATTTTTTAGCATAAACTTCAAACTATTTTTCAATTAATAATAGCTGCTGAATCATATGATTTTTGCAGATTTATTCACACCCAAAGGTGTTAAAAATTCAGAATTTGACAGTTTTTTCAACTGATTTTTTAGAGTGAAAACTCAGAACCCCAAAAAGCTACCATTGTCGACTAAGCGAATAATTACTTCCTTTTAACCTAAAGCTTTTATACAGATCAATCTAAAAGTGCTAGAAAGGGGAGATAATTCGTAATACTTACCTAACACAATCAAGTTGACATACTGTCTGCTGCTTCCGTGAACATTAGTTGCTGTACAAACGTATCTGCCTGCGTCTGTTTCTTGTACATCTCTGATCGTAAGTGAGTATCGTGGACCAACTTGGGCTCTATTTGGTAGACCTTGGCCATCTATTCTGCTCCATATGACATTGAAAGGCCCTGGACCTTGCACGTTACATTGGAAGACTATAGTCTGACCGACTGTGTCCTCTAGCTCAGTTGGATTGACTGTTACAACAGGTTTCAGGACCTCTGAAGACAAATTTTCGTTTGAATCAAGTGATTATTTTTCAAGTTAATATCAAATAAATTCATTCTGATCCGGTGTCCCCCCATAGCTTATAAGGATTTGAAAATGCTCCATTCTACTTTCTGTTTAAACAACCTTTCAGGATCCTCAGGTTTTGTCGTAATAATACATACCTTCAAAAATTTATAAGCCAACATTTCATTGGTTGATATAAATGTTATCAGAACCTTTTAAACGAAGTGTTGACAGGATATGTATTTTAAACAAGATTGAAATTTTTTTTTTTTTATATTTCTCTCTAAAATTTCTAAATTGTTGTCTGTATACTGTTAACCCACTTATTTTTCTTTGATACTATTTTTTGCGCTTATTCCTTTTCAGTCAAATTCACTGCAATTTATTTTCAAAATTGTCCCCATGTATTTACATATTAGAGAAGGTCAAAGTTTCACATGATTATAACTATTTATATCTGTATCATTTTTCTACTCGCGAAAGTCACAAATATAAGTTGGTTTCAAATTTCAGCCTGAATCAGATTTGTCAATCATCTAAATCTCCCATTATCTCAGTAAATAATTGTGCATCATGGACCAACCTGAGACCTATTGGGTAGACAACAAGTATCTTTCCTCCTACATTATGCTTACCCATCCAAAGCACCTGAGATCATCCCTGGTTTTTGGTGGGGTAAATGTTACTCAGTCTTTAGTTTTCTATGTTGTGTTGTGTATACTGTTTTTTTTAGTCTTTGGTCTTTTTTTTTCCATGGCATTGTCAGTTTGTCATTGATTTATGAGTTTGAATATCCCTTTGGTATCTTTTGTCTTCTGCCTTTTTTTCTACAGATGACATTGAAAGGCCCTTGACCTTGTACTTTACAATGGAAAACTAAATTCCTATGAACTTTTTCCTCTAACTCATGCAAATCTAATTGTCAAATTAACTCATGAAAATTCAAAGCTTGACATTCTATAGACATCTGTCTATTGAGCAAGACTGTATATTGCACTATAGATATCTTTTGGTTATTTTTGTCAGCTAGTTGCTGTCTCATTGACATATTACCCCACATCTCCCTTTATTCTTAGCATAGCCTCTTTCTGGATCACTCCTAAATCAAGTCACATGACAATTAACTTACCATCTCTTTGGCATCTTCCTCCTACTTCTGTAGGGTTACCAGTGTAGCCTCTGTCTGTATCACACCTAATAAGAAGATCATTATCATGTTCAAAATAAGACTAGAGTTTTTTGTCCATTTTGATGGAGAGTCAGTTTAAAAAAACTCTCCATAAGAAAACTGCTCCTTCAAAGATCCTCAAGGCAAATTTGAAAACAAATATCAAATCCACAGTTTATCATTTTTATGTTTTATCAAATTTATTTCATTGGAATTAAACAAAATATGAAAATTTACTGAGAATTCCTTTATAAAAATTTAATTGCCCACTTATATGGCTAAATTTTTTTCCGAATTTAATCAAACAGAAAATAATCTGTAATGGTAAAAGCATATTATTTTTCAATGAAGGTATGTTGGTTGAAGGGAGATTTTGATAGTCCCTGCTCTTTGGTCGAGTTGTTGTCTCTTTGACATATTCCCCATTTCCATTCTCAATTTTATCTTTTCTACAACCCCATCACCACAGCCCAACCTCCTTAATGGAAATCACGGTCTCCCCCAGGAGGTTTGATAAGAAAGGAATATATCTCAATTCTAAGCAATAAAACTTAGTTAACCAACAATACCTTTCACACTTTCTACCAATATATCCTGGTGGACATCTATCACATGTGACTAGGCCATCTGATTCAAGGTAACAACTTCGGGAAAATCTGTAATCCACAAATTTTCAATTTTACTATGTTCTTACTTTTTGTTATTTCCTAAAGTCTATATGAGTTCTGTAAATTCAGAAGTTTTTGCATGAAATACTGTAAATTCAGAAATTATTGTGTGCATTTATTATTGCGATTTTTAAATAATGGACAAAAATGCGAGATTAATTATTGCGATTTCTGGAAAATGTTTATACAGATATATGTATCAGATATCAGAATGCGAGTTCTTATTATTGCGATACTCAACCAGTCGCATTATTCGCATTAATAAAAACCTCGCAATAATTTCTGAATTTACAGTACACAAATATTCAATTTTACTATGTTCTTAATTTTTATTTCTTAAAGTCTATATAAGTTCTGTAAATTCAGAAATTTTTGCATGTAATACACAAATTTCCTATTTTACCATGTTTTTTGTTTATGCTATTTCTTAGTCTATTGAAGTTCTGAAAATTTGAAATTTTTGCATGCATTTATTTTTGCTTTTGTTGAAGCATGGACACAATTGTGAGATTAATTTATGCAATTTCAAGAAATGCTGTGTACCAATAATGCCACTATGATTTTAAATGCAATGATGTTTTTTTTTTATTTCAAACCTATTCTGTTGCAATTTTTGCAATTATTCAAAAATATATTAGAATTTACAGTAGCTGAAATATAATATTATGACTTTTTTGATAAGCACTCATCAGTATTTTTTATATAATTGATTATATTTCAAAGAATTGAATTCAAGCATCTACAGATATCTAAATCATTATTTATTTCATTTAAAATCAATTTTCAAATGCACATGGTTTTACACAACTTACACATTGTACAAATATGTGCTTTGAAATACATTTATATTACTTATATAAATTCTCATACTTACTGGTTAGAGGGTACAGTGAGTGGACAAGGGCAAGGTCTACAATCATTAGGGGTACCAGTTGTGGAATCACCATAGTAACCAGTAGCACATCTTTCACACCTCTCACCTTCTGTGTTATCTTGACAGTTCTGTAATACAAGAGTTCACTGTAAATCTATGAGGGTCTGGAAGGGGGTCTTCATTTCTGTATTCTTTTTTTTTATTTTATTTTTCACTCATCTTATTTTTTTTACCCATTAATCTCTAATTTTCTTATATTTCAGCATCCCCCTAATCCTCCATTCTTTATTTTTTTTGCCTATTTTTCTCTTTTCTTTATTGTTTGCCCTTTATTCTCTAGTTTGTAAATCCAACCCAGACTCTCAACTATTGTATGTCAAGAAACAAGAAAATAATTTGTTTCAGTCAGAGGGGTTTACCATATTTCAATTTAAAATTTAGAAATATAAATGAAACAATTTTGAAACTTCTTCAGTAACTGTATTATGAAAATGGGGGGAAAGCAGGTCGAAGCTTACAAATGTGTACCCATATTATATCAACATGCTGTTTTAAAAAATCTATGTTTTACTATGGGCAGTCCAAAAAAATTCTCAAATATAAAACAAACAAGAATATAGGACACCATGCTCCGCTCACACTATCAAATTTCAATGTTCAGTGAATCACAATGACTTCTTACCAAGCAGACTCCAGTGGCTGGGTCACATGCTGAAGCATGCCCATTACAACTACATCTGATGCAACGGTTGCTGGTATCCTTCAGATAACCAACAGCACACTCTTCACATGATAGTCCCCTGTATCCTTCTGGGCATCGACAGCTCTCAACCATTGGAGCGCGACCAAGGTTCGTTACTTCAGCTACAGCTGTATCCATACGAAGGTCACGTAAGGATGTGTATGAGGTAATGCTGTGGTATGTAGCTCTGATGAGAATGGCCTCGATGTCTGACAATATCCTTAGGAATGCTTCCCTGGTTGGTGTTGATCCATCGCTCAATTGGAAAGTTGACTGAAATTCAAAATATAACAGTTAGTTAAAAGATAGTTTTGTATTTCATATTTTTTCACATCTTTAATCATGAAAGACAATTACCTCTCTATTGTTAGATAAAAGTTATTTTCGTTAAGGACAGGTACTTTCATATAGCTTGTATAGTAACATTTAATATCAGAGAAATTTTTTGAACTTAATTTCGATGATACTTGAAATTATTACATATAATTTACTAATATTAATCCACTTAAATAATTTTTAACTTTATATAAAATTTAATATATGGCTTTTAATGACATCTCAGTTTACACCTATTTTCAATAATATATTTACTAGTGAACATATATATATAAATATAAGGTTCATTCTTTCAAGGGAGACAACTCTTGAATTCAAGACATGGGGGACAACCCTTGTATTATACATTTTATGTGGAAAATCTTGTCAGATCCCATTTTTTTTAAAAACAGAACAACAATATTTACAGCATTATTCAACATATATTGTTAATTGTTTAACCTCTAATGGCAAATATTTCATTGTTTTGCTTATAAAATTTATTCTTACCTCTCTGAGTAAAATCTCATATAAGTTAGCATCATACATCTTGACGGCAGGATTGAATAGATGGTACATTCTTTCTCTCTGTCCACTTGTCTGTAAAGAAAATTCAAGCAAATTATATATAGAATTTATGTTAATTGTTTTTAATATGAAAGTTTATTTTGAAAGAGGTCAGAAATAGACACATGTATTCTGGGTGTTAAATCTCCCTTTCATTTAACAATTTTCTATCCCTTATGTCATACAGCAGTTTCCTGGTTAATTTCATTTCATTTTCATTCATTGGAAAAAGAACGATCAGATTCAGCAATTATGTTCATATAGTTTACTGCAGATATCATTACTTTATTAATTGTAAATACAATGTGTAGAAATTGCTTACAATAATTTTTAGGAATTACTCAAGATACCATTTACAAAATTATTTTCTATGGAGAGCTAAGAAATTTGTATAATACTCACAATTATTTCTATATCAACGTCCCTAAAGGTGCCTCCTGCATCCTGAGCAACATGGGTCTCCAATGTAAATCGCAGGTAACCACCATAAGATTCAACCTAAAAATTATAAATAAAAAATAAAGTTTTATAGAAGTAGATGATTGGCTTGATTGCCAATAAGACTACTATCTATGACTTGATTGCCAATAAGTCTACTATCTATGGCTTGATTGCCAATAAGACTACTAGCTATGGCTTGATTGCCAATAAGACTACTAGCTATGGCTTGATTGCCAATAAGACTACTATCTATGGCTTGATTGCCAATAAGACTACTATCTATGGCTTGATGCCAATAAGACTACTATCTATGGCTTGATTGCCAATAAGACTACTAGCTATGGCTTGATTGCCAATAAGACTACTAGCTATGGCTTGATTGCCAATAAGACTACTAGCTATCGCTTGATTGCCAATAAGACTACTATCTATGGCTTGATTGCCAATAAGACTACTATCTATGGCTTGATTGCCAATAAGACTACCATCTATGGCTTGATTGCCAATAAGACTACCATCTATGGCTTGAATGCCAATAAGACTAAAGACTACTATCTATGGCTTGATTGCCAATAAGACTACTTCTACCAGAGTTTAAATTATGTGGATGTTAGAAACTAATTCCTGTCCTTAATCATGACAGTTCTAGAAAGGAGGAAAAATGAAGGAAAGACACATGTTTTTAAATAAATTTGTTATTTGCAATAGATATAAGATGTGGTATGAGTGCCAATAAAACAACTCTCCATCCAAGTCACAATTTGTAAAAGTAAACCATTATAGTTCAAAGTACGGCCTTCAACACAGAGCCTTGGATCACACCGAACAGCAAGCTATAAAGGGCCCCAAAAATGACTAGTGTAAAACCATTCAAACAGGAAAACCAACAGTCTAATCTATATAAAAAACGAGAAACGAGAAACACTTATGAACCACATCAACAAACGACAACCACAGAACATCAGGTTCCTGACTTAGGACAGGTGCAAACAAATGCAGCAGGTTTAAACAAGTACAGATTATAGGAAAATTCTGTGTTTTCTTTTTTTATAACATGTGAAATATCAGACCACCTCTGAATCATTGATTTATCATTTCCTATAATGAACAAATAATATAAACATTAAAAATTTTGTGAAGGGGTTATTTTGGCTTATTGCACAATATCATAATATGCCCATGGTATACCTGATGATGTTGTGCAATAATCATGATTTACCTTATGATGTTGTGCAATAATCATGATTTACCTTGTGATGTTGAGCAATAATCATGATTTACCTTATAATGTTGTGTAATAAACATGATTTACCTAATGATGTTTTGCAATAATCATGATTTACCTTATGATGTTGTGTAATAAACATGATTTACCTTATGATGTTGTGTAATAAACATGATTTACCTAATGATGTTGTACAATAAACATGATTTACCTTATGATGTTGTGCAATAAACATGATTTACCTAATAATGTTGTGCAATTAACATGATTTACCTAATGATGTTGTGCAATTACCATGATTTACCTTAACATGTTGCACAATTATTTACCTTGTTTCCTCTAAACTTGGGAGGTAGGCTGAAGTAAAGACTTTCTCGTTCTCTCTGGACATCATTTAATCTAGGGAATTTGACTTCCCGTCTGGTGACATCTAGTTCAAAACCATCAGTAATTGTATTACTTAATCTTCTGTTTGTCAGGGCGAAATTATGGCTTCCATCTGAGCCTAACTGTGGTCTAAGCTAAAATATAACAATACATGCAATTAAAAAGATATTTTTCAGGGGTTCTATACATTAAACAAAATTATACTGTAAACTGACTGGTAGTTGCAAGAGTTTTATTTTTTGCAATTAGAAAAATAATTCGAAAATTAATTATTGCGAAAATGTCAAATTTGGATATTTCTAAAACAAAAAACATCAACAATGTTATAAAATCTTGAAAAAAAACTGTTTCAAAGTCAGCTTTTAAGGGCTAACACGAAAAATATAAAATAAGTCAGTTACAGTTAGCTATATCAAGATGAAAATTACTTAGGATGTTCGCTATTCTTTGACTTTTTGTCAGATATTTTCGGAATCCTCTGGTTTTATCCATGAAGTGCCATTGACTTTTTGTCAGATATTTGGAATCCTCTAGTTTTATCCATGTAGTGCCAATACAAATTTTGCCCACTAACCCCTACTTTTCTTTTCATAGTTTTATTACATATAGTTTAAAAGAAAATTTTAGAAAATCTCATAAAATCCGTGTTTTTTTTCATAGTTTTTGAAAGAAGAAAAGTGCCAATGATAAATGTTTGAAAAATCTAGAGAGACTCACTTCCCACCAAATTTTTAATTGATTATATCTCAAAAACAAGGTCACCGACCTTCCATTTTTTTCTGCTTTTTAAATTCCCTTATTAATATACTATCAATTAATAACAGTCTTTTAAAAAGCTTGTTATTTTTGAAACAGAGGAGCGAACATCTTAAAAGTTACAAAATGAACACACATCTAACTACCTTTGATTAAACCTTACAATGATGAACATAGAGATGATAATTCCAACTTTTTTCATTAAATAGTAATTATCAATATCTTCTTCAGTTTGTACATCTAAGTGTTTACATAAATAAAAAACAGACATGTTTCTATAGCAACAAAAGAACTGTTTATTCTGGTACCCCCACTAACCTCAGCTCTATAGTAAGATGAACTGGAGCACTGATTAGTCAGACCATTACACCAACATGCCAGACATCCCTGCTGATTACTTTGGTCCAAGTAAAAATAGCCATCTTTACATGTGTTACATCGCAGACCTCTAACATAGGACTAAAAAGAAGAAAAAAGTGTTACAACATAAATATTTAAATGAATGATTGATTGATCTTTGGTTATTTAACATCCAGTGGCAAATATTTCATGAATGTTCAGGACGAGATTAAATTAACAATGAATACAACAGGTAGGTCCTGTTATAGAGGCCATCACGCATGAAGGTGTGGTAAATTTGGACTGCCACAAGAAAATGAAGGTATATTGGATAGGAACAGAAATTTTGCCTTCCAACAGGCCACCTACGGACCCCTCAAAGAGTTGTTGCAAGGGTTTTTAATATGCACAGAGCATGGCACTCTCTCTACAGGAGGCATCAAATTTAAGTTAATGACCCAATTCTGAACAGACGCCCTGCCCCCACTTGGGTGAAGGTTTTACTGTATTATCTAAATTTTAATTATTAAAAAACATCAATTTTTTTTTCAAAAGCATATTTGAATGTATAATATAAAAAAAATACATCAAGAAATATAGGATTAAGTGGGCAAAATTTTTAAATCCTTTGCCTAGGAAAAAGCCTGAAGGTTTTAAATTGCAAATACCATTCATAAGAATACAGTCACTAACCTTACACTGGCACTGTAGATTGTTAGGATCACACTGTGTGTTAGGAACTGTTCCCCTGCTGTCGCAATTACAATCTGGTCCTGGTATAAAAAAAAATAAAAGAAAATATAATTCAGGCAGTATTTCCTCTAGTCTTAAAACATTTCCCTTTTAAGAGCTTTTTTAACTTATAATTTTTTTTTAATTTTTTTACATTGGTTTAAAATATTAAAACAATAACTTTTAGCTCACTTTATTTTTCATTTAAGAAAAAATTTCAATATTAAAAATTCAAAGCAATACACCAAAAAGATTTTCTGACTGAAATTATGTGTTTTCAACTAAAATCATATACTGTAAATTCAGAAATTATTGCGAGGTTTTTATTAATGCGAGTAGTGCGACTGGGTTAGTATCGCAATAATAATAACTCTCATTCTGATATCTGATATATGCATCTGTATGCAGAATTTCCTGAAATCGCAATAATTAATCTCGCATTATTGTCCATTCTTCATAAATCGCAATAATAAATGCACGCAATAATTTCTGAATTTACAGTAATTGTTAACCATTATTCTTGTAAGAGCTCAGTTCTATTTTAAATCTATGAAGAGCTGGCTGAAACAGTTAGAAATAGAATCAAAGTGCTTGTGAGCACTAGTACTGAAAGGGTAAAGATTGCTTTCATTTTGCAATTTTGTGAATTTAAAATAAAACATTGAATTGTAATTAGCTAGGCAAATTCTAAAATTTGAGTTGGTGTTATCTTTCTTTGTTCATGATTGTACATTATAGTTGAGCCTATTTTTATAACAGATTCATACGCCATGTCCCCACTTATGTAATTTTCAATAAAGAAAAGTTTTTTGACATGTGTGGTATTTCAAATACACATCATATTGTAACTTGAATATTTAAGTATAACATAGCATCAATAAATTGCTTGACTGACTGGATAGGATCCAAAGAATGATCGCTTCACTGCACTATTTTGTGTGAACTATCAAAGGTAGTGATAAACCTTGGAAGATTTAATATCAAGTCTGGACCATAGGGTTTTGCTTGCATTTCATGCAATCTTTACCCAAAAATATTGAACAGAACAACACACCACACAAACAATTGACTCCTAACAGAATACCTTTTAAATCTTATTCCAATTTTTACTTACCAACTGGTCCAATTTTACAGTAATCTCCTGGTCTTAGTGGGTTACCAGTATAGCCTTGTATACAGCTGAAAGGTTAAAAGTTCAGTAAGTTAAAGCTGATAAATTTCAGATTTTACAATTGGGGATTTTGTTTTACCTAAATCAAATAAACTTGTGATTAAAAAAATAAAGAGGTAACTTAGCAATAATGATTTACGCTTTTTAATTTTAAAGATGCCTGAAATTTTATAGATATCTTTTGGTATTTATTCTGCGTTTTGGGGCTATTCATTAATAGATACTCTTCCTTTACTTTTACTTATACTATGGATATACATATTTTTGTGGGTACCAATTTTTCGTGGATTGAGTAAAAATCTTAGCTTTGCTGATATTTGAATTTGTGATTTTGCAAAAGTCTGCATACAAGATTATTGAAAATTTGTACTTCATTGAATATTTAAATTTGTGATTCACCTATTCCTGCAAAATGCACAAAAATTGATATCCCACGAATAATAATGAATCCAAAGTAATTGAAATACAATGTAAGTACCCACTATTGGCAATGTTGAAACATACTGCTAAGAGGAGGGTTAGGAGGGGGCATCATCCCAAATTCCCTCATCATTAAAGGCCCAATCCTGACGTCCTGAAAAAGGTTCTTCCACCCCTCTGCTTATATTATATATTTACCTTTCACATCTCCTGCCTGTGTGACCTGCAGGACAAGCAGTACATGTTACCTGGCCATCACTGGATAACTCACAAACTGGACTGAATCTGAATTAAAATGCTAATGATTTGTAGGAAAAGAATTCTCAATTTAACAACTCTAAACACGTTTCAGTAATTCTAATAAACTAAATTCTACTGCCAAAAATAAACTTCAGAACAGCCTTTGATCAGCATATATTTCAAATGAAGCTATCTCCATTTGACAGTGTTCTTTATCTTACAGTTTTTTAGCCACAATTCCAACAAAAGCAATTTTCAAATTTTTCTATTCAACAAATGCAAGTACAAGATTTTACTACATAAGTGATTATTTGACTGTTTATATTTTTCAAAGTTTTCTTATGCATTAATGGCTAATTTCTGCAGCTCATTCACAAATAAACAGTCTGCGAGAACATAATTTATTTATTAGTTGTTATTAGCTTTGAACTAGTTTTCAGTAACTATGAGTACTCTTATTTCGGTGCTTTGCTTTTATTGTTTTTAAGTTAGTTGTTTTTGTGCCTCATACCAATCCTTTGAGTAAAGGTAATTGCTACTGATTTTTACTGTTTGTTCTTATGTTGTGCTATTACACCACTGTCCAAGGTTAGGGGAGGGCTGAGCGCTCACAAACATGTTCAACCCAGCCACATTCTATATGTGCCTGTCCAAAGTCAGGAGTCTGCAGTTCAGCAGTTGTTGTTGGTTCATGTCCATCATGTTTGTTTTTCATAAATTGTTTTGTTATAAATTAAGCCGTTGGTTTTCTTGTTATGAATTGTTTCACATTTTTCATGTTGTGGCCTTTTATAGCCAACATATGGTATGGGTGTTTTTCTCATTGTTCAAGGCCGTACGGTGGCCTATAATTACTTGCATCCACTTCATTTGAACTTTGGTGGAAAGTTGTCTCATTGGCAATCAAACCACATCTCCATATTTTTAAAGTGGTTGCTATTGTTTGTCATATAGATATAAGAAGATGTGGTATGAGTGCCAATGAGACAACTGTCCATCAAAGTCAAAATTTATAAAAATTAAACCATTATAGGTAAAAGTATAGTCTTCAACACAGAGCCTTGGCTCACACCAAATAGTAAGCTATAAAGGGCCCCAAAATTACTAGTGTAAAACCATTCAAACGGGAAAACCAACGGTCTAATCCATATAAAAAACGAGAAACGCAAAACACTTACTTATGAACCACATCAACAAACGACAACTACTGAACATCAGATTCCTGACTTAGGACAGGTGCAAACAAATGCAGCGGGTTTAAACGTTTTAATGGTACCAAACCTTCACCCTTTTTCTGAAACAATAGTGTAACATCACATATGTCTATATTTCTCATCTTTTGTCATTATACTCAAAATTCTCAAATAACATTTGTCTTTTAGGAAAAAGTTGTTCGACCAAAAATTTGAGCATCAAACAATCTGAATATTGATAAAATACAGGCCAATAGATGCTACCATTACTGCCTATAATATAATGTGGGTGGGTAAATGGGTGTATTCAATGTTTTCTAAAAATAAGGTTCAAAGTTCATCTACTCACTGATTTGGAGATTCTGTAAGAGGACATGGACATGGTTGACATGAGGTTGGAGATCCTCCTCTAGCATCACCATAGAAACCTGGGGCACATCTCTCACAAAAATCACCTTCTGTATTGTGTTGACAGTTCTATAAATAGATTCATTTGTGATGCATTATTTTCTGCTAGTAAAGTACCATTCATTTCACACTTTTCAAAACTTCTCAAAATTTGTGATAAAGTTCTATATTACTACTATAAAGTTATTCAATGTACAGTCTTAGGACAAAAATGTTTCAATTATTGCAAGAACCTGTAGACTTTTCATTCAATTAGGTCAAGAAATAACTTCAGGAGAATTTTTATTAAAAAAATGTTTTTCTATGAAATATATAGCAGAATTTTCAAATTCTGAAACATTTTTTACCTCTGACTGTTGCAAAGTACTTTTTATTTTTTTCTATCTCAACATTATGTTATAGTAAAATAAGTATGACAATTGCGTTTTATTTTGGACATAAATCTTAATATGGTAACTTCTACAGATTTTTAGACAAAAAAGTTTGTCAGTAAAAAAAAATTAATCTGCCCCTACCTTGCACGTTCCTGTCTCTGGATCACACTCACTGGAATGTCTGTTACACTGACAAGGTTCACATAAGCCGAGGTATAATCCACCTCCTGTCCTAGTATACCCAACATCACAATCCTAAAAAAAAATTATAAGAATACTGTTAATTCAGAAAAAAAGTATAACAAAAATACCAAAATTCCAAGGTAAATTCAAAAAGGGGAAGTCCATAAAAACTAACAAAATCAAACGTTATCAATCAAAGGAGCCTGTGAAAAACAACTGTCATATTTCTGACTTGGTACAGACATTTTCTGAAGAAAATGGTGGGTTAAACCCAGTTTGATAGCTAGCCTAACCTCCCACTTGAATTAGTTGTTTATAGTTCCCTTATATTGACAAAATTGAATGAGCTACCCAAACAGACATAGTAGGTAAATGTGTCAGACAATAATTGGGATCCAGCAGCCGAAACTGTGTAAACATACATCACAAATGACTAAAAAATTATAATAAACTTTATCATTTTATCTTGCTCATCTAATCAGCCAATTAATATAATACAAGTTAAATATGGTTGATTTTTAAGTACATGTAAAGCAGTTGGCAAATGTACATTAGGACTGAAGAGTAAAGCAGTTGTTTGAGGCAAGGTATCTGGGACTTATATCTTTGGTCCCAGAAGTTAAGCCTGAATTAAAACAGTCTGTCTACACTTATCTTAGTAAAACAAGTCTAATACACTTATCAATTTGTGTTTTTTTTATCTATGATATACAAGACTGCACTGTTTTCATAATCAAATTTTAAAAAACAAACAACTTTGTTTTTCTGCCATTGGTGTGTGTGTGTGTCTGGATTGGGGTTTTACAAGCTTAGCCAGATAGTCTCAATAATTTAAATAAAATTAGGGTACTTTCATCATCATCTGTTAACTAACCTCACAGGACAATCCTTTGTAACCAGTTGGACAAGCACATTGTTCAACAGCATAGGCCCTGTCTAATCTGGTATCCCTGTCTTCTGCTATGTCCATAATTACATCACGGATACTGCAATCAAATTTTTAAATATTAAAAGCTTTGAAAAATATATTTTCCATGTTTTTGTGTATTGCCTTAAAATGTGCATTGCATTAAACAAATACATGTAATGTACGAGTATATTGTATAAAGCATCAATTTGTTCAGATACTAAGATAAACTAGAAAATTGTGAGCAGAGGTCACAATTTCATACCCCAACCCAATTAAAAAAAAGATATTGCAAAATCCATGTTTTTTGGTTACATGTCTATGACATTTTTTGCTATGGGAAAACCCAAAATAAAATATAAGTGCAAAATGCATAAGATGCTAAAGATTCTATGAAAATTTAATTGAAATCTAGACTATGGTTAAAGAGGATTTGTAGATAAATAATGTCATTCAACAATCAACTCTTACAGTGACCTAATAACACAAGTATTGTAACCTTGGAAATGTCTGGGGAAATACACGAATTTGAAAGTCGTCGATTGCCATTCAACCTCTGATGCTTTAAGATTTCTAATATTTTGCTTCAAGCACCCCTGACAATAATGATTTTTTCTAAAATGGTATATTGTGCATTCTAACATGACGTTCTTCAAACGCTTTGAGTACACACCCGTGGTAAAATATGAATATATTGTTTGGGCTGTTCCAATCGTACTCCCGCGTCATATGTTTTTTTATGAATGAGCTACCCGACGTCATAGAACGATGACGTAAGAATATAAGCATTTTACGGGAAAATACACGCTTGTGAAACCGAAAATCATCACAACAGGGAAACGTAAACAAACGATGCAAAAATGTGTTATATAAGCCATTTTTTGTATACATATAAGACATATAAGTACAATTATCATTTAGATTCATCCAAACCTATCTAAATATGTTATTGTAAATAGTTTGAGCATGTCATTTATTCAGTTTGCTCCGGTCTTTTACGTCAATTTAGTAGTGCGTTTATTTATGGGAACGGCAAATAATGCCTTCATCTCGAGCGCTTCGATCCAAAACAATTGCCGTATTTGTCCTATTAGAATCGAAATAATTCATGGGGGCTTGAATATATCGTGATTTTACCACGGGTTGTCCCTTTATGCCGATTTTTTTCCCCTCGCTTTCGCTCAGGGTAAAATATTTGTCATAAAGGGCCAACCCGTGGTAAAATCACGATATATTCAAGCCCCCATGAATTATTTCTTAATCAAATCAATGCAGTATTTTGAAATTACTCATCAAAGATACCAGCGACTCTTTTCACAAAAAATCTTACGATTAAAATTGATCGTAAGTTATACTGAAATGTGTATGACTTACGAGTATTTTTACTCTTAAGATTTTTTGTGAAAAGAGCCGCTGGCTTTTAATTTGGTATGCCAGACCACTTTTTATCTACAGAAAGAATCATCAGTGGCCCTCTAATCAAAACTGATGGCATGCCAAAACAAATACAAAGCTGAAGAGTATTAAAAACTGAAAAATTATGAGCAAGTTTGTATGTACCTTGCAGAGTCTGTGTCTCTTGTAAAGGTAGCTCTGATCAGTAAGGCACTAACATCAGCTAAAGCCATTAACAAGAATTCTCTAGTGGCAGGCTCTCCATCTGGTCTTGTCCAAAATTGCTGCAATGATCATAAATCAATGTCACAAACATGTTTAACCAGTGCCACATTCTTTATGTGCCTGTCCCAAGTCAGGAGCCTGTAGTTTGATGATTGTCGACAGTTCATGTCTGTTATATTTGTTTTTACGTAAATTGTTTTGTTTAAAATTAGGCCGTTAATTTTCTCGCTTAAATTTCACATTTTTTTACATCAGGGCCTTTTATAGCAGACTATACTGTATGGGGTTTTTCTCATTGTTGAAGGTACTACGGTTGCCTATTATTGCTTTCATCCACTTCATTTGAACTTTGGTGGATAGATGTCTCATTGGCAATCACACCACATCTCCTTATCTTTATAATGATAAAATATAAAAGTTCTTGGAAATTTCATTGATTTCTCCATCTGTATCTGTTTTTCTTTGACTCCCTCTTTGGATTGAAAGATTATTAGGGGCCAGCTGAGCACCACCACCGGGTGCGGGATTTTCTCGCTGCATTGAAGATCCATTGGTGGCCTTCGGCTGTTATCTGCTCTTTGGTTGGGTTGTTGTCTCTTTGACATATTCCCCATTTTCATTCTCAATTTTTTTATCTATTTGGTTATCCTATAGTTGTTAACATCCACATTATTTGGAATCTAGTGGATAGATGTCTCAATGGCAATCATATCACATCTTCTTATTTTTATATAAAACAATTAGATTTTTTTCCAATGATCAAGAATTGAAGTTCTTGGAATTTCCATAGCTTTTGTTATCTGTATTCTTATGCCTCAATCTTTGTAATCAGAGATATTCATAGCATATTGTTTTATTTCAAATAAATTATTGTTTACAAAATCAGTTATCTTTTTATTTAATGCAATTTTCTAAATTAACTTTCCTTTTTTTTTAATGAAAACAATTTAAACCAGATAATATTTAAAGTTATTGTAGTACAAAATCAGTTCTGTTTTTAATTAATACAATCTGTTAAATTAACTTTTCATAAATCTTCAAAAAATTAAAAGCAATTTAAACCAGATAACATTTCAAGTTTCAAGTTATTGCAGTAGATAAAAACTTCATGAATATCCTGCTTTAAGGTACCCCTTCTGAAAATTTACCTCATATAATGGCACTTTGTATACTGCAGGTGTATTTGATGTTGGAGCAGTCTTGTCTTTGTAAACTAATGTTATATCGTTTCCCTGAAAACAGAAATTAAACCATAAAAGATAAATAATAAAAAGAGTATATCATTGATGAGATGACTCAAACCCATGTACTTAAAATTGTGAACTGTTTCTTTTCTTTTTTTAAGTTTTGTTCTTCAGTAAAGCTACTTATTTTTATTATACCAGGCCTTTCATAGCTTACTTTACTGCTGTTGATGTCATTATAATACAATGTCCTTCTACTATGTATATAAGGCAATACAAAAAAATGGTGTGTAATGTCCATAAAATAAACAGGTATTTTCTTGGTGCCCTGATCCTGTTATGAGCCAACCAATAATTGCAAAGGTAATTTGTTACCATGTTTAAAAAGGATGACTTTTTTTTCCTAAAATGAATTGTACCCCATTTTTTTCACTGCAACACAATTAATTTTAGTATTTTTGCAGCTGAAAGCAAAATTGCATTTTGAACTGATTCTACTTACACTTATTTCTACCAGGGGAGCAGCAGTGTCCTGTGGACTGGTATCCAGTCCAGGTCTGTAGCTGATCACAAAGTTAAGATTCCCACCATAAGATGTCACCTGTAATAGACATATGATTGATTATTTTTTTGCATGCATTTCACATTAAAAAAAAAATGCTACAAGAGCTTTTGCTCACTAATGATATTAACCCCCTAAAAGTATCTGGTAAACAAAATGATAATTAGCAATGGATGTGAATATTACATCACAAGGTAAATGATGATGATTGATGGATGCTTATAAACGTCCAGCTGCAAATTAATATGCATATTCAGGAAGAGAACATGTTTATGTAATATAAATAGTAACCCTGCTTTGTACTAGACTGACATGCTGAGCCGGATTTTTAACGTGCTAGTTCACAAGGTAACAGTCCACAGGAAGACATGTCACCTTACCCGGACTAATTATTCTGACTCTGAGCCGACCAATCTTTTCTCTTACTCCTTAATACCGCATAATTTGAGGAGAAGCAGCAAATACCAATTTATAGTCTTTGGCTTGACTAGGCAAGGGTTCGAACCCAAGACCTCCCGCACTCGTGGCAAACATAACAGGGTAGAACATCCTATCATGAAGCTTTATACCAGATGTCATTCATTTCAATATTATCATAATTATAAATTAGATGTTTACAAAACTTTGAATTGCTCAAAATAGTAAGGATTTTTCTATCCCAGAAATAGATTATCTCAGCTGCATTTGGCAAAATCTTTCAAAATTATGCATCCTCAATGCTCTTCAACTTTGTATCTTATTTGGCCTTTTTGATTCAAGCGTCACTAATTAGTCTTTTGTAAATGAAACAGGCCTCTGGCGTACAAAATTATAAGCAAAGTATCTTTTATGAGTTTTTGTTTTATTATTAGGTATTTTGATATTAAATGTATTATGTTTAACTTGTGCATAAACCATGTTAAATTTTTTCCATGAAACGAATGAAATATTTGTCATCAGCCCATTTATTATCAAAATGAATAAACAAACAAAAAAAAGATTTACCTTATCACCCAAGAACCTCTGAGGCAGTGACCAATAATATACTCTCTGTGGTAGTGTGTTAAATCTTCTGTAGACCAGCTCTCTGACATTGCTGTTAACAGTAAAACCATCTGTGGTTGGTTCTTCTCGCTGAGCAATATCAACCAATGAAAATCCTTGTCTGTCTCTAGTGAAGGATGCTCCAATCTATCAAATATATGTCATGTATAAAATTATTTACCTGATAAAAGTGTAATTTTTGCATTTAGTATAGATACTGTGGATTCATTAACATTTTAGAGGTTCTTAAATTTAAGTGGATTTCGAGGGTATAGACGAAAACTTTTTAGTGGTCAATAAATTATAAATTCTAAATAGTATTGTATGCAGAATTTGTTAAAACTACGAAATCAAAGTATCCACCAGAATAAATTAAATCACAGCTCAAAATAGGAAAAAGTAAAATAACAAAAATACCAAGCTCCTAGGAAAATTCAAAACTGAAAGTCCCTTATCAATTGGCAAAATCAAAACCTCAACTACATCAAACGAATGGAAAACAGTTGTCATATTCCTGACTTGGTACAGGCATTTCCTTATGTAGAAAATGGTGGATTAAACCTCTCACTTGTATGACAGTCGCATAAAATTCCATTAAATTGAAAACAATGTGTGAACAGAAAGATTCATAGCAGCCAAATTTGTTGGAGGTTTTAACATTGTCTGAGCAAAATTTTATTTAAAACATTAGTAATTGGAAAACTAAATTAAAGAAACTCTCCCATTACCGAAACAATAATGCCAAGGTTTCGACATGATAGTCCTATTGACTGTTCTCTGATTGGACAAGTAAAAACATTCTCAAACTATTAGAAATACAGAATTTCTCATGAACTCTTTGTGCCCCTAATCAATGACTTAAAATGGGGTATCATTAACCTAGTGAACTAGATAATTTATTATAATAGTTCACAGTTTTCCCCCGCTAAGTATAAAAGCCAATCAGATTAAGGTTGTTTGCTAACATATACCCGAGTACAAATATCTTACCTGGGCCCTATTCCTCAGGGTACTGGTTCACTGTTGAGTCACACCAATACAGAAATAAATATTTTACCTGGGCCCTAATCCAGAAGGTACTGGTACACTATTGAGTCACACCCATACAGAAATAAATATCTTACCTGGGCTCTATTCCAGAAGGTACTGGTCCACTGTTGAGTCACACCCATACAGAAAATTAATATCTTACCTGGGCTATATTCCAGAAGGTACTGGTTCACTGTTGAGTCACACCCATACAGAAATAAATATCTTACCTGGGCTATATTCCAGAAGGTACTGGTCCACTGTTGAGTCACACCCATACAGAAAATAAATATCTTACCTTGGCTATATTCCAGAAGGTACTGGTTCACTGTTGAGTCACACCCATACAGAAATAAATATCTTACCTGGGTCTGATTCCAGAAGGTACTGGTACACTGTTGAGTCACACTCATACAGAAATAAATATCTTACCTGGGTCTGATTCCAGAAGGTACTGGTACACTGTTGAGTCACACTCATACAGAAATAAGTATCTTACCTGGGCTCTATTCCAGAAGGTACTGGTACACTGTCGAGTCACACCCATACAGAAACAAGAGACACAGCCATAGGGATTGTTTACACTCAGATAAAATGTATTTTGTTTACATTGGTCACAATTCCTTCCATACACATTTGTCTAGAAGAGAAAGATGTAAAATGATAGGGTCATTTTAGCTCTTGTGTTCTTAGAATTAGTGTTGAAGTATTATTTGCAGCGGGGGGTTTATTAGGTGACAAATGATATAAAATTCCAAGATATTTTTTTTAGCCAATTATGGGGGCCAAAATCTTTGATTACAAATGATTAGTTAGAATGAAATGACAAAATAATGACAAAAATATACAAAATATCACATGTTAGGATACCCAATATCAAAGACTACATATTGATTTGTATAATTGATAACTATGTAAAATGTGAAATAAAACTCAACTACTCCATGAAATCGTAGGTAAAACATATTTGTTTTTCCTTTGTTTTTTTGGTAGATGAATCAGGCTATTAGTTTTGTATTATTTTACATTTTCTTATGCCATGGCCTTTTGAAGCTTGTAAGCAGTAAAAGTTTTGCAGAATGTTAAAGGCCAAAACTTGACCTATTGTTGTTAAATTCTACTTCATTTTGTCTATGATGGAAAGTTGTCTCATTGGCAATCATAACACATCTTACTATTTTTACATTAAGTTAATATTAAAAAATTTACAACCTTAAATATTAAAAAAATGTTTTTGGTAGATGAATCAGGCTATTAGTTTTGTATTATTTTACATTTTCTTATGCCATGGCCTTTTGAAGCTTGTAAGCAGAAAAGTTTTGCAGAATGTTAAAGGCCAAAACGTGACCTATTGTTGTTAAATTCTACTTCATTTTGTCTATGATGGAAAGTTGTCTCATTGGCAATCATAACACATCTTACTATTTTTACATTAAGTTAATATTAAAAAATTTACAACCTTAAATATTAAAACTAGAGGCTCTCAAGAGCCTGTGTCGCTCACCTGATTCTACTTTGGTTTTGGAAATCATGTAAAAATAGATTAAAATCATAACAGATACCCTAATAATGAGTGAGGTCAAATTTGGTTTAATATTGGTCCTGTAATTTAATAAAAAATCCTGGTGGCCATCTTGAACAGTAAATCGGCAACAAAGTAGCAACACTTAATCAGCACCTCATAAGAAACATTTATGCCATGTTTTGGTTTCATTCCATTCAGTGCACCTCTAGAAGAAGCATTTGTATGTATTTCCCATAGGGTCTTATGTTAAAGGAAGTCCCCCCATTGGCGGCCATCATGGATGAAGGATCAGCTTCAAAGTAACAAGACTTGGTCAGCACCTCAAAAGGAACATGCATGCCATGTTTGGTTTCATTCCATTCAGTGGTTCTTTAAAAGAAGACATTTGTATGTATTTCCCATAGGGTCCTATGTTAAACTAAGTCCACCGCTGGCGTCCATCTTGGATTATGGATCGGCTTCAAAGTAACAACACTCGGTCAGCACCTCATAAGAAACATTCATGCCATGTTTGGTTTCATTCCATTCAGTGGTTCTCTAAAAGAAGACATTTGTATGTATTTCCCATAGGGTCCTATGTTAAACTAAGTCCACCGCTGGCGGCCATCTTGGATGATGGATCCGCTACAAAGTAACAACACTTGGTCAGCACCTCATAAGGAACATTCATGCCATGTTTGGTTTCATTCCATTCAGTGGTTCTCTAAAAGAAGACATTTGTATGTATTTCCCATAGGGTCCTATGTTAAACTAAGTCCACCGCTGGCGGCCATCTTGGATGATGGATCCGCTACAAAGTAACAACACTTGGTCAGCACCTCATAAGGAACATTCATGCCATGTTTGGTTTCATTCCATTCAGTGGTTCTCTAAAAGAAGACATTTGTATGTATTTCCCATAGGGTCCTATGTTAAACTAAGTCCACCGCTGGCGGCCATCTTGGATGATGGATCCGCTACAAAGTAACAACACTTGGTCAGCACCTCATAAGGAACATTCATACCATGTTTGGTTTCATTCCATTCAGTGGTTCTCTAAAAGAAGACATTTGTATGTATTTCCCATAGGGTCCTATGTTAAACTAAGTCCCCCGCTGGCGTCCATCTTGGATTATGGATCGGCTTCAAAGTAACAACACTCGGTCAGCACCTCATAAGAAACATTCATGCCATGTTTGGTTTCATTCCATTCAGTGGTTCTCTAAAAGAAGACATTTGTATGTATTTCCCATAGGGTCCTATGTTAAACCAAGTCCACCGCTGGCGGCCATCTTGGATGATGGATCCGCTACAAAGTAACAACACTTGGTCAGCACCTCATAAGGAACATTCATGCCATGTTTGGTTTCATTGCATTCAGTGGTTCTCTAAAAGAAGACATTTGTATGTATTTCCCATAGGGTCCTATGTTAAACTAAGTCCACCGCTGGCGGCCATCTTGGATGATGGATCGGCTACAAAGTAACAACACTTGGTCAGCACCTCATAAGGAACATTCATGCCATGTTTGGTTTCATTCCATTCAGTGGTTCTCTAGAAGAAGTTCAAAATGTAAAAAGTTTACGCCGACGACGGACGACGACGGACGACGGACGCCAAGTGATGAGAAAAGCTCACTTGGCCCTTCGGGCCAGGTGAGCTAAAAATGTTACCTTGCATGTACATTGTCTGGTAACGGAATCGGGTAGCTGACTTAAACTTCCTCTGGAGTCACACCTCTCTATAAAACAAAAATACTTATGACGAAATATAACTTATAAGTTCCATTGAATTTGGGATTACTGTAAATTCAGAAATTATTTTGAGGTTTTTATTATTCATTTAATGTGACTGGGTGAATATTACAATAATACAAACTTGCCTTCTAATAACTGATACATATTTGACGCAGATTTTTCTGAAATCACAATAATTAATTTCGCATTTTTGTCCATTCTTCAAAAAACACAATAATAAATGCACGTAATAATTTCTGAATTTACAGTATTATTTATTATTCTGATAATTGTAACATGATATACATTGCAAAAATAAATTCACCCAGCTTTTATCTATGAGAGAATTATTTGTATGTAGCATATCTTGAAATTGTAATAATAATTATTATTCCACTGTTTAAACATATTGATAGTTTAATCAATATTTGATTGGTTGAGACTATCCCACGTGTCATTGAACAAATCTTTATATTCCATTCTGAGGATCATATTCCCCTCTGAAATGTCGGGATTACTTCGTGCGACGTTACGCGCGGTTAATGTACATAACGTTTTGAACTTCTTATTCTTCTTAAAATAGCGATAGCAAAAATCATTATCATGTTCAAATTTATTTCAGACGATAAAACAAAAAGACTTATAATTAAATTTTGATCCTTACTGTTAATAAATGGGTATGTCGTGTTTGGTTTGACTTACAAAAACAAGCGGATAAGAAAAAAAATGTATGCAAAATAATATTTAATGTATTGATAGTAAACAAAGCATAGGCAGTGGAATAAAACATTCATTTCCCTTTGCCTCGAGAGATATGAAGATTTGCTCACCCTCGAAAAATCATATTTCCCTCGGGCAGAGCCCTCGTGAAATATGAATATTCTTGGGTGAACAAATCTTCATATCTCCCTCCGGCACGGGAAATAAATGTATAATATCACATTTCTGTTTATTGTTCAAAAATCACAATAATAAATGCACACAGAAATGTCTGAATTTACATTAACTTATTAGGATATAATTCCTTTAGAAAAAATTGTAAATAGCAAGCAGGCGTTCAAATTTATAAATAAAAATATTTCAAAGAGGAATTTCAAGACTACTATTTACTGTGTACGGTGGGTTCATTTATTTCTTCGTATATATCAATTTTTCGCGGATTGAGGAAACACATATTTTTCATTGATAGTTGATTTAGTGGTTTTGCCCTTTTGTGTCGATCGAGGAAACGCATATTTTTCTCTGATATTTGATTTAGCGGTTTTGACAAAGTCTGCATATATTCCTATAGAAAATTTGCAATTCCTTGACCATTTAAAACTATGGTTACCCTGTGTTCATGAAATCCACAAAAATTGGTATCCAACTAATAATAACAGTAAGGATTCTACTTTGTCAAAATTATCTCCCCATTATGCCACCTAGTTTTTATAATCATAAAAATAGAAGCCATTGTAGTGACGACGCGCTATGAATTTAGCTCTTGAAAACCGAATGTATCCATAGTATCATTACGATCCTTATATGCCTGTTGTATTTTAAAAGACAAATGTATCTACTAGCTATTGAGCATCATGTAATGTACTTTTATGCATTTGGTCAACTTAAAACTATTGTCTGATCGGTTGTTAGGGGAAATTTTCAAAAGTTGAAAAATATTTTAAAAAATTCTAATGAAATATTTCGTGGAAGGGCAGAGTTAAAATTTTCAGAGGTTGAAGACTAATTACCCTAGATAACACACAAAAAAATGAAGTTATGCATTTTTAAGATCCACTTGAAAAGTCTGTCGTCAAGTACTTTTAGTAAAAATTTGTTATTTGAACACAACTACTCTGTTGTTATGACTCATTTGAAAGGTATTTCACTTGACACATATATTTAATTTTTTAGTACTGTAAATGTTTAATGTTATTATATCAACCTAGAGCCTAAATATATAAAAAAAACAGAATCTGAAGCGAGATGATGTATCAAATATTTTTCTTTAATACGTTTTCAAGACAGAATAGCCAACTCAAACACGCCTGAACATAAAAAGGTGTACTCGACTTTCTCTTTTCGATGAAATTATTGCCCATTTTGGGGATATTTTCCCAAAAAACTTTCGCTGGGGGCAGAGATGCAAAATTAATGCTTTTAAAAGATCAATCTATTATCTTTCTTAGGATTTTTTTCGGCCGAATTTATGCTTATGCACAAAAAACATCCACATGTATTTGCAACTTACACAATCGACTGTTTTGTGAAAATCTGTCTATAATTTAAATGTTTACAAATATCGCAAAGCTCCATAGCATAATTCAAGTAAAAACACATACATAACACGCATAAAATCCCAAATTAAGCACATTCATTAAACTTTTAAAGCCCATAGAAACAGATGTAAACAATTCAAATTTACCAATTTGGTCTTTTTTACCTTCTCTAAAAAAGAGTTCTATTTCTTTTGTTTAATTTCAACTGGGTTTCCGCCTGATTATGAATCCACAGTATTCATTTCTTCCGATTGGTCTACGTTTTGTGGATGGAAAACAATTTTTTTCCTTACAAAGCAACTTTAAATTTATATTTCTCAAAGTTTCCAAACTCATTTTTTCCCTAACAACAATATCCAAGAAAACTAGTAACTAGTCAATATTAAAAACAGTTCTCAGTATTACAAACCATCACTGATTCGACAATAGTCTCCAACAATTTGTGGATTTCCTACGTAACCCCTAGCACATCTTTCACATCGCCTTCCTTCATAACCTTGAGCGCAGGCTGTACATGTTACCTGTCCATCTCTTCGATCAATCTCACAGGTGGGGCTAAATCTGTAGGATTAAATAGAAATCGTAAAATACTTAAAATGTTTTGTGTGCAGATTAGATGTATCAGGCCATTTTGTACTGATTTTTATAGATTGTTCTTATGTTGTGCTGTTATACTACTGTTCCAGGTTAGGGGAGGGTTGAGTGCTTAAAAGCATGTTTAACCCTACCACAATATATATATATATGCCTTTCCAAAGTCAGAAACCTGTAATTCAATGGCTGTGTTTGGTTGCTGCATGTTTTATTTCATTTATTGTTGTGTTATAAATCAGACCATTTGTTTTTTTTTTCAGTTTGAATTGTTTTACAGTTTTTCATGTCGGGGTCACTATGTATAATAGCTGACTCTAGTGTATTGGTTTTAATTACAGTGAACTATAGTTGCTTATATCCATCCCATTTGGGGTCTGTTGGAAAGTTGTCTTATTGGCAATTGAACCACATCTTCTTTTTTTATGTTACGTATCCTTCTGACATGCACATTGAACATTTCTTAACCTGAGAAAGATCTTATATTATTCAGCCAAATAGGTGAAAAATTTTAAAAACAAGGGACACAAGAAAATTATTGAAAAGTCTTTAAAGAGAGCTTGAAAATCTCATCTTTTGTAAAAAAAATATAAACTTGATACACTTCCTTGGCATAACAAACATCACTGTGACTTTGATTTTAAACTTACTGATTGGTTGAATCTGTGAGTGGACAAGGACATGTGTTACAATCGTTTGGAGTACCCTGAGTGGCATCTCCATAATAACCTCGTGCGCAATTTTCACAGTTATTCCCTTCAGTGTTATGTTGACATGACTGTAAAGAGATTTTGAAAATTATTTTAAAAAAACTCTCTTTTCTCTAATGGTTCTGCATGAAAGAATTAAATAAATAAAACTTTTATGTCTCTGAAAATCATACTTTTTTGTAATATTTTATATATAAACTATATATAACTTTTATTGAATTCAGAAAATTTTCGTTGAATTCAAATGTTATGTTTATGTACAATAATTTCAATGCTATAAATTTCAAACAGTATATTCACTTTACCTCATTTGTATTTTACAAATTGAAATTGTCTCTGGAAGATGTTTGATTAAAACTGGACAATTTTTTTTAATCTTCTTCTTTAAGAAGCATAAAAAGCTTTTTACTCACCCTACACTGACCAGTCAAAGGATTACAATCATTTGAGTGACCGTTACAGCGACACCTTACACAGTTTCCAAGGTATGGTCCATTTCTTACTCGATAGTAACCAACGGCACAATCCTAAAATATAAAAAAGAAATTATTGTAAATTCCAGAAAGAACATTTATTCAACATTATTATTTTCCAGAAAAGAACAGTTATTCAACATTATTATTTTCCAGAAAAGAACATTTATTCAACATTATTTATTTTCCAGAAAAGAACAGTTATTCAACATTTTTCTGTCAAACAAAACTGGACATCAATGCTAATGCCAAAAAAAATTAATTCTGTTTACCTGACTGATCAATTCTTTATTCCCAATAGTACACAATCAATTAAACCTGTGGTGCCGAAAGGGAAGTAACTCACCTGACAAGACAATCCAGCATGTCCAGCAGGACAAACACAGTCCTCTACATACACAGCTCTGCCTAAACCTGTGGTGAAGTAAGGGAAGTAACTCACCTGACAAGACAATCCAGTATGTCCAGCAGGACAAACACAGCTCTACATAAAGCTGTGATGTAGCAAGGGAAGTAACTCACCTGACAAGACAATCCAGTATGTCCAGCAGGACAAACAATCCTCAACACACACAACTCTACCTAAACCTGTGGTGTAGCAAGGGAAGTAACTCACCTGACAAGACAAGCCAGTATGTCCAGCAGGACAAACACAGTCCTCTACATACACAGCTCTGCCTAAACCTGTATCCTGCTGTACTCCTGTGGTCAAGATTAAATCATTAACCCTGTAAAAATAAAAAATATATTTATCTTAAGTGATGAAGGTGGCTCCAAAATGGAAAGACAAACCAAATTTTATCTTTGACCTTTTTGGGTTTTTGTGGACCCCTTGTGAAATGACTTCTTATTTAAAAGGACCAGTGGGACCTTTAAAATGATCAAATCTGATCAGTTTTATATTTTGGTTTTTTGGTTTTGTCTTGTTTTTTTTGCCTAAAAATGACCTGTTGACATTGGCAATCGGCTTGAAACAGGATAAAAATGCTAGGCAAAGCCTCTTATTTTACCTGTACCTAAGCCTTGTACAAAAAATGTCAAGTCGTTGGTTTTCACATTTATTTTTTTTATGTTTTGTTATGTTAAGGCCTTGAAATGCGGCATGGGTTTTGCTCATTGTCGAGGGCCCTACAGTGATCTATAAATCTACGTCATTTAGATTCTGGTTCATAGTTGTCTCATTGTCAATCATACCATATTTCCTTATTTTAGATTATTCTAATAACAGTAGAGTGGGTGGCGCATATTCGCCATGGACACATTTTCGCCGTTTTGCTATTTTTCTGTAAAATTTGTGTGCCTTTACCCAGTTTTTGCCTAAATAGATGGTTACGGCTGTTTGTAATGTTCGAACAGTTGATATTCCTCTATATCCCATTTTCAAGGTTATTCGCACATATAAAGAAATACGCAGGTGTTTTTAAACAATTTGGGCTATTATGTAAGATTTATATTGCAATCATGCGCAGTCTTAAAGTAAATATTTGTGAGAAAAATCATATAGGAATGATCTCTCATTCTTATTCATGTAATTACAAACATTCGTTTTTATAATATACCAGGATAATGAGGATGGTCATATCATACATTGCGGCAAAAATGTGTCCCCCATGGTACACGAACAACTTGATTTCCTCTTGAGTTTGCGTTCATTTTTAGAACAATTAACCAATGTTTTGAAGATAATTCCTTCATCAAACATTTTTTTCATATAGTAAAATTTCTGAAACCTACATAAAAAGTTCCTAATATTCGAATGTAGGTCGAATGTAAGTGGAAATGAACGAATTTTGCGGCGAATATGGGTCACTCACTCTACCATACCTTGTTAGAGTCTGTCTGGCATCATACTGTGAGCGGATGAGAATGGACTCAACATTTTCTAGAACCATCATCAAGTCCTCCCTGGAGGCATATTCCCTTACTGGGGTATCTCCTCTCTTAGGCTGATCCTCCCTTGTCCACTCATTCTAAAATTATCAAATTATGTCTCTTATAAATATTATTACTAGATCCTCTATTAAACTTATAATTACATGCAGTAGAACTTTGTGCTCTGAAAATATTTAACTGCAAGTTAAGACTTCTTCCATGATTTTATCATTACAAAAATGCATCTGAATATCAAATTACAGTAGTAATTAAAACCCATAAATAAAAATTGAAAAGAAAGGAAAACGAGTTTTAACCTAAAGCAAAGATAACAGAATCTTTATTGCATTTATCTCATAAATCACATTTCTCCCTTCAATATGGAGCAAACACTCACACCTCACTGCAAGTTTAAGACCTCCATATCAGTTTTTAGTGGAATTCTATGATTTGAATGCAGTATTTCATGAAATCCCATTTTGTAATCATGTGGCTCTAAACAGTCAAATCTGACCTGAGACCTTAGGGATTTGGCTTGCTACATTGTGACCTGACGTCTCTTTTAAAAGAAACTGTGACCTATATATTTTATTGGGCTTAAGAACAATAAAATGCTTTGCTGAGCGCAGCCTGATACGACCGCAGAGGTCGAACCCTCAACAGTTGGGGCAAATTTGGACACAATATTCAAGCTTGATACTGTCTGAATTTGGATTGTGATCAAATTTTTGACATAATATAGGTTTCTGACACAAAATAAATGTGGTCAAAGATCTTATAAATCCATTGTGCAATACTGTGCAATTGAAGATTTCTTCTTGAAACTTTACAAAAATTCCAAATTTAAAAAATTTTGAAAAAAAATATGAATCCCTTAAAAAATTAAAGAAAAAAATTACCCCCCCCCCCCCAACTTTTTAAAACCCCCCTTGGAGCAATAACCCCAAAACTCAATCCCAGCCTTTCCTTTGTAGTATGGAATCTTGTAGTACAATTTCAGAGAGATCCATACACTTACACACAAGTTATTGTCTGGAAACTAGAAAAATGCTTGTTTTTGGCCCTTTTTTGGCCCCTAATTCCTACATGTTGGGGCAATTAAACCCAAACTCAATCCAGCCTTCTCTTTGTTATATGGAACCTTGTGGTACAATGTCAGAGAGATCCATACACTTACACACAAGTTATTGTCTGGAAACTAGAAAAATGCTTGTTTTTGGCCCTTTTTTGGCCCCTAATTCCTACATGTTTGGGGCAATTAACCCCAAACTCAATCCCAGCCTTCTCTTTGTTATATGGAACCTTGTGGTACAATGTCAGAGAGATCCATACACTAACATACAAGTTATTGTCTGGAAACTAGAAAAATGCTAGTTTTTGGCCCCTTTTTGGCCCTTAATTCCTAAACTGTTGGCCCCATAACCCCAAAAATGAATCCCAACCTTCTACTTGTGGTACAATTTCAGAGCAATCGAAATACTTATACACAAGTTATTATCCTGAAACTAGAAAAATGCTTGTTTTGGGCCCCCAATATCCTTAACGGTTGGGACCATCATCCCAAAAATCAATCCCAACCTTCCTTTTGTGGTATTGAACCTTCTTAAAAAAATAGAGATCCATTCACTTAAACTAGAGTTATTGTCCAGAAACCAATGTATCTTTGGACGACGACGCAGATGCAGACGCTGACGCAGACGATGACATCATACCATTATACGATCCAAAAAAAATTTTTGCAGTTGTATAAAAATGGGTTGGGGATGTCTGTTTTAATTTTCCTTAAAATTGACCTGGTGGCCTGAGGCAAATTTAAACATGACCTTTTGACCTTAGGTTGTACTCTATGGAGCCTCAAATCTTGTATTCATATCCATTGACCAATAAACACACTAATAAATGCAAATAATAATCATTGAATTATTTTTGAACTGAAGAAAACCTCAAAATGACTACTGTGGATTCATTTATTTTCGTGGGTACCAACTTTCGTGGATTAAGGAAAACTTATATGTTCGTGGATATTTAATTTTAAGGTTTTACCGAAGTCTGCATACAAGCTGATAGAAAATTTGTTTTTCGTTGAACATCTTATTTTAGTGGTTAACCTGTACCCACGAAATCCACAAAAGTTGGTATCCAACGAATAATAATGAATCCACATTATTTAAGGAGTTGTTCTATCTGTGAGAGGTTTAGTTACACAGTCCTCAATAAACACTTTTCACAGACTAAAATGGTTTTACTAGAAATGCACAGTGTTCTCTTATTGACAATCTAGACATCAATGTTCTACTGTACTTTGGGATATTCCTTTTCATGAGTGTTAAAAAAAAAACGTAAAAGATATCTTTGAAGGACAAGGCACTTTTTAGAAGCCCTTACACTTATGTATTAATTACCTTATGCAAAAATGTGTTGTAGACCGAGTCTTTCATAGAGATTCATATACAAGAACTATCAAAGACCCCCAGATAATTGACAGCCAAAAAAGACCTCAAAATATGCCTTATTATTCCTTAGGGCTATTACATTAAAATGTATGTGGGAGGGTAAGGAAGGCAAGTTTAATTATTGATTGTGGGTCATGGGTCTTTTTTCAGTATGCGTCTGTTACCATTATGCAAAATTATCTAAAAAACAGTTCTTGGTCGTAGGGATATTTTGAAAGGCCCTTCCTACCTTCCCACATACATTTTAATGGAATAGCCCTTTCCTTCAAACAGACGTTTCATTTCCGTCATTTCATCTCTTAAATTTTCTTTCTTTTTTGAAAATTTGAATAGTAAATTAATCAACCGTTCACCTTCTAACAAAAATACCTGTTGTTTTCATTTATTCATATGGTTTTGCACATGTACTGGCTTTATATAGGTTAATAACTTACCGGCAAAAATGCAACTGATACAGAGTTATCTCCTCTTGGACGGAATTGTGTAGAAGTTCTGTGGTACAAGGTAATACCATTTCCCTAAAAGAAAAAGTGACATGAAAATAAGAATATGTGTCCATAGAACACCATGATCTGCAGGCACGTTATAATTGGAAAGTCAGTGAACCTTGAAATCCGAGTCAAAACCCTTATGCATATACATATAAAAGTTCATTTTATAATACACTTCATTTGTTCATTATTTCATTTGTTAATTTTTTTTAAATTTTTTACCCATAAGTAATTCTAAGGGGAAAAAATGCAACTTCTGTTATCATCTGAGTCAAAACCTGAATTTGGCATTTTTTTTTTAAAACTTCACTTCATAATACATTTCATGTGTTCATTAATTCCATTTGCTAATTTTTTTTTAATTTTTTTTACCCATATGTCAATAGTTACAAAAAAAATAAACCTACCGTAATTATAACATCTGACTGCTGAGTTGGATACTGAGAACCAGCTATTTCATAGTACACATTGTATTGTAGCTTGCCACCATAACTTGTTAACTGTAAAAAAAAATATATGTAAGTTTTCTGAATTTTTTTAATTTTCCTATATCTATAACTACATTATACACTTTGTATTTTTGTTTTCCACCATAACTCATTGGCTGTAAAAATTTAAATAAACATCAGTGTTCTAAAAAAATTTATTAGTTTCCAGTACTTGCTATTTCATAATAATAGACATAGAAAAAAAGACTAACAACAATAAACAACAACACATGGTCTAAAGAGCCCAACTTAGTACATGCACAAAAATTGGTGCAGTTAAACCAGTTTTATAATATATTGAAACGATTTGTTGTTTACTGAAAATTCATTATTATTCATTGGATACTGATTTTTGTGGGATGATCATCAGTTTGCAAAGAATTCCGCTCAAACCGGTGCTAGGGGCAGTCTTAAACTGGCAGTGAGGTGAGAGTTTATTTGCTCCATGTCTAGGCCTCACTGTAACTTTTAGATGAAGAACGGCAATAAAAGTGGTGTTCCTTTGCCTTTTGTGTTTTTTGTTGTGCATTGCTTACATCCACTTTACTTGAACTTTGGTGGATATTTGTCTCACTGGCAATCATACCTCATCTCCTTATTTTCATATTGTATTGATTTTGTGTCATGGATGGATACCCCATACCCTTTCTTTTCTATTAATGTGTATAAGAAATTAAAAATTTAAATGTTCAACAATTACAAATTTTCTATAAGTATGTATGCAGATTTTAGAAAAACCAAAAAATCAAATATCTTCAAAAATACAATTCGTCTTCAATCCAAAAAAATTGGTACCCTGGAAAATAAAATAATTCAAAATAATTACCCTTTCACCCAGAAACTCGCTGGGAAGACTCCAGTAATAATACATATTGGGTGACAGTCGGTCAAATCTTGGCACCTGTGCACCCCTCAATGATGGCAGCTGCTGAACATAGGCTGTCTCAACTGTCCTTGATGCATTCGTGTCTAACAATTTCATATCACCAACTAGGTTTATCTGAAAGATACAAAACAAAATTGAAACTAATAGCCTTCCCATACTTTCAAGTATAACTCTTCTTGCATTTACTTCTTAATTATGTCAGAATCAATTAAATTGTGCTATTTAATATTTCATCTTCACATATGCATTTTTTTTTTGCCACCATTTCAATGATTTTCATATTTTGGTCGATGTTTTCATCATAATATGTGAAAATTCAATTTTGATAAGATTCTGAACGAATTATGTCACTGATATTTTTCTAATAAAAAAATTGGTGTATATAAATTATTCATAAAAACTAGTAGGATTACAGTAGCCTCTGACAGTAGAGAAATTATGTCATCTTTACTACACCACAGTTCATGTGTCATGTCATCCTTACTACACCACAGTTCATGTGTCATGTCATCCTTACTTCACCACAGTTCATGTGTCATGTCATCCTTACTACACTACAGTTCATGTGTCATTTCATCTTTACTACACTACAGTTCATGTGTTGTGTCTTTTTTACTACACTACAATTCATGTGTTGTGTCATTTAAACTACACTGCAGTTCATATGTTGTCATCTTTACTACACTACCAGGGCTCACACTACTTCAGAATCATAGGGACAAGTGACTTCTCTTTTTGAAATTGAGAGGGAGAAGTGGTGAGATTTGAAAGAGAAGTGCTTGTTCGCTCGCAGCGCTACAATGTTTGGTTTTTACTATAATACATTAAGGGCCATATGTATCTTAATTTTTTTATATTGTTGAATTTGTACCTGGGTATACAATTAAAGTAACTCTTCAAATTTAAAGTTGTTTAATTTTATCATATCTAGTTACACAATCATACGAGTCCTCTTTTCAGAAAAAACAATTAAATATCTGGCACTAATAATAAAGATTTTTTTTTATACCAAAAAGGAAAAGAAAGTTGTTATATCAATTAAAAAACGTTAAGCTTGGACATAATATAATTATATTAGTGTAATAGTCCCAGAGTTGAGCAACTTTAGCTTATAAATTGAAACAATGCATATACATGGAAATATATACATTAATCAAGAAGATCTAACCGCGTAATTTTTCCTTTTTGGATCAATTTTTGTCTGTTAGCAGTGCCATTCATGCGTCCGTAGTAATTATCGTAAAAATCTGGATTTCGGTCATAGCAGGTCCGTTTCCGATGAAATCCCAACTCTGATCCGTAATTGTACAATAATATGCCCAATAATTTAAATGGCGGACGAAGAAAAATTTACAAAAAATAAACGATGTTTGACACGCTATTTGGGAAGGAATATGACGTTTTTAATGAAATACAAGGATAACAAATTTACTTCAGACAAATTTCATCAACTTATTTTGCCGAAAGTTAGAATGATTTGATGTACCCTTTGAGTAACAAGTACCGGAAGTGGTAAAAAATTGTTTTTATGAAATAACATGCCACCAACTTTGAAATCAATGCTTTAACCTCTTTTCTGAAGAAAATAAATCGTCTATGCCTTGAATTTCTTTACTTTTAAATGAAAAATTGCTGTTTCATCGTATTGGTAAAAATTGAATATTGGTGATGATGAAAGCGACTGAAAACGAGTATCGTAAACCACAGGGCGACTTGTTTTCGCTTTTGAGGGTCGGGCGAAGGGAAGTGACGGACGGGAAAGCCACATCTTCTCCCTAGTCGCCTGGTAGTGTCATACTTTCTACACTACAGTTCATCTTGTGTCATCTATACTACATTACAATTCATGTGTCATATCATCTTTACTACACTACCATTTATGTGTATGTCATCAATACTACACTACACTTCATGTGGATTTTGCCATTTCCACTTGTTAACAATTAGAGTAGGTACAGAATGGGCAAAACTTCTCGAGAGTCCCCTGTGCCTAACCTTTAAATCAGAAATGCCTTTCAATTTTCTTTCCATCAGATTTACAAAGCAAAAATAATTAGATTTTAAATCGTTTTTTCAAAATAAATCCTTAAAGATTTCACACTGTTAAAAATTAAAAATTTCTAAAAATAAACTATACCTGTGCAATTTGTAAATTGCTGCTGTAACATTCGTTAGAGTGTCCAAAACAGAAACAACGAACACAGTCACCCGTGACAGAAGCTTCCACATTGAAATACGGCTGTTGGCAAAGCCCTGCTGGGTATCCTAATAATAAAACAAAAGACATTTTTCTTTGAGTTTTATTCCTTTAAGCTATATCCAGTAAAAATGATGACTTTTTGAAGATGATTGTTTAAAACTTTTCCTTGATAACTATTCTTTCCTATTCCAATCATATTCTTATACAATTTTTAAAAACTTACGCCTGAGTGAAATTTTGATAAAAATATTTTGAAATTCTTGCTTATTCTAATGTACTTTTCATACAAGTTAAGTTTCATTTCTTTCTTTTTTTACCATAAAACAAATAAAACATTAAAATAAAATATGTTAACTGACATATACAAATGTTTGTGCTTCAGGTAGAAATGGGAGAGTGTGCATTGGAAAAAAGTTGTAAAATACACAAAATGTATCATGAGGTATTGTCACACTTGGTGGATAATTATAGATTCCACCACTGTAACAAGTGTGTTACGATATTTCTCCACTTGAGATAGTTAAATTTTACTATTTAAAGCACGAGGCTTACCGAGCTTTTTAAATAATTAAAATTTAACTGTTGAGAGTGGAGAAATATCGTAATACACGAATTATTGTGTTGGAATCTGCTTCTCTGGTGATTTTTATCCTTCCTTTTCAAAGATTTGCAGAAAGTTGGGATCTTTATATGTGATGTCACCAGGTATGGTTGCCTTTCTTCGTGACGTCACAATAGGCAATTCAGAAGAAACAAAGAAAATTTGACGTCATAATTAAATTTCGACCAATCATTTGCTGAGAACTGATATTTCACTAGTGAGAACAATTTTTTTCACAATCGGTTGGGAAATGTGAAAATAATGAAAAATTTAGAGAATCATATTTCTCTCATTCTTAGCCAATTTAGACTTTCCCTGACTGGTTGAATATGTTTTTTTATAATCAACGTGTGATTTGTTTGATCCCAGTTCTTCATTGGTCAAAATTCAATTATGACACCAAATGTTCTTGCTTTCATTTGAAATACTATTTTGATATCATGAAAAAACTAGAGGCTCTAAAGAGCCTGTGTCGCTCACCTTGGTCTATGTGCATATTAAACAAAGGACACAGATGGATTCATGACAAAATTGTGTTTTGGTGATGGTGATGTGTTTGTAGATCTTACTTTACTGAACATTCTTGCTCCTTACCATTATCTCTATCTATAATGAACTTGGCCCAGTAGTTACAGTGGAAAATATTTTGTAAAAATTTACAAAATTTATGAAAATTGGTTAAAAAATTGACTATAAAGGGCAATAACTCCTTAAGGGGTCAATTGACAATTTTGGTCATGTTGACTTATTTGTAGATCTAACTTTGCTGTACATTATTGCTGTTTACAGTTTATCTCTATCTATAATATTCAAGATAATAACCAAAAGCTGCAAAAATTTCTTAAAATTACCAATTCAGGGGCAGCAACCCAACAACGTGTTGCCTGATTGGTCTGAAAATTTCAGGGCAGATAGATCTTGACCTAATGAACAATTTTATCCTCATCAGATTAGCTCTAAATGCTTTGGTTTCAGAGATATGAGCCAAAAACTGCATTTTACCCTATGTACTATTTTTTAGCCATGTCGGCCATCTTGGTTCGCGGGCGGGGTCATCGGACACATTTTTTAAACTAGATACCCTAATGATGATTGTGGACAAGTTTGGTTAAATTTGTCTTAGTAGTTTCAGAGGAGAAGATTTTTGTAAAAGATTACAAAAATTTACGAAAAATGGTTAAAAATTGACTATAAAGGGCAATAACTCCTTAAGGGGTCAACTGACCATTTTGGTTAAGTTGACTTATTTGTAGATCTTACTTTGCTGAACATTATTGCTGTTTACAGTTTATCTCTATCTATAATAATATTGAAGATAATAACCAAAAACGGCAAAATTTCCTTAAAATTACCAATTCGGGGGCAGCAACCCAACAACGGGTTGTCTGATTCATCTGAAAATTACAGGGCAGATAGATCTTGACCTAATAAACAATTTTACCTCAGTCAGATTTGCTCTAAATGCTTTGGTTTCAAAGATATAAGCCAAAATCTACATTTTACCCCTATGTTTTATTTTTAGCCATGGTGGCCATCTTGGTTGGTTGGCCGGGTCACCGGACACATTTTTGTAAACTAGATACCCCAATGACGATTGTGGCTAAGTTTGGTCAAATTTGGCCTAGTAGTTTCAGAGGAGAAACTTTTTGTAAAAGTTAACGACGACGGACGACGACGACGGACGCCAAGTGATGAGAAAAGCTCACTTAGCCTTTTGGGCCAGGTGAGCTAAAAAGTGACTGATGACGTCACTTACAAAGAAAGAACTTTTCACAGATCAGTGAATAAATTATGTCAAAAAATCATTAGAGAGACAGTTACCACCACCAAATCTTGTGCAATACAATATTTCTCCAATTTTGACAGGTAAATTAAATTTCATATCTAAAACTTGAGCCTAACAAGCATTTTAAATGTTCAAAATTTGAGTATTAAAATGCTCGGTCAGCCTCAACTTTTAAATATGAAAATTTTAATTTAACTGTCTGATGTGGAGAAATATAGTATCACACTTGATGCAGTGGTAGAATCCTTTCTGCGTCAATAATATTGACAGGATTGACAAGACTGGGTCACTTTATCCTTACATTCTGTATAAAGTACCTGTTAAATTTTCTGTAAAAAGAAGCAGACAAAATATCTTATTTATTTTCTCTTTATGTCATAGAATCATATAAAAGACATAAAAGTTCCAAAAGTCAGGATGCTGTATGTGGCAAAAAAATTGCTATATGTTGACAACAAACAAAATTTTAACAAATGCATAGTTTTCAATATATCAATGGTAGAAATTCTGACATGCAGTTTAATTTTGTATTCCTGTTTCACATGAGTGCTTAAATTTTTTGGATTCACTAGTATATTGATTTTTCATTTTCTGTTTTTGAGGACCTTGCCCTCA